GAGGAATCAAAGAGATCTTTTGTCTAAAATTTAAATAACTTAAAGTCGCTCGTCAACCATATGAATTAACATTGATCTTTAATCATCACCAGCAAATAAATTTAGTATTTCAATTCAACCAAACAAACATGAACCTGATCTGATCTAAATATGTCTCCACAAACAATGAATGGCCACACAGCTCACTGTGGGATAGTGACTGTTCCCGAATAGTTCACGAAGGCAGCTTGGGGGGGGTAAGCAGCCATCATCACTGGAGCCGGCTGCATTTGCAAAACAGTCGGTTGCTGCACAGTGACGACAATGGGAGCTTTTTTGCGATGTTTTATCTCACGATGCATCTGACACCAGGAGCACCAGGAGCAGAAGCAGGAAATGGCGATGTCCTTGCAGATGGATCCCTGCAGAAAACCCAAGAAAAACGTGTGTAAAGCTGTACATCAACTGTTATTAAACCTTTTGTTTCAAGTCCCACCCCTCATACCTTGATACCATATCTGTTTCGCATGGCAGCCCTTAGAGACAGGGCTGCCGGAGGCACAAACAGAGGAATCCCACAGGCTGAGAGCACGGCCGGGCTGCACATGTCACATAGTGGGAGACAACGATTCTCTCCAAATTGTCCCGAAACCGTGCAGGCAAGGCACGGGCAGCACCAGAAGCCATAGCAACCTAAAATGCACACACAGTAGATGCAATAATCGAGTGGATTTCCATCCAAACACAATACAAATTGTCAAAGTTGTGGAATTGTCTCTTACAAGTGCTTGCGTCCTCAAAGCAGTCACAGAATTCACTGTTCCACTCTACCAAGGGTTGTGTTGACATTTTTCACGGCAAACGTCAGGCAGTAAACAATGAACCTATTAACGAACAGTTACGTCAGAAAAAAAAAAGACTTGCAAAACATAATAATGTGTCAAAAAAGTCATATAAATGAAAGAAAGTTCAATACAATATTTAGAAAGTCATTAAAAAGAATGTCAGAAAATGTTGTGTACATTATATTGAAACATTTTAAAATGGTTGTCGTGAAAAAGATCAAAGAATTTAAAAATAGGTTAAAAAAAAGGGCCTAAAAAAATGAGACAACCAGTTACATTCTTTTTTTCATTTTAACACGGTTCAATAAAAAGTAATACCGTCTATTAAACTATTAACACTACAGCCTTTTTGTGTCATTAAGGAATATCATAAAATGTCATAGTACATGATATTGAAACACTTGAAGGTTATAGTCATGAAAAAAGTATTTAAAACTAAGCAAAAATAGAAATGTTAGTTTTGGATTCATAAAGGTCATGAAAAAGGTCTTACAAAGGTATATTTAAAAATGTAAGCGCCAATTACATACACTTAAATACTTCTTAATACAATGCAATACGCTGCAAAATGTCATAAAACTAAACAGTACAGTTTTTTTAAGTCATTAAAGAATACAGAAAAATAAGACATTTGTAACGTCTGTGTCTAATGTTGTTAGCAATACATTTGGCAGTGCCAAAACTATTTCATCAAATATATTTCCGAAAAACTAATTGATTTCTGATTCAGTTCAGGAATAGTTTCAATGATACATTTTATCTAAATGGGGAAGTTTACTGTTGCTGTTTTGATTCAATTCAAAATTCAAAAAGGCCAATTAGATGGGGTCATTTAGTTCTACTAAAGTCCATAATTGTGTTTTTTGGTTTTGTTTAGATTCAAATGACTTAAGAATCATACAAATTATAATACAGGGCTTGATTTAAATAATGCATTGCTCCAAATTTACAGATATGCGTTTTCACTGCAGATGGAAATCAATTTCCTTTAAAAATGTTTTCAGCAATATATAGTGCCAATAGTATGTAAAATAATACTTCAATACACCGTTTTTCATGGTTTTATAGCCTATTTCAGTATATTCAAGATGACAAGAATCACGCAATCACTATTATATTCCCATAGTTAGTCAACAGGGAGAACATCCTGCAGTGATCTAACACAGTATGCTCTTAAAATAGTCCAACTGATGACATTTCAAAAGACTCAGGATCCTTATATTTTTGTGGCAGGCTTAATATAGATCGCCAAAAACAGCTGCGTTACTGTTAAATCCCTTTTACAGAATGCCGGACTCAACGTTATCTTAACGTTAACTTAACTGTTGTTAAGGTCTTACCTGATGGAGCTGGACACAACGATCTGTGAATGAATGAAAGGGTATTTACTGGATCTGGTTCTTATAAACCTCATCAGAGCAGAAGGAAACGAAACTGTAACACGATTTACCTGATAGTTGGATGAGTTAAGATGATTAGCTTCTTGGCTCTGAACTTGAAAATAACAAAGAACATGTCATGGAGTCAGGAGTGGTGTCCGTGCGCTTGTTTGAACAAATAGAATGCTGCAGAACCTGAATCTTGTCATAGCAACAAATTAGATCCAGACCACACGCTAAGGGCGGAATTTCCTGCTTCATTTAATTGTAATCTATTACATCACATCATCTATTGTTAAGTTGTTCTATGAAAAAATAAGGTCAAGTAGTGGACATGTGCTCCAAAAGGATTTGTTTGTTTGAATTTACACAGTTATACTAGTTGTCAATAATACTTTGTCATTCAATTGGTCAGTTAAATACAACATATTGATGAAGCATAATTCACAGAAGAATTGTCTCAAGTTTCAAGACTTCTTCATTTGGCTCTCCACACAGATACCAGCAAAAAAAGGACACAGGAGGGTGTTTCCCAGGAGTCAAGTTCCAATGACAAGAACTTGATTGAATAAGTCAACAGTAGAAAAACATCCATCAAACATGGATGTTTTCGTCTCTGTACGCATGTTGGACATCGATGACAGTTAGGGCCTAACAAACAAACACAAAACTGTTCAACATGCGCTGGTTGTTTCCCGCGAGGCACACTGGGTAGGTGCTCCTGCACCGGAGCAGAATGGATGGAGCACTGAAAGTATTTACAATGTTTATGATTGATAAATGTTGCATGTTGTTTTTCCTGATGGAGCTGGACACCTTCCTGGTGACTATTTACTGATAGTCAAACAAATGAAACAGCTGGTGAGGTTTTCTTGTGAGTTGACACATTTAAATACCTCCTTTTGTTCATTGAAACACGGAAACATACATGCAGGTAGGATATTAATTGTTCCACTGCTCAATCAAAGAAGGGAAGTTGACCAAGCAGAATCATTTTTATTGTTATTCTTCACCATCTTTGAAGTCTTGTACTTTGACATAGATATGACTGAAACAAACAGATGATGTATAAAATTGGCAATGATTTGTCATTGGCTCTTAGACGGTGGAGAAAATGTGAAGACATTAGTACATCAGTGTATAGCAAAAAAAACCTCAATGCATTATTAGAAAATGTTCATTTTACAGTTACAGTATTGCATGTGTAAAACATAATGTAAATGCATGCGCAGTCCCACAGGCCACACCATGGCCTAATCAATTAGTGACCCCAATTCCCATTTTTGTTCACAGCAATAGAGCCAGAAGGAGCAGCAATGATACAAATATTTCATTTTTGAATGAAATACTAAATACCAGTAAGCAGCTTTGAATTCACACAGTGTGATACAGAATCCAACAGTGAGTGTTTTTTCTTTGTCAGAGTGGTGCTTGCATTGCACGACAGACAAATACCTTTCTTAAACTGCCCCCTATTGTGAGTTTCCAACATGTAAGATAATACCAACTCGCTGGTTAAAATCTTTATCTGGCTTTATCCGACTAGCATGTTTCTCCACAAGAAGACTTGTGAATGTGTCCTTGAACTATGTGTTGGGTTTTTTCCTTTGTGTACGGAAAGAAAGCAGCTGAATAAACGCCCTCAGCACTTTCAGCGCAGCAAGTATGACATGACAGTTTTTCTGCATTGGTACTTTTTCCTTAACAAAGTATTCCAATTCTAACTCAGATACGCTGCAAAAGAGTAGAATTGTTTGAAATATGGTTGAAATAAGTGAAGACACCAATATTTACTTAAATTAGAACTTACAAAATAGCACAAAGGATTACAAAAAGGATTTATAATAAAAAATGTAAAACATTGTTTTTTTCCACAAGAAAATCTTTCCATTAAAACATAATTTCTAGATGGTTGGAGGAGACTTGATAAGAACGGGACTTACAATGCGTTTAGTTTCATTTGTTTCTGTTTAGAGATGACGTCATGATGCACGATTAAGCTTAAAGCCCCTTTGTGGATGAGATGTGGGTATAGTGTGGCGACTGCAAATGCCAAAACATATCCATCCCATCAAACCATCCTGTGCACGGAATTTGATAGTTGCAGTTTTAAATTAATGTCAGTTCATTATAGATGAACGTGTCTTTTATTCATAGTCACTAACAGAACGTTTCATTAACCCGGCAGAATGTTAAGAGCTTACATCTCCATCTGCTGGTCAGTGGTGAAAGAGGATTGAAGTGTCCCAGTGAATAAGAGGTAGTGTGACATGATTTACATGTTACTAGGCAGCATGAGGTCCCGCCCCCTACGCCAGATCAGGGCCAAAAGTCTGAATGTGAAAAAAACATTTGAAATTAAAAAACTTGTAAATATAAGATTTGAATGCGAAAATAAGGGGTTTTGTAAATGCAACCGAAAAAGTCTAATACAGCGAATATCAAAAAGTGAGTCAAAACAATACTTTTCGTCCACTCATTTCTATCTATTTCAATCTTCAAGAGCAAAACTTTCAGGTTGACATTTGTTTTTTTAAATGATTCAAACCTTTGGCCTCTATTTGGCTCTATATTCCCTCAGAGTTGTGGAAGGCATTTTGATCTGAGCTATTAGGCTTTTCAAGGCCTGCAGAATAACTTTAAACAATGCCCAAATGGTGATGGAGGCACTATCTGTTATCCACAAAGAAGGAAAAGATAATGTGGAATGTGGATTTTATTGACTGATCTCTGTGTTAAATGTCAACTACAAATTATCCACAGCCTTCCTTGCCAAAAGACTGGAAAGGATCCTTCCTCAACTTGTGCACAACGACCAGACTGGCTTTATTTCACAAAGACAAACCCACGATGACATCAAGCGATCGCTGCACAAACCATATCCGACAGAATGAACTGAATGAGCCTTCGTACTCGGTCTGGATGCTGAGAAGGCCTTTGATTCAGTGACTTGGCCTCTTCTTGGAAAAAGTCCTTGAACGATTTGGGATGCACATCAATTATTCGTACACTATATGCTAAACCACAGTGGAATAAAATAAATGGCTATCTCTCAGAAACCGTAACAGTAGAGCGTGGAACAGGACGGGGGAGCTCAGGCATTTGTAGAAACAAACCAGACCACAATATGGCCCTGTATGCCGATGATATGTTGACTTATTGGTGCCTCCTCCAACTACTTTTCTGACTAAAAACATTTGGTAGGTATGCAGAATATAAACTTGATCTTCATAATCTTCACTTTCAACTTTCCTAAAAACATTAGAGAGGAATGTCACCTTAACTGGGTCCAGAACTCTCTGAAATACACCTAAAAAATATCTCAACATCAACAACAGAGATAAGATACACCCCCCTTAACAGAAATTGAAAAGCTTGCTTTAAATGGTGGTTACTCTGCAGATCCAACCGTCCGACTTAATGATAAAACATACAGTTTATATACAGTACACCATTGTTATTTGACCGTGTAAAGTTCTGTCAAGAAATTCATTAATTTATTTTTAGATAAAAAAAGAATATTCACAAAAAAGCAATATAATGACTCCACATCAAAATTAACAAAACTACTGGCACTAAAGCTGCAATAACAACGATCGGATAGCGCAATATACAGTACATGAGTTAAATATACAGAGATAAATTACACCCCCCTCTTAACAAAAATGAATGTATGATGTCTGTTCTTACTTGAAGCAAATCCTACAGATATTCCACCAAAACAATTCTATAATTAAATAATTTCAAGATTTATTTGGCATGGTGAAAAAACCCAGAATTAAATTTAAATTTAAAATTAAAACTCCCAAAAGAAGAAGAAGGAATGGCCTTAAACAGTTTTAAGGATTATACAATGGGAAAGAGTTGGTAACCTCTCAATACCAAATGAGAACTGCTCTGTAAATTCCAGCGGAAATATTTTCCCACTTTTTTAATATATATCTCATATATGGCGGGAATTTGCGTGTGTTATTTGTTTCTTTAATTCACCAAAGCAGAAGGCACACTTTGCTGACGGGGATGCTACATGTTGGAGAGGTTGTGGGGCTTGAGCAGTAAATCGTTGGCATGTATTTTGGGAATGTCCAATGACCAAACCATTTTGGCAAAGATTCATAACACATTACAAAGCAATTAACACTGACCTGTATGCAATTTTCAACATTATTCTTCGGAAATTTCCAAACAGGGAATAAAGGGATAAATACCTGCTTTTAAATAATAGCCTGCAAAAAAGCGCTCACAAGGTGCTGGTTGCTCCTTGAGTGCCCGCGACACACGAGTGTATAAACAACATCTATGTAATGGAAAGGATTTGCCTTCAGATGAACGTGAATTGAATGACCCTTTAACACTTGAGCTCAGCAAGCCCCATCGACCCCAATCCCATTCTCTCTCCCCCTCTGTCTGATGTTTTTGTTTTTATTATTATTATTTTTTCTTTTTACATGTAAACTATCACAAATTGTACTAACTTAGCTCATTTTTACAAACTGTAGGTTTGAATGTGCACTTTGTAACCTAAGCTGTTGTTCAAATAATGTAAAAATAGGTCACAAGGCCGAGAGTGTATTAAAGCCCCATATGCAAATGTTGCTTCATGCAAAGGTCAAAGACCTTGCCTTTGGTCTCTTTTTACTTTGTTTAGGCACCACTGTTTCCAGCAGCCGCCTCACTATGTCCAGTCTGCCTGTTCTGATCAGAGCCCTGGATAACTCTGTGACCTCGGCCGTGCGAGTCCTGTAGAGACACCTCAGCACGAACTTCACGACGTCCTCGGGGTACCGCTCCTCCGCCTTTTGCACCCACAGCTCAAGTTGGGTCATTACGAGGCTTTGGTCAGGGCCTCCCTGCATGAACAAAGTCAAGAGCACCTGCAGGAGGCAGCGCAGGGCCGTTGTGTCCGTGCCCCCCGGCCTCTCTAACTCCACTGCCCGTTTGAAGCAGTCTGCAGCGTTCTGCTCCTCGCCCTTCAGCCGGAGGCAGCGTCCTCTGAGCACGTGGAGGTCCGGCAGGCTGTCGCCCTGCTCGAACTGTAGGGCGCGGGACACACTCACCAACGCGCTGTTCACTGCCCCCTCGTCCACCAACAGACTCTCCTGGAGTGCGTCTACGCCCATATAGTAGAACACCTGAAGGGAAGGACCGAAGATCTGAACACCCGGTTCCTTTAAAACATCCATTCACGTTGCTTGCTGGTGGTTTGTGTTTCTTACCGTTGCCATTTCCAGGTGAGTCCGCAGACATTGACGTGCACTCAGGACCTTGTCCAAGTCTTTTCTGGCCTCAGTTAATTTTTGTCGGTCTGGGACTCCACCTTGTCCACGTTTGACCTTCTCCAAGTCCCTGATGTAGAGCATCATATTGATCTTAAAGAAAGAAACATATGTACATCTCATTTTTCTAAATATATGGAAATTATCACTTTACGTAGGTGTTGGCAGTATAAAGGTTCCCTTTCCATCATATAGACTCACACAGAGAATATGCATTACACAAATAACCAATTATTCTTCATCATCTCCATTACTATAATCTAAATGTACGTATGTTTGAATTCTGTGCATTTTTCAGCGAGGTTTTAAAAATGGTAATAATGAAGTACTAAAAGCATTTCACATGGTAATCGACTCGGATCGGCCACCTTGGTTTCTGCATTCAATAGATCGGCTGCAGTACCTTTGCACGGGTGCAGTAAGCCTGCCAGTTGAGCTCTGGGTCTGGTAGAACGTTTAGGGCCATGTTGCAGATCCCCATTGCCATCTCATGTTTGCCCAACAGAAAGAAGACCTTTGCCAGAAGGTTCAGGGTGAATGCATCATCACTGGCCAGCTTTATGGCCTGCAGACACAGACAGTTTTGTATGTAATGGGGAAAATATAGAAATAGCCATAATTAAAGATGCCCAGTTATGGCAAAGTGCTCAAGCACCTCTTGTCTTTGTGGTATCTTGCACTTTCTCAAAACACCTTCTATTGCCTTCATATCCCTTCCTCATTATTCTTAACCACAGCTGAGTGCATCACCGACCCCGAGCCGCTACTCAAAGACACAGTGGAGAAAACCGTTTGCTAATTTGTATTGTACACAACTACTCACACTGCTGATTGATGATCCATTACTGTCTTTGTGAGTTTGTAGAAGATTGTAGAAAATATTTTATGGATAAACGTTGAGCTGATTCCCTGCATTAATCAACATTAGTTTTTGAATTTGAATGAAGTGTTTTTTAAAACACCCATGACGCCCATCAGTAGCCCATAGATCTCACAAAACGGTGAATCTAAGGATGTTGATCTGCAGCCGTGCCAGCAGGGCCTGCTACTGCCAACATGATACAAATAAACCGCCGGTAGTAGAAAACCAAAAGGAACGTAAGACGTTTGCGATAAACCTGGAAATGCTTATCAGATTTTACAACACGCTCTTGTCTGCTACCGTTGACGTGTCGTGATGTGCGGGTTAACTCACAGTTCCATAGCAGGATAAAGGATCAGTAGCCGAGTAGCCACAGTCATGTATGGACATGGGCACGGTGGAGAACTCTTCCTTTCTCTCCAGCATGATACCGATGTAACACCAAGTGAGAGCTGCGGGGAAGCAGCAGAATCAGCAATTTTACAATTTTACAATGCTCATTTTGTTGTTTCTCTCCCTTTAGATTGAGGAAATGATTGTAACTATTTACGTGACAACATTTGAAATGACATTGCAGTTGTTATTGCTAAAACAAAGTTATTTCCAATGGAAAATTGCAGTGCACTTTCAACAGAATGCCTCGAATAAAGCAGATTTAATTGTAGAGAAACATACTGTAAGATGTTTACCTTTGAGTGGTGTTTTCTCCAATTCTAGTGCTTCTTTGAGAAGCTGCAGTCCTTTGTTATAGTGAGAAAGTCTGGAGTATTCAGAGTCTGCTTCGGTCTTTATTATGTCATCCAGTCTGCAGAGAGAAAGTCCTAATGTATATTATAATAATAATAATAAGTGGTGTACTGATAATTTTAAAAATGGATTGTTATCTACCTTAAATAGATGGTGGCCATTTTAAAATACCAGCTTCGTTTTTCCTCTTTTTGAACCTGAAAATGCACAATTTTCTTTATAAGTGGTCTTTGCTAGATATACAAAGTTGCTTATTATGCAGAAATAAATATTCTATATATATATATATAAGATATATGTAAGATATGTGTGATAACTAGGAGCTTAATTTCAGGATTATTAACACTGTATGGATCGAAAACCCACCAATGAAATGCTGCAAGGTTATAAGTCAGAGAATGATGCATGTTTGGTGCTGATCACTGGAAGAAGACTTGAAAGTAGGAAAACAACGGCGCATAGTTTTTCTCCATTCAATCCTAAACTCTTTAACAGACATGTGCAGCTTTGGCGTGACTGTGTGTGCGTCTCACCAGCTGACCCCCGTAGCGCAGGGCCCTGTTGTAAAGTGCCAATGCTGCAGTCAGTCTCTCTCTGAGGTCGTCCTCACTGTCCAGCTCCACGTCGTGAGGATGGACGTACGCCTGCTCGGCCAGGCAGCGTGCCGCCAGGAGCCTGGCCTCGTCCTGGAAGGCCTCTCCAGCGTCCAACCCCATGAGGTGGGACACCTTCTCCACACACTCCCCCGCATCCAGCTCCCTCCCCAGCTTGTCGTACACGTAGCCCAGGTTGGCCCAGGCATTAAGGTTACCGGGGTCTTCTTTACAAATGCTTCTGAGAGGTCAAGATACACAAGAGAGTAGGGTTTGAAAAATATCCTGCCAGTCTTAAACACAAATGTTCAATGCAAAAAATAAAAAAAAGTTTAGAAAAGAATGACATGGTCCTAAGACGGTGAATTGGTGATCCTTACATTTTTTATCTAGCGCCAACATCAAGTTGACTTTTGTCATTGTTAGTGTGTTACCATGTTAAATGTTATCACACCAGCTAAGAAGAAGTAGGTAATAAAATGCCAAGTGGAGATGGAATAAGTAAAAAACAATTTAAATAGGACACACGCACTTCATGAGCATCTATACTATACGGGGGATTAGAATAGAAAATACTATATAAACCAGCTACAGAAGCAAATCATAAAGTTTAACAGTAAATCAGAGGGATATTACGTAGGATTATTTACTGCCACGTTGTAGAATATTGTAGTGTAAATTGGAACGTTGAGTCTTACATTTATGACAATTAGGATTTAACATTCTTATTGGAGCAACTCAAACGTTTGTTGATCATGCTTGTTGATTCTACTTGTCTAATTGGTGTGTGCTCCTGTTAACAGAATATTCGTACCAAATTTGCTCAGCAAATCTGTCAAGTATTGTGTAACATTGTTTAAAGGGTGACCTTTGCGTTGTGGATGTTCGACTGGAGCTGGTTAAAGGTCAGTTGTCAGATGTTATCCTGCTGTGAGGACATTCAGTCCAGTTGTGCGGTTTGTGGTTAGCTCACATCATTTAAGCGCAGCTAGTACTAAGACACATTCTAACCCGTGTGGTGTTTCTGTTATAAAAATCACATTACAACTACCAAAATCTCTTGAAATTGTATTTTGTGAACATTTTGAGTACTATGCCTTTAAAAAAAGTCATCACCTGAAAATCTCCTCAGCCGTGTCCAAGTGTTCCAGGTGAAAAGCCAGCAAACCCAACAGATTTCGGACAGCGTACTGTAAATATCCCACTTCAGCCTCAAGCTCGCCTTGCAGGCTCTCTTGTTTTAGGTAAGTGTCCCTGAGTCTCAGCCTCAAAGGCCCGACAGGTTCACAGTTGAGGTTGAGGTCCAGGTGAAAGTGTCCGGGTAAGTAGTCCATGTCGTCCATAAGGGACTCAATGTCCTCTGTGCTGACTGCCTCCATGGCCTTCCGCTCTCCTCCTTCTATTTGGACCCAAGATCCTGAACAAGAAAACAGCTCTTTCCTCTTCAGTCCTCGGTTCAATCTAGTCTACTGGTAACCCTGCGGATCAGACAGGTCAAACAGGTTGGGCTTGGGAGTGACTAGGAAGTGGAACCACTGGTGTGTGTTGAAATGTGCTTTAACTGTGGATACTCACATTCCATCACAAATAAGCCTATTTTCAACTTGCTATAGATAACAAGTCCAACTTAAGTGCTACGATTTGTTAGTGTTTTTAGTTAAGGTAGAGTCTGAAGAGGTGTGTCTTTAGTGTGAAGGCTCTCTGCGGTCCTGATGTCATCAGAGAGCTCATTCCAACATTTCGGAGCCAGAACAGCAAAGATGGTGATCTAGTCGAGGGTTTTGCTCTCAGTGAGGGAGGAACTAGCAGTTTGCCAGACGGGGACGACATATGTTTCCCCCCCACGCGTCAACTGCCCCTTTTGAGTCGAATCCAATAACAAACCAATCTCACTTATTTTCCTAAAAGGAGATTTCGTAACACAGTTTCACTCTTTGTTCTATTTTATTTGTCTCTTTAACAGTACCAACTGACACTCCTTGAATTTTATTCTGAGAGGATCACATCATGAATTGAGTTATTTAAACCATGTTTTGAACGTTTCAGTTCGCCTTCTCTGTCCAGCCAGCATCAGCTGTACGCAACCAAAGAATGTGACCCGTCAGGATCGGTGTGACTGCTGCAGCACTGAAGGAAACTCATCGAAACTTCATGTTACTAACATACGTGCCCTTCCATATCATTCTACAAATGAGTTACAATAAATAACTGCTGTAACGGTTTTAGAATCCTGATTAGACGCTAAAAAGCACTTTATTGTCTCAGTACTTGCCTGTAATGACAGTAGGGTTTAACCTAATGCAGCTGTACAATAGACTGTTGATAGAACATGTTGCCACCTGAAAGAGATATGCAGATATTCTGCAAACAATTCAACAAAAGTAAACACTATGAATCCTTGTTATCCCGCTAGTCACACCAAACTACATTGGGAAAATTAGACGAACACATGATAAGATTTGATTTGGTTTCCGAATGCTTTGGCATACACATCCAATCTCTTCCACTAGAGGGTCAACTTGCATCATAGCGAACCGGCGGAACAGACCAGAGACCAGAGAGAGAAGTGTTTTAAAGCCCCTTTCACATGCAATGTATCAATGGACTTTACCGGCCTACATGTAAAGTGCAAGCTTTCTAACAAGACAAGAAGAAACTCCAAGAAGCCTTAGTACAGAAGAGACCATGGGAGGGACAATACAGAGAGACATAGTTAAGAAATAAACAAAAAATCCTTTTTTTTGTTTTACTTTTTTTGCTTCAGTTTTTTCTGTTTCCTTAGATCAAACTGGAAAAATATGAAGAGAACATGCCAACCCACACACAAAAGCCGCTCAGGTTCATAGCACGCTGAACCGGCTACGTATGTTAGCATCGTAACATCCGCTGTCTCAGAGTGAGTTTTATAACTTGTAGTCAGTAATGCCGATTTGCCTCCTTGCAAGCCGGCTCTTATTTGTATCATGTGGGTGGATGGAAATCACTGTTGCTATGGTGACCATCGTGGATACCAGGCCGATTGCGTGGTAACATCATTATCACAGATGCCTGTTTGTGTAGCTGTGCATCCTCTGAGCCAAAGACACAACTTAAACAACATTTTACACATAAATTCTCCAGTTGATAGAGATTACATCCCTGCAGCAAAGTGACAAAACAAAGGTATTATGGGAAAGAGGTTAAACCTTTTTTATCTGGGTGGCTTTAGAGGTATTCCCCTGTCAAAGGGATTAGGGGGTCCCATACTGGTAAAGGTCCACTTTGCATTCAAACTAACCCCTTGCTAACCTACTTAATTGTTTCGGTCTCATTTCTGGCACAAAGGACAGTGTGTAATTGATGGTCAATAACATGCATGAGAATGGAGAGGTCTCTGACAATGGGAACAGTATGTATATGAGCAAAGATGGTAACCTTGCTGTACCAAAGTCCTCTGAAACCCATCTCTGAAGAGAAGTCACATTTACATTGACGGGAGCATAGTGGGGTATTTGGGGGCCCTCACGAGAGGTGACACGGAGTACAAAAGGATCATGGGATCACAGTAAAGCCTTATTAATCCAGACTGCGTACCTTCTCTTTAAACTGAGCTCTCCTCTGTTATTAATGCGTTTCATACACCTTCACTATTTTGTCTGGTCCAAAGCCTTATTAAGAATGGATGGATTTGATGACTAAGTATGTATTAGGATTTATTTCCTCTCTTCAAACCCCCACTCTAATGTCAAGGCACAGCAGCTCTCCTGCTATATTAGAAAGTGTGACAACACTACATTCCACATTCCTGTTTTCAAATGATTGTTATTCAAAGCAGATGTCCAACAACCTTTTTACGCTGTACATCCCATTCATCCGCTTTTCCTTTGAGACACACTTGTACATGTAACTAATGCATATAGCTGGAAGGCCTCTGCCTCTCTAAGCCACCCAATCACTGTTGACTATGACTGACTTTCCATTCTTAGTCAGCTCGTCTCTGGCAGCCTGAGTGAACGTTTGCAGTGAAAAGCAACTCCTCAGCTCTCCAGAGGCCTTCTCTGACTGCAGATTACACCACTCTCAATCTCTCTTTGTTCTGTCTTTATGTGTATTAGATTTCCATTAGCGTGCAATATTTTCAGGGATTCGCAGCAGAGGAATTAAAAAAAAATCAATGGCTAACGGTATTCCTTTTTATCTATTCCCACACGCATAAAAACTGGGAACCGCAGTACTCATTGATGCAGGTGAGGAGATCCATGAGTTAGTTGTCATGCAGAGCGACGGGGTGTGAGTGACAATCATCAAATCATCTACGTTGTGATTGTTCAGTCATATCACCAGCTCTGGGTTGTAACAGGGAGATGACGTGAGCATGAGTTTCTAGAGAACACCAACCCTGTGGTTGCTAGACTGGTTATCTTTTATATTGGTAGTCCAAATGATTCCAACGCGTTCCTTTCTAGGTGTTTTATTTTGAAAGTCCTACAGGAAGCGATGTGACGTCATTGCAGCTGGTTTAGCAGTCCGGGATCTCCGCTCCTCTCCCACTCTGCGGCTGCTGGTCGCTGTCATCATGCAGGTGGAATCTGCGCAATATTAGCGTAGGGAGAACCAAAGACTATTTTTATTATTATTAGTTATTATTATTATCTGCTTCAACTTGGCGATCACATGTTTGCTAAAATATACGGGCTTCAGCTGGTTGACGGTTGATGCAGCTGAACTTGTAATATGTCTCTAGGTTGTTCTGTGAGAACGTTTCATTACAGCTGTGCTGATGCTGCCAGCTGTTGTTGTCGTCCTGTCCTGGCGCAGTCTCACCCCGCTGGTATCGCACAGGATGCCGGTCGACCCTTCGGGAAGTGACTCTCGCAGTTTGCAAGGAAACGATTTCCAAGAAACGAAAAAAGACGTAATTCTTGCGGATTTTTTTGTTGCCCTTTAAACACACGAACGCGATGGATGAAGGCGCCGCCAACGAGACCATCCCAGATCTGAAAGACATCGAGGGGAAAATCGGGAGGAAGACCCCCGAAGCTTTGCTCAGGTGGATGCGGGAAGAGGCGTCCTCTCTCCGGGGAGAGAGGACACGCGGCCCCAGCGAAGAGACCGGGAGGAAGGGTTTGGATGAGAAGATCAGGACACTGAAGATGGAGATGGTAAGAGTGCTGTTGTGTGCCTGTTTGTGTGCGTGTCCGCGCGTGTAAGTGTGCGCGCGCGTACGTGCAAATGGCTGAACGTGTGGCTTGTTTTCCAGGATGTGTCATTATTTCTTTTCACACAGTGCATGCTGTCATCTAATGAACTCCCAGGATTCAGAATTCAAGCTAACTCTGCTCCACTGTTGATGGTAACATTAAACTATTATCGGCAGGTAAATCTATTGGGGCCAAAAAACACCAAGATTAATTATTTTTTGAGAAACAGCTGAAAAATGCATATTTATGTTTCATTTATGTGAGTGGTCTCTGGTGGAAAATGGCACTACTGTAAATCACCTTCAACCTAAGTGGTCCTTTTTAACACATCAGCCAATAGAACAACACTCAAATTGTTGCTACCAATAAATTCTCGACCTCTGTTCATTTTGTTGAAGGTCTAGAAACTTGTTGTTTTAGGAGCAGTAAAATAACGATTCCAGCACGTCCCAAAGTGTACATGACCAAAATTCGAGTTCAGTAAGACTGATTTGTTAGCAGTTGTTGCCATTGTTCAGCTCTGCTGCAATGGAGGGAGGACTGGGAGAGAGGTGATAAAGAGCCTCTTTCTAACTGAAGGGGGGGGCTTCTGTGTGTGTGTTGCTTAATTCATCTTGGAGAGTGGTGCGGTGTAATGGGAGTGCAAAAAAAAGGATATCTGAGCATCGGGCTTCTATGAGAATCTGCTTAGTAAGATTTACTGTGACGCATGTGCAGAGTGAATCCGAGTAGTGCTCAATGAAGGAGCTTACACGTGCACAGTCTCGTGCATGTATACCTTATCTGGATGTTTTCTCGCTGTTTTATGAAAGTGAATTGTCTTTTGTATGGATTCTAATGATTCTAATGGTCCACATCCAAACACGCACACACCATGATAAGTGTCAACATCCACATCTCTTTCCAACTTCCTGTCTACGTATTTGTGAGCTACTCCATCTGTAGCACGCAGCATGGTGAGAGTGCACTGCAGCATCAGTCTGTAAACTCGAGTGTGTGTGTGTGTGTGTGTGTGTGTGTGGACCTTGTTGTCACTGTGTCACCACCAGCAATGAAACGTGACTCCGCCTCTTGTTAACTGTCATTGTGCTCTTTATAATGCATTGAAACGAACACGCTGCCTTTACGTTTACCTGTTTAGAATCACTTGTGAAACCTAATATTTGTCTTTGTTTACCAGAAGGAATTATTTTAATCATCATTTTGGCAGTTTTCAGATCATACTTTAGCCTATATAATGCAAACAATGAATGCTTATTTTGTTTGACTACTTTCCCTCTCTGTGGCAGCAGTTTCAAAGGTTCCGTCTGCATTAGTCGAAAGCTGTCTAATGGAAGACACACTCTTCTCTGATCTAAACACATCTACTGTAGACAGAGACACTCATTTGAAACCACACTGTCTGTCAGCTGCACACACACACACACACACACACACACACACACACACACACACACACACACACACACACACACACACACATTCAGACCGAATGCTGTGTTGTGGCTTGGAGTGTTTTTCTCTTCTTTCTCCATATCTGTTTGTATCTCACTGTTTGCAGCTTGGCCCCGTTGCTCCTCACATCTGTCTTCCACCTCTGGCTGGTGGACATTGTAAAGTCAGGTTTAAGTGCAGAGCCAAGCAGTAGGCAATACAAATCTAATCTCTTTAAGCACAGATTTCTTTCTATACAAACTAAAAACACTTTGTAGTTTAGCTTTTTTGAAGAAATTGAACTTTCTTCACGAAAGCTTATTGAAAGCTAAAATGTCGATGTGAACACCGTCTATCTGGCTACTGGCTGTCTCCTCAAAGCCGAATGACCTGAGCATGTTTATTCACTCATGGTATTTCCTTTGCAACCATAGCACAATTGATATTCTATTCTATTTGTTTTCCTAAATATGTTTTCATATGGAACTTAATTGCTACTGGATTATTTTTAAAGGAAATCACCATCTTTTCTAATTGCATCACATTGTAAGGAAATTGGAGAGAGTACAAAGTGCAGGACTTTGATGTGTTGGGATTAGGTTTAACAAAAGCAATAGAATGATTGTGTGAAAATCAACTTGCATGGACTCTTGCTTCAAGTGACCATTGACTTTTTGGTAATAAACCAAATTAATGATCTTTCCATAACTGTGACTACGTGCAGAAACTACACAAAAAGTTTGATAATGTTGCACTACAAGCAGATATTGAAGTTAAACTAATAAGGCCGCATACGAAAACATATTTGCTCCTGTGAAAACAAGAAACAGAGCGGAAGTGCAGCATAATAAACAAACAAACCATACAACATATCCTCGAACTGAAAGCACTTCACAGGAGCATTTGTATTCCTCAATTATACCGATAAGAATTTAATATTCCTACATTAGAATGTATTATGACATAAATGTTGATATCTTTCATAAAAATACAGCCACAAGGTTGTCATAAAGTCTGTAAAGTTTAAACAGAACAAAAGAGGGGGACAAAGATGACACACAGGAAAGGAAAAAACAGGTGAAATAATGCTGTGATCAAATACAGAAACACAAGCGAAAATACTGATGAGTTTCAGCGATGAACACAGACAGATGGCGCAGTTGGAGGTCCGTGGAGAGAGAGGGGCCGACTTTCCGTTTATCAAGCCTGTAGGGACCCTGCAAGGACGCTGTATGTCCGCAGAGTCAGATTGGGAAGGTGAAACATCAGACAGTGACACAAGGGGACATGAGAGAGAGAGAGAGAGAGAGAGAGAGAGAGAGAGAGAGAGAGAGAGAGAGAGAGAGAGAGAGAGAGAGAGAGAGAGAGAGAGAGAGAGAGAGAGAGAGAGAGAGAGAGAGAGAGAGAGAGAGAGAGAGAGAGAGAGAGGCATTTATCTTGTTGGTGTGGTGTGTGTTGTGCTGTCCCTGCTGGCAGTGATTCAGCAGTCTGTTTGCATCCGTGTGACTTTGGGAAGCTGTTTTTGTCCAGATGGGCGAGTGTGCGTCATCGATCAGGCTTCAGCTGTGCACACGTCCACATGGCACCGCATCCACATGAGTCCACATATTACGCTAAAAGAGAGGACGATTATGATGACTAGATTTACCTTGCTAATTAATTTGGCGTACTGATGGGGGAAAATAAGTCCATCATAATATCTAAATTATTCCTTTGAGGAAAATTTTGTTTTATTATAAGTTGGATTTCATTGTAATGACATTTGTTGTTATAAAAACTCACCAATATATTATTGCAATGAGAGCAGATGGCAAGAACCCAGAGTGGTCAGCCAAGACCGGCTGTACAGCCAACACAAGTATTATCACCGATTAAAATGGATGATGGCCAAAAGTACAGAAAATAGCACCTAATTTGTACCATTTGAATAAGTAGAGATAAGGAACTCGTCACAGGCCTTGAATTATTTGAGAATTGCGTTCCAAAACACTGCACCACAATTTGCTCTGCCAGATAAAGATTAGTTTAGATTGGAATGCATTGATAATCCCTAACAATTTGCCACCAAAGTCCTTCAGTGGAGCACAGAGGCATCATTAATGGCTCTGTTAAAACCAATCATTGTTTTGTCATTGTTCTCTATCCTATACATTACCATATTTTAAATGGACAATTTCAGTCTGCTAAACCTTTATCATCACCGGGAAGACTCTTCCTTCCTTCTTCTGAAGTTAATAATTCACTTTTTACACTTCCCACCATTAACATTAATTCAAAACCTTTAACTTTCAACATCGCTTTAACAGGAGAGTTCACTGCCCTGTTTGAGTAGAGCAACTTGGCAGTGTCCTCTGCAAACGCCTGGAAAATGAGTTTTCCAGAATCCGAGGGATCAGCCGGCATGTGCTTGGCCACAAGCCTGAGCAAGAAAAACAGAATCTGTTTGGCTGTTGTACTGATTGCACCCAAATGATTAATGTGTGTTTCAGTCCTGAAGGCTAACCCTAATCCCCAGCCCACTCCCTGCTCTCATGCTGAATGGTGAATTTGGGACTACTCGATAAATCATTTGATCTTTTAAAATGTCCGAACAAAATGCTGATCCCCCTGTAGCATCTTAGCGTTGTGCCACCTCAGCGCTGACAGGCATGGAGCTACTTTTACTGCCTCCCTCCTTAGACGCACCGTCCCTGCCAGCTGAAAAACAACTCAAACCTCTAACCTGCACCCCGCCCCAAATGTCGGACTGGGCCAAGGGACGCCAGACACACACACACATGCACACACACATTCACAGAAAGCTGTGGTTCTCGGTTCTCTTTGTCTGGCACTTCTCCCGGCAGCGCGTGCTTTTATTTTTAGTTCAAGTCAAAAACAAAAGGTGGAGGAATAACAGATGTAGATTTTCAGAATTCATCTTCTGTATTTCTTCCCTATTTCATTGTCCTCCAAGTACAGTATCTGTTTGAAGATTTTGTCCAAGAAACCTAAACCCCCCCCCCAAAAAAATCCCTAAAACGCAGCCTAAATAGCATGTGCAGAGTGTTACAGTAAGCGTCGAGGTGTAGGCTGACATGTTGTGATTTAGCCAAAACGTTATCCCCACAAACTTAACCATCCATGTATTTTTGGATTAAGACTCATCTTTTTGGGGGAGTAAGGTTTGGGGTTAAGGCATTTAGTGGTTGTGGTTTAGGCCTCGTGAGTCAATGTTCTCACAAGTCACATAAACAACCCATTTAAAAGGTTCAAATGCATTCAGACAAAGTGTGTTTGAGCTATTGACGTGTGCCCACATTGCATAGCTATGAGTAACACACTGGGCTCTAATACTTAATATATTAAAAACATAAGGATGAAGTATTTGAATATACAGTTCCAACCTTTGGTTTTCTCCTTGAAATTACACCTCAAATGCCGTTGCCTGAATTTGGACCAAAGAAGCATTTTTCCTTCTCTAGATTCTCAGAATTTTCGCCACGAAAGCTTCGAAACAGAGACAATTTATTGTAAATGGCCGCAGAGAGAAAGAAGAAAGTAATGATAAAAATAGTGGAGGGCACTGATTCTGAAAGCCTAAACGTGGATAGCTTCGCTTTGAATGTCGAGGCAGTTCACCGCAGACCTCTGCTAATGTAATCTGGGGAGGAATTTTCCGAGGCCGCAGCCATGTTATTCCTCATATTCATCGTTTAGCTTTTTTAAACCCACTCAACTCACACACACACACACACACACACACACACACACACACACACACACACACACACACACACACACACACACACACACACTCACACCACGTTAAGACACCTTGTTATTTCTGAATTATCGTTTCCTCATTCATTTTAACATATGACATCATAACTATATATATTAAGTATGAGTATTTTTTATAAAGCATGCTTTATAAATGACTTTTTTTTCAAACGTGGTCCACTGTACCACACTTTCCGACTTCTGAAGAGTTATTGATGATAACATGTTCATTTTGTAACCTTTTCAGTTTTCTCCATCTCTTTTTCTGTTCTAGGCTTCACAATATTTGCGTACCCACGGGCCTCTGGCATATTGTACTTCCACTTACGGTAATCTGCAAAGCGTCACAGTGACACCTTTGTTTCTCCGCAGGTCCACTTTGCGCTCGGCCGACGTGAAGATCTTACATCAGTTGCTGGCGGGTCCACGAAGGCATCGAGGCGGTGAAATGGTTGCTGGAGGAGCGCAGCACTCTGACGAGCCGCTGCAGCAGCCTGACCAGCAGCCAGTACAGCCTGGGCGAGGGCCTGGACACTCCTGGAGAGGTTCCTGGAGCAGCCTGCAAGACCCCAACGACAAGCTGGATAACATCTCCATCGGCAGCTACCTGGACACCCTGGCGGATGACATGGATGAGTACTGCCCCTCCAGCTCGGAGTCCGTCGTCTGCTCCACCGCGCCGCTTCCAGAGGCGCCCGCCGGAGGCCGGACGGGGGGAGGCCCTGGGGGCACAGCTGGAGGGGGCGCTGGGGTCGGGATGAGGCCTGCTTTGGGGGCTGGGAGTGGGATTTGGGCTGGACAAAATGAAAACGGAACTGGGGTTGGGAATGGGGTGAAGGGGAGAGGGGGGGCTGGGGTCACGGCTGTCTCAGGCGACGCTGTGACGGGAAATGGAAAACCGGCGGCTGCTGTCAGCTCTCTCCAGGCCAAGTCTGAGGGCCCCAAGCAAGACATCTGGACAAAGCCTTCGGGGAGCGGTAAAGGAAGCCCCGTTTTCAAGGACAAAACACGGGCAAAAGTTGTTAAAGCCAATGGTATCCAGGGGAAGACGGTCACACGATCGGGCAGCCCGACGCGGAGCATCGGCGAGAAACGGGAAAGCGGTCAGAGCCCCAAACTCAAGACTTACAAAAATGGAACGATTGACCTCGATACTTGCAAAATGAACGGAAAAATGCACCTGGAGTACGACGCACACTGGCGGTGGGTGCAGTCGCAAGAAGATGTGACATTTTTGTGAGAAGGATGATAAGAGAGGAGACTCAAGCGAGTATTGAACAACGCCTCTGTCGCATCAAAGACCAGATCAATGAGGGACGGAAAAAATGAGGACTGAACTGCTGTTGTGAAATAGTGAGACTCTCCTTGTTGAAGGACACTGGGTTTAACTCACAAGGAATCACATGTTTTGTCCTGTCGTTTCTTGCTGTGACTGCACTAACTTATTTACTTACTATAAAACATTGATGTCAGTATTAAGATGGATGCAAACTTTTGCCAAATTTAGCCAGATTTGGTTAAGCTTAGTTAAAAAGCCCTTTTCATTGGTTTTCTTTTTGTTCCCGGATTTCTTTTCTTTTTTAAAGCACAGTAAGAGAGATGTAACACGATATACGTTTGCTTTACGTTAACTTACACCCAAGCTATGATTCAAACCCAGGGATAAATCAAAGAATATTGCCCCGGGATATTGTTGATAACTAACTTATCCTGCAGTGAACCTTTATCCCCACTTCTGACTGCAACCCATAGAGTTGGTGGTGCTGCATTTAAGTTAGTGAGAGACCAAAGTGTCACCGCATCAGCACATCATGTTTGAGTCACAAATTGAATGTATGGTACCGACTCTTTGTCTTAGACAATATAACTGAAGAAATCTTGATGGTTGTAGACAGTGTTACTTGATCAAATATTAACAAAATATAAATATAAATCACATTTTGATAATAACATGTGAATCGTGTTTCCCCCAAACTTGTAGACAAAGACTAGCGGATATTACAAGATATACCGCAACTACGGTTAGTAAAGGTTTCTCTCATTGAGAAATGATATGACCTCCTAGCATCTGTGTCTGTGTGGAGCCAGTTACCTCCAGTGCTTAACCAACCATCGTATATTCACTATACAGACAACATTTTTGTCCTTCTTTCAACTGTCACGGTACGTTTTCCTGATGTTGTTCAGATGTTGTGCCTGATTGCTGTGAACCTTAAGTACATATGCCTGTACGTCTCTTCTCAGATGACTGCACTGCTGTTATGATAATCTCAGTTTTTGCCTCCTCCCTTTTGCTTGCATCATTTAGAAATAGACCAACCCGTCTATGTGAGTGTTGGCTGGTAAATGTATTAGCTGGGTGTATGTTGCATGCTCTTTGCTGAGAGATGTATTGGTTAAATTATGAGAAAAGCTTGGAACAATCAGAGAAAAAAATGAAACGCTCCTTGAATCCTTTACTCTTCTTAGCAAATCTGATATTATTGGATATTCATGAGTTTCCACAACTAATGACAGGGAATATTTTTCTCTCAGAGAGAGAGAGGGGGACACATTAGTCGACTTCCTGCCTCAGTGCAGCCGGCCTGTCAGAGAATGGAAGAGTCCCAAAGGTTTTAAAGCGTTTTCTGCCGCATCACTACAGCGTTACGGCCTCTCCAGTTAGTCATGTTAATACTGCGAGGATAAAGCAACACATCAGATGAATGGAAGGGAGCATACTACACAATAGTTGCATAACCTTTTATGCAACACTACCCGATATCTTGTTATAAGAAAACCTGGTAAAAAGTGTGGCTTAACTTATTTGACCTTCTGTAAAAGCTTATATTTAATCAATCACATGGTATCAGATGCACATCAGAACCCCTTCCTAGGCATTATGGTTCACAACTTTTCAATACAGTGAAGATTAAATACCAAAAAACAATTCAGTTTTTGATACATTTAGTACATATTAAAGTCAGTACCATAAAAGGAAATGTGTTGGGTCCTAAAAGTTCTGGGCATAGTTTTTTATACATTTCATGCACTGTAAAAAATATACATAATATATTTTTTATTTATTTTTAACCACTCAAGCGACGTTTGATATGCCCCATGCCTGTAACACTTTTTGTTCTTGCAAACATGCAGTTGATAGTCTGAATGTTGCAGATGTAATATTGAAAGTATAATCTGACTGTATATGATATTGTGCTCAAATGAGATGCATGTTGCAGACAAAGTGTTTTCATCCTCACCAGTTGAGGATCCATGCGCAGAAGAAGACAGGGAAATGAAAGAGCAGGATTGTTGTTGACCTTTGCACAAACAAGGACTGACATGCTAGTGCTAGTGGTAAATAGGGCTTTTTCCCATGCATACCCCTCAGCATATAACCTAATGATATGCAAACCCTTTGCCTTTGAAGTGTGACCCTACTGTGAACTAGTTGGCTCAATTGTTGCCTCGTCCTGACTCATTCACTTCATGCAAGACCTAACTGCTTGCATTCACATACAATACTTGTAATGACATTTTGACTTTAAGGTCAAATAAAGCCGGTTCATCTTTGAACCGGCCGGAACCAACTGTACAGACTGTTTACAGGCAGCTACAGTGAGATGTTAAACTCAGAATCTCTATTTGTTTGAGCCAATTCCTCTCTCCTCCTCCTCCCTTTCTTTTCATTCTATTTTCCACCACACTGGTCCGACGGAAAAGCTCAGCCTGTGCCAACACACACATCATGCACGCACAATGCCGTCTCGCTTTGAGGCAGCACCATGAAGCCGGCACCTCGGAAACAGGAACCGCAGGCTGACCCTAAAGACAGGAAGGGAAAACTGTGGCTCAAACTGGACCCTGAACTCCTCAGCAAGTTGGAACATTGTAAAGATCATGTTATTTACATTTCAATGCTTTTAATGCCAAAAGAACAGCATGTATCTATTGCTGGACGCCTATTTCAATCATTGTATATCATCTAGCCACAGCAGAAATGAGGTCATTTGAACCTCCTTCCCTTTTTAAACATATGCGTTGGCTGTAACGCAGCATGGCATGCCAAAAAGACTGTCTGCTCGGCTAGTTTGGGTTTTATTTCCAAATTTGCAGAGCCATATGGTGAAACAAAAATGTAATGCCAGGAACAAACCTGCAGTTTATAGTGTGTCTCTTTGAAGCTATGCACTAGCCAGAGGTTTCATTTGTTTCCGTTGGACATTAATTAAAGGCATTAATTAAAACAAGATTTAATGAGTACTGACAGTCTAGGTGCCAGCATGAATCCCTTGCAGCCAGATTGTTTCTGAAAAGGGGAAAATAGCTGCATTGTGTGTACATGGATGAGAACGGAAGTGTTACTTCCGTTCTCATCCATGCTGGTGAAAAACACCTTTTATTTTAGTTTCATGTAAATGTAAAGATGTATCAGATGCCCAATGCGTGGTGTGTTTGCCTTGGCTTCAGGTGCCAGGCACCCTCCAGCTATTCTGGGCAGCAAGACAAACAGCGTGATTACATAGAAGAGTGGATATCCACAAGGTTGCCATGACAATGAGAGCGAGCGGGCTTCAGTTCGAGTGGAAACAACGTTCTAGCGGCGTTCTAGCGGTACTAAAGTGAGATGAAAGAGATGAGATAACTGCCTTTTTAACACGTGGGTCTGAATAATGAGGTAATTATGCTGTTCATATGGGATTTGAGATCTGACTACTTTGAAGTAGTGTGTACGTTTTGTGATTAATGATTCGTTTAGTAATATCTTATAGATATTGAGTTGCATTATGAACAAATTATATGGAAAAATATGTATTACTTCTTCCTGATTCCTCCGACATCTCTTGAAAATATGTTTAATCTCAGCAATGCAAAGCAATTCAGTAAGTTAGCAAAAGATTCTTCTTTTCCATTGCAGCACAGCAACATGCACAGTAACTCCCTACGAAGCAAATTTGCTTCTCACATTCCCCACTGCTCTGTTCTGCATCAGCACTCAGCTCTGCCACTCTTTCTATTAGTCTTGGACATTTTTTAGAGAAGCTTCAGTAAAAGAAAGACTTTCCGTGTTATATGCACAAGCACGATTGATCCCGGGACTGACGTGAGTCTCTTGGTACCTGACAACTCCTTAAAGAGGCACCATTGAGCATTTCCTTTCCTTGAATCTTATCCATCCTTTTTTTCCACATCCTGACTGCTCAAAAAAATGGTGAATGAAAAAACCCCCACTGAGTGCACACTGGGCTTTGAACTGGGTCAAAAACTTTGCTTAAGCCACACAAAGCTTGGAGGATTGAAAGATAAAAGCCAGAGAGACTAACTGCTGTTTGCTGGATCAGTCTAATCAATATCTTGCTTTTGCTTAAGTGATTGGAACGTCTTTTATTCCCATGATGAATATTTTATTATGCACTGTATCCAGAGAATTCTTTTTTTGTGATTTATAAATATCTGATTATGTTAATTAACATGGGTAATTATATTATGCAGTATGTAAATGATATGAGCTTATCCGATAATTAAAGATATTTAATGTTTTGCTTGTGTTTTTATTCCCTTATACAAACTGTATAAAGTACCCCTGCTTATCTGCGCTCTGCTGAGTGCTTTCAGTGAAGCGTGTGTAGATTTCTAATCAATACTTAGACTTAAAGCACTCCTTGGAATTACCTTCCACAACAACAACAACAACGATGTTGTTGCTGATGGGTGAAAGTAGAGAAATGAATGTGGGGCAGTAAATTTGAAGGGAATTTTAACAATATCAACTTATGCACATTTGGTCTAAATCAACACATGCAAACATTCAAAGTTGTTATCATCACGTAAACAATTAGGTTCCGTTAAAACTTTTTAAGAATGTTTTAATTTTAATGTACTCATCAAAGTGGGTGAAAGACAGGACCTCCTTACTAATCCACATTTTATCTTGTGTCCTGGGTGTGTTGTCTTCTTTCGTCCACTTCTGTTCACTTTCCCTGAAACATCTCTGCAGCTATCTTTCTTTATATGTCTATTTCTGTCATCTTAATTAGTGCAACTGTTCAAATAATGAATAAAAACTCTAAACTGTATAAAAACGTCAAAGGGCTACTGCAGAGTGAAATGGGAAAACTGCATCCATCTGGATTTTGACCAGGGATGCAGTAGCGACACCACCAGCATCTTCTCTCAGCACCAATGGTGCTGAAAAAACATATGCATATATTTTAATTCTATTGACAATGCAAGACAATTAGCCCATTGACAACTTCTCTCACAAATAACACAGTATACTTGTCCCTCAGTCTCTAGAAAAACTAAAGCAGCACTGACAATTTGCCGCTGTGCTAACAAGATGAACGGCTTTGTTTTAATGGTGGTGTCAGTGTCAGCCATTAATTTTCACTGTCCAGGATGGTGAGGCACAACTGGGCTAATTGAGGCAGGCTAAATGTTTGTGGCTGTTGTTGGATGCATGTGTCAGCAGACTAATTTCACCGAGCAGCAACCACAAGCAGCCTTGAGACCAACGGATACTCAGCGTGTTTGTAGAGCAGCTGTTAATCCACGGATTACGCCAATAAAACAGCCCCGACCTGCGTTCTTTTCTGACTGACTGGGACTTTTTATTTGCCCCTGATTTTGTTTTTTACCACAGTGGGTGGTGACTGTATGGAGTGCACATAAACAATGTGCGCAGGCTGTAAATGCACAGTTAAACAGTGGGAAGGTTTCCTGGTTACAAGACAGGGTGGAGGACACAGCAAAAACACGGGACACTAACGGGTGATCAGGGAATCATTTGTTGGGAAACATGCTTGTGTCAAAATAAGTGTACTCATGTAGTTATGTCTACATTAATTAATTAGAATAGATACGAAAGATTATATATATGAATAACATTAAATATATGTCTAATATATGTCTATATATGTCAAAGTAAAAGAATGAGAAATATGCTTCTTGTTCCAGAAATATTGGAAATAAATATTCAGTGAGAACTGATGGTATAAATTACACCACATCACAGCAAAGATGCATGTAAACTATTGTTCATTCCATTGTTCCATGAACACATGGCCACTGTGTAGATTCAGTGTGAAGATATCTGCTTCTTCAGACCTTCAAGGTTCTGTCAGTCATTGGATCAGGTTGAGGATAATGGTTATAATGAGACACAGACTGCCACTAATCTCCTCAAGTGCCCCTCAACGGCATGATAGACCATTCAAAATAGTTAGTCTTGTACAATTGGAAGACGGAGTACCAACGGCCTCCCCCCCCCCCCCCCCCCCAGCTTCAGTCATGTTTTAGGGTAATTTATTTTTAACAAATGAAGAATTGTGGTAATGAATGCATAAAAAAACAGACTAATTGGAAAACTTAAGTAAAAAAAAAAAGTAATCCAAAACAAACAAACATGCTTTGTGTAACGTTTTGTATTATTGGGTTAAAGCGTGATTCAGATACTAGTTTTCATTTTTTGGTATTGAGTGGATAAAGAAGCTTTACCAAAAAAGGAAGAGTAAGGGCTTTATTGAGGCAAATGAAATACCACCTTTATGGTCTGTGACCAGAAGGGCCTCAGTGTACTTGAGGAGAAACAAAGAAAAAACAGCTTCAGGAATTCAATAGGGTAAAAGATAAAGCGCAACAGTTATTTCCTGTCAATTTTAAAGAATCGCACATCACAAACGTTAACTTGTTTCTCCGTGCTGTTTATGTTTTCAATCCAAGCATCTCATCCTCCCCCTCACACATCAACCACTACTCGCATCATGTGACACTTTATTAGGACGTTCCCAGACGGAGGAATGGGACACGGGCGGGCTGCTACTGTCCCGGGTCTTTTACTCGACCCGGGGAAATACACAAAGGCCGCGGCGTTCCCACAGAGGGCCGTGAGCCAACGTGGGTCCGCAGGGGCCGCAGTCGTTGGGAGTTTCCAACTCTGCACCGAGATGTTGCGGGTTAGTAACTCACAACACTGTTGAAGACGGAACCATCTGTTTTGCGTCAGCGTGTCCACGTGCGCGCGTGTGTTTCAGTTTCTCAACGTGTTTACCACAGTTGCAGCATGCAAACGGGTCGTTGAGGCCATTTGTGTTCACTGTTCACTATTTGAATGATTTTAGCAATGTCACATATATAAGACAAGATACAGGCAATTCAAATATTAAAATGTGGGGAAGAAATATATGAAGCTGACTAACTGTTCTAACAAGGTTTTGTCACAAGACGGATTTGAGTATTAATCATGTAATCCCTGACCAGAGTCGAGGCTCTCAGATTGGTTCCTATCCATTAGAACGGTCGTTGTGACATTGAGGTCCTTGTGTTGTCAGCTCAAACAAACCTGGTGAAGCGCAGTGTAGTGATGGGTTTGTAGAGTATAAATAATTAGAACAAATTAATTTAATTTACATATTAAAAAGTGTCTTTACAGACAAAATAAGGAAACCTAAAATGGGAGTTGATGTTCAAAGACAAAATAGGCTTTCAACCCATTGGCTGATCCTACTTTGGCTACTTGGGCCTCAAACCAATTAAGCCTTAATTGAGTGTGAGGCTGAAGCTCTTACACCCCGTTAGCCAGAGACAATCACACTTTGTGACACACATACTCGCTGATCTGAAGGCATTTTGTCCATCCGCCCCACTTACGGAAAAAAAGGCTGCCCCGGGTCCACTGTGCATCTCTCGTTCCATCCCACAAACACAAATGGGTTTTCATAATGGTTTTGCTTGAATGTGAGTTTGTGCCCAATAGATATCTGGGTTAATACTCTCTCTCTCTCTCTCTCTCTTGCAAACCAGCAGAATAATGAGAAACAAAGGACAAGCTGTTAGAAGGATCTTTCAGTACAAAAAGCCCGGAATTTTTGTTTGTCACCATCAAGTTCAAGTGACCCAGTAGTCCAACTTCCAACCTCAGTCAAATCATTATTTGGGCTTTTTGATGAGATGGCAGAAACTGGAACGAGACATTCAGACTTTGCATTTGTAATAAGTGTGTTTTGGGCCTTTTGATGGCAAAAGTTCCCTTCGGAAAGCAACTTACATCCAAGTATAGTTAGGTTAGTCAGCAGGCAACTCATGAAATAGGATAACAACACCATCATATATTTTCAGTAACCAACAAACGACTTACAAAAATGACAAAGTAACAGAAAACACCAACTTCTTATCCTTTGTAAAGTAAAAGAGGGAGCACAGTCAAACGCTCCAAACCACTGAGGACAGATTTTGCTAACAACCTTAAATCTCACTCCTGATTGATGGTACACAGACACATTTATTGTTATTCATTTACATAAATAACAATCCGCTGCGCGTCGGGCCTAACAACACCCTCGAACTGTTACATTATTGGACGATAAAGTACAGCCTCCTGTACCTTATTGCTTAAGTAAAACACATCCAAATCCCGACAGACCAAGCTGCGGATCAGCATTTACTTTTTAGTCGTGTTCCAGACTGTCCCTTTCGCCTCCTCGGTTGTTTTCTCTTTGTTTTTCCACAATCCAGATGTGATCCAATCATTCCCAGATGCGTCCAGCTCAAAGATAAATCAGTCACTACATGTAGGTTTCTTTTTGTTCAAAGTTGCAACACCAAACAAATATTCTCCTGGGAGGAAAGGAAACTTTCTGTGGAAGTGTTTGTGTTGCCATTTCCAGATAAATGGATCCGGGGAGGGGTGGGGACGACGAAGATGTAAAGAATATCAACATTGCATGTAATGTCAATCATGTGTATGGTCAAGCATATAGTTATAATTAAAGTAATGATCCATGCTTTTTTTTATCAACATAAGTGTTGAAAAGTAAAAAAATCGAACGTAACTTGTTTTTTGCCATGAATATTAGCATGTTTGAGATGCCAATTATGTATTTTTTAGACCGTAAAACCAGTTTTTACTCAAACTAAATATCCTAATTGACTACTAGGAAATGTTATTTTGTGAAAACATTTTTGTGTTTTGTGTGAGGATTTTTCATCATGTTCTTCACTTGTCGGCGTTTGAAGCTTCTACAATATAAATCTCATAACAAAGTTCATGATTTTCCCTGGACATTACATAGTGTCACACTGGACACTTTTTTTTTGACAGAGTGGGTTGTAATTTCATCTGCATCTTAACTTATAACACCTGTGCGATGGCTTTTAGTTTGGGATCCCTGAAGTGATTATTACAGAAGAACCGCACACACTTTAAATAGTGGGCACCTAAACTGTGTGGCCTCTCTCTCTCTAACCACATCTAACTATAGCACAGCATCACACATCTGCCCTTCAATCCTCTCTTTGCTAAAGCCATCGGCTCTCTGCGCCATCGCGGCCTTCTGTGGCCAATACAGACAAATCACACCAAGCGAACACAGCTTTTGAGCACTGAGCTCCAGAAGTGGTGCTTTTCTGTCACCTTGTGGCCGTAAGATGTAAACACACAAACAGGTTAGTGTGATTTATCTGCTAATGACATTTAAAGTGTAATTTGAAGCACATGCTGCTCCTTCCCTTTGATGTACTAACCACTTTTTAGTTTATGTGGTTGTTGATACAACGCAAGCATCGTGTGCCTCGAACTCAACAGTGGATTAAAAAAAAGAAGGAAGTGTCTTTTCAGATTGAATTAGATAACTCATTTGTTGATTGAGTAATTGCTAATTGAAAATTAGAATATCCATTAAATATTGACGTACTATGTAGTTGTTCCGAAAATCTAACCTCTGTGGCTTCATAAATAAACAGGACAGTTATAGTGATACTGTAAGTGTCAGTTTAAAATATATACTTAGTATACATATATAGTTATACTCGTCTTAAACGAGGGGATTCCTGCCTCTCGTGTCCCTGATTGTTTCCTCTGTCCAATCACCTGCACCTTCCCAGTGTCCCTCCCAGCAATTACCCAAATTTGGCACAAGCCTAAATGAAACCACAAAAAGGGCTGACCAGGTTGAAACTTGCAGTATTTATTGTTAAACTCTACTGTGTGTAGCCAATCAAGGCTTTAATAAACTCTGAATACCCTTGCTCCTCCAACAGTGTCTGAAGTTTTCACTTTTGCACATGAAACTGAAACAATTACCATACACAATAAACACTTAATTTTAACTCGGAAAAATAGACGGAATACCTCAATATACAAGCAATATTTAACCACTTCAATCCTCTCGTTCCACAGATATTTTTTTATCTTTTTTGTACACACCAGACAGTGAATTTATATATTAATGGCCAAACACAGAAAAAGATAATATCACATACCCTTACAAACTATACATTTCAAATACATTTCAGCACAATCAATCCAAACTGCAGATTATGACCGTACTAACAGTGTATTTCTTCCCTTTAAACCTTTGTTTATAACCACAAAGGCTTCTACTGCCCACCTCTATTCCTCACTTCCTCACTAATACACAGCTTGCTCGTAGTTCCTGTCTGTAAGGACTGTACATTGCTCTCCTAAGCTCCATTGAAAAGTTTAGATTACTCCGCTGGTGCAGAGGAGCAGTGTGGCACGGGAGAAAATCTGTCTTTTAAAGAAAGAAACATCAATAGATGAGGATTATGAGGTCTTCACCCACAGAACATAATAGCAGCATTCATGAATATCAAATGTTGATCAAGTGTTTTCACATTTTTCAGCTCTGAAGGAACATGTGCAAACCCACTAAAGATACACATTTGCATTTAAATGCGATCTGCGTGAGAGTCGCAGATTCACGGTCGAGCTGTGAGGTGCATCGTACACGGAGCACTTCTTAACTGAGGCAGGTAAAGCAGAGGAACGCTTTGTGTCGACGCTGACAGCGGCTCGCTCGAGTCCTCGGGGCCGAGCAGAGCGTGTGAATCCTCAGACTCCTCCTCTCTGTTGAAATCTACATTTTTGAGCAGCTTAATATTGGTCTTTTCTTCACGGCTTCCCTCATCCGCTGCTGGATAGTCAGTCAGACAGCAGAGGTCTTTCTCTTCTCTCGCCTTCTCTTCTTCATCTTCTTGCTCCGACGTCTTGGAAGGCTCCTCCATAGAGTTGTCGGAGCAGGAACGTCGTGGCGCGTTCGTTTCTCCAGCTGGCCGGCAGTCCAGCTCCCACAGACCGCCGGGGAAAAATCCAGAAATGTTCGAGTTGGAAGAGAAATTGCCCCCGCCGCTCCAATCTTTGTCGTGGAGATGAAGGGGCGGTTGCTCGCGCTTCAGGTCACAGATAAGCACAGTGGCGTATGTGACTGCGGACTGAGCAGCGCTGTCGTTGAGGTCTGGAGGCAGGTCTGCTGGTGGATGTTGTAGCTGTAACTGGTCCACTGGTTGACTTGAACTGACTAAAACATTTAGATAAGAAGGAGCTCCAACTAGGAGCCCCCCACTCTCCATTGCCTGGCTTTGGTTGCCCTCCACGTTACAATTGGAAATATTCTCAGACGGCAGGTCCAGGTGCCATGTAAGAGGCCGACCTTCTGGAAGGAGGAAAAACTGGTCAAAGGTGTCAGCCTGGAAAGATGAGCAAAAAAAACAGGATTTATTTTGGGGTGAAACAACATAACTGAAAGATGTATAACATTATGTCAAGCATTCCTACAGCAAAATAAAAGGGTAAATGTGCATTCATGAACATGGATACATTTGTTTGTAAGTATTCATGAAAGTGATAAAGATAAAGATAAGTAAAACCTGCTTGGTTTAAAAAGTTTGTCTTGGCTTACTGTTAAAACAAGTGCTTTGTGCAGAAGGCCAAACATATTGAGTAGAAGGATCAACATTATGAAATGTACTTAACGGGTTTCTTGCCAAGATTCACTCCTGTAGCCAGGCAACTGGTGGATTAGCTTAGCTCAAAGACCGGACACAGTAAGTCTGCCTCTAGCAAAGATGTAACAAGTTCACCCCAAACGTAAAACTAATACCTTATTCAAGTTATCTTTTTGTTTCGTAAAAATAAGTCCTCGTTCTACTGGGTGATGTTTGCCAGACTATTTCCTGGCGATGAAAACAACTTCCTTGAGTCTCATGACATGTAATGTAATAATGTAATGTCTCACTGCCACACCGAGGGAGCTAAGCTAATTGTTTCCAGTAGTAATGCTAAGCTAACGTACTGTGTATCAGTGTATCATATCTATGACACATTCAAAGGTGTCTGTTTAAAAAAAGTTTCTGAATGCATGTAAACAATTTTCAACACACAAATTACAGCAGTTTAATTTAATTTACCTTTTTTAAGTCCAGTCCTTTGGCCCAGGAGCATTTCTCTGGGTTGGGCACGTCCTTCCACACAAGCTTTTTCATTCTGAAAAGAAACGCAGCAGATATTTAGGTTCCATCTCTCCCCTCATCTACCGCCAGCTAACATCAAGTGTGATTACACCTTTGTCACCTGCTAAATGTCACACCCCTTCAGGTTTTAATGATCAGTCCCGTAATTAGACTGCACCCCAAAGACTTTTATTCATTAGCATTTATCACTTCTTACAGCTCGGTAAATGACTAATTTGACCTACAGTGATGGTGTATAATTAATCCCACGTACAAGATCGACCATGAAGATTCAGCACATTTTGCGGGCACGGGGTGTTTTGTAAGATCTGATTGTCATTTCTGCAATAGAACCCCCCAAATGGATTTAAAATCACAACTTTTACATGTTGAATTTCTTGTGTACGGTAAGATCTGCTACTGACCATGAATGTTTAATTTAATCCCTGTGGATGTGTGCAAGCAGATCAAACAGGAGCTTCTTACTGTTTTTGGGAAACAATCAGGGTGACAACCAGGACCAGGGAGAGGAAAGAGATCATCATCAACATAATGTAAGCTGCAGGGTCTCGTCTGGTGGCTGAAACACAAAGAAATAATCAGACCTAATAAACTATTAACTTAACAAAAGTGCTGGCGTCATCCAAGGATGCAGCTACAATAGCCCAAAAACTGGTGCATACCCAAGGCGAACATTGGCACCCCCTCTCGATCAGCAAACACTGGGTACAAGTAGAAGCCGCACTGCTCACAGCCTAAGAAATCCCCTGAAGTGATAATTATAATCATTTTAGAGAGTTTACTCACTTTTTTAAAGTGGGACACACTGTTAAGAGATACACTCTACAATAAATAAATGACCTCTCAGATGGATGGGGGAGTCTGTGTAGGGGAGTCTGACCCATGTCTTGTCACTACGGTCCTTGTGATGATCAGAGTCCTCTTGCCTCTGTGGAGACCACTGGACCACCATGAACAGAGGGACAGAGCTGTTGTCCAACAGACTCCAGGACAGAGACACACAGGTGCTGTTGATGAGTGACACGGTGAAGGAACGCACAGCGCGGCCTGCAGGGGGGAGAACAAAAGGAGTGAACACCAGTCTTACAGGGGACGTCTTCTCTTCTGGTTCAAGTTCTGTTACAAAAATGACTCCACTCAACAGTAGGGATGAAATATGCCAAAACAACCATATTCCTTTTGATGTTTCGCTAATTGTTGTGGAGAGAAGACACAGTGTTTGTCACTACGAGCGACCTCTTAAACGTAGTCAAGTGACCCTTTGTTGATAAAAAAACATTTATACAGATATTTTAAGTTGGATGCTTTTTTTTCATATAAACATACATATACATTTTCTCAGACCATAAACACAAAAATACATGTATTTCTGAAAGGAGATAAAAAGCAAAGAAAACATGACGTGAAACCACCTTGTTATTCTTTCTGGTAAATGTGTCCGTAGGCAAAGCGTGCAGCAGGAATCTGTCTTATCCTTCACTAGCATTGGTTTTTATCAGAATGCTTTTTCCAGACTTTACTGGACTATAAAATGTTACGGAACCTTTCTCTTCGCTGTTTGAATCTGCTCCTGGTGTAATACAGAGTTGCAGCTCATTTTTATTTTCATGAACAATCCATGCTGATGTAATAACTTAGTTTCCAAAAATATACAGTGAAGTGAAAAATAAACTGACCGTTATCAATGCCAATTGTCAACACTTTGTCTTTCTAGTTTCCTCCTTGAACTGATTTTGCTACCTTGGTTCCTTGCGCTCGCTGAGAATCCCGTCTCACTCACGTTTTGGTTGTGTCTCCAGCGTCATGTTGATGTTGCTGGTGGAGCTCCCCAGATGGTTATACGCCTCCACAGTCACAATCTGGAGCTCCTGGTCCCACTGGAAGCTGTAGGACGACGCCGCGTCGATCTTCTCCCTGATCACAGAGCCACTCGAAGCCTGGAACTGGACTATAAATCCATCTATGCAAAAAGAGCGCCCTGCTGTGTGGAGGTGCTGCGCGAATGCAAACAATTTTATTATCGTTAGTTATGTGTCCATTACAAGCCCGACAATCTCTATGTATTTTCAGTTTGGGTACCTCAAATAGCAGAGTAACAATAGTCTGGTTGCTGTGTGGATCATGTTGAAGGACTCTCCAGAAATCTGGGCCGCGCTTCGGAGCTGACAGGGAGACCGAAAAATGGCATCACATTAGCTCTTACACCAACAGCTTTTAATGGTGGAGGAGACGTTGGTACGATGCGTAGCGTACGGCTTTCTTTCTAAAAATCAGTGAGTTGTAATTTGTATTCTCGAGGTGAGAAGTAATGACGCGGTACTTTACCTCTGCTGTTCTGCGGTGTGGAGTAGACCGGATCGCTCCATTCGCTCCAGTAGCCTTTGCCGTTGAAGTGCATGCAGCGCGCTTGTACCACATACAACCGGCACATGTCCGACGCGGCGAGCTCCATCCTTGGAACCTGTACTGGCCTCTGGGTCTGCAAGCATGACATCTTATTTAGAGCTTGTTTTTGGTGTGAAGGAAATGTGGAATATTTTACCTGTTGAGTAAGGGTTTGTTTTATCCATCTATTCGTTTCATCAAATCTTATCGTTTTGATTTCAGAATGTGTCCAATTAAAACGAGGGCAATATGCTCTTATGCAAGCGCGTATCGGCTCATATCCGACTGACCCGTTGAGTCCATGTCAATACATCTGGTAATTTATTGAGATTGGCCAAATCTTTGATGGCCTGTGATTGGTAACCAATGCAATACACCAGCCCACCTTCCACTCCGGCTGGGCTTTGACAGCAGAGGGCGAGTAGTGCCGAAGCTGACACTGGAGTCCCTCTGCTGGCAGAGACGGAGGCTCCCACGTGACCCTCAGGACCCCGTTGCTTTGGGTCACTGCCCTCACGTTAGTGGGCGCGTGGGGTTTTACTGCAGAGGGGGGGAAACAGCATGGAGGGAAAGTGTGAGTTCGTCTCATAGATACAGTAATGGAGTCTCTGAATCCACCTGGCTCACCATGGTCTATGGGCGACAGGTAGATGGGTTTAGTCTTGATGGGGCCCAGCTCGGACGACATCTCCACCCACAGCTTGTAGCAGCTCATCCTCAGAGGCTGAATGGTGCACGTTTTCACCTTGGGTCGAACTCGCAGGCAAGCCGGCCCCTTCTGCCCCAATTCCTCACCCGCTGTTTCCCTCTCCTCCATGATGTCGCACGGCAGGTCGGCCCACCTGACGAGACCAACGAATGAAGGCCGTGAATATTGTTACGTCATTGCTGCGGGTCTCTTCCCTTTAGCTAACCCTTTAGCTAACCCTTTCTGGGATGCGAAAGGTTAATGTCCCTTAATGACAACTTGGATGTTATTCATGTATTTTTTAACATTAAGTCGGTTTGTACTTTTAAAGCTTTAGTCACCAATATGAGGCAACTTTCTTACTTTTTTTAGAATTTGTACTTACTTTTTTCCATGACATTCTTCAACCTAAAATATCTTTTTTTGTTGACATTTCTTTCACACAACTTTTTCCAGGATGTGTTCCCTTAATACATCCAGGTTCTCATAGGATTTCATTAAGAGACTGACAAACATCCAAATAGAGAACACTAATAATGAGACGGTTACTGTCAAACGTACATTGCTGGTTTACCTGTATCCGATTTGGGATATAGTCCACTGTGTGATATTCCAGCTGCAGTCCATCGCATCAATATCACCGTTGGTTGAACAGTTGATATCAATGGGGGCTCCTGAAAGACGCACTCGTGTTTAGGTCAAAAAGAAATCTTCCCCACAATGGCCACTTTTCTCTGGCATGGTTTTGGTTCACATTATACTGCTACTCTATTTTTTGTCTGTCCACCGTGGAGAGGAACAGAGTAAAAAAGGGGCTTCGGGAAACTTTTAAACATCAGAGGAGAAATGTTGACGTTAAACTTTCACTGCAGAATGAGCCCATCCATGTCTTAATAAATGTCTGATTTCTTTCTGTAATATCTGACCTGTCTGGTGCATCAAAGCTCACCTTCTACGTAGATCTGGCTGTACGGATGTATCGGCCACTGAGTGCATCTCAGAATGTCGTACATCCGAGTCTCCGAAGAACGTATTGTGATCTGGCTGACCTGTTTTGGGAAATATAATTTACATTGATCGTACTTTTCTAAAAAAACACAAGAAAGTCCTTAAAAATTCTTTGAAAATGTCACCAGAATTACAGAAACGCCCCTGGAGGTGGAGTTTGTATATCCTCTTACCCACTGGTTGACTGGGTGGTACAGACTCCTATGAAGTAACTGTTTCCAGTTCAGCTCCCAGTGGGCCATGCTGGCGTTGGTGCTGTGGTCGTTGAATATGCAATACACTGTTACGTTCTCCCCTGGTCGCGTCACTACTTTCTCAGGGATGTAGCTCAACTCTGCCATGCACACACACACACACACACACACACACACACACACACACACACACACACACACACACACACACACACACACACACACACACGCGAACATGGTATATTTAATTAATATTCATTTGATTACAAAAAGCTCCCTAATGAAATGTCTCCTTTTGTCATTTGCTAAGAGATCTCAAAGTTTTCTATAAATTGTATATCAAACATGTCAAAAGCAGCAAAAGAATAGAACAAATACCATCAGCTGAACAAATTACGTGACTCAATTCCATTCAACCACAGTTTCAATTAAGACTTTTTTACAAAAGGATTTCAAAGTCCTTCAGTTGCAGCCAACAAAAACATCTGCGTGGATTCAAAAGAAAAGTGACTCATCCGCAAAACAGCTGAGGTGCTTACCAAAAGAAAACTTTTAAAAATTAATTAAAAGAATGTGTCTTGTGCCTTTGTTAAATAAAAAATAAAAAACATTTTTATTTTTGCTGTTTTCCTTGTTGTTTCATTCACAAGGTGCAATGACTCAAAGTTGTTGAGTCACAATCACAAACTTTAAACACGCAGTTCAATCATGTGATAGGAGAGCAATACGTACACATGCATATGTTCATGGCTACCACATTTGAACGACTGACAAAACACTTCCAGAACACTTGGTGTTGTTTCAAGCCTCAAATTCACAAAAAAGACACTAACAACCAGCAAAAATATCTCTTACAGTCTCTTCTTAAAATGATTATCTTGGTATTATCTCGGTATTCACACCAACTATTCATTTTCAAAACATCTCTAGTGAGTCTTTAATCACCAGTATTGTTTTTTAACGTTGTGTTTGTCATCGTCGACTACCAAAGAAGCAGCTTTTGAATACTTTTAACTATTTATTAGGTAAATGATACACCCACCTATTGAGCCACCAGCACAGAACTGTTGTGTCATTTAGTTTATGCTAATTTAAATAAAGGACATGATGTTTCTTTCCAGTGGAAACTGGCACATTTAAATGACGAGGAAAGAGGAAGCTGAAAAAGCATTTCAGTCGGCGTCAGTCAAAAGGCTCTTTTGCATTACTCAGTGCGATTTGAAAGGGAACGGTTCTTACTGTCCAGCTTGATGTTGTGAGGTTTACTCCAGTCGCTCCATAGTGGAGGTTCGTCCAGAGAGGAGCAGCGAACCTGGATGGTGTAGGTCAGCCCGGGTTTCAGCTCCAGAGGCAACCTGGGCTCTGCAGCAGACACCACCTGGAAACAGCAGAGAGGGAACATGCAAGAAGCATGATTAAGAGATACCGTATTTCCTTTATCCACTTGGATCAGTGGATCAGAAACCCTGAATAAATACAGTGTTTCTGATCCACTGCTGAACACTAAGTACACTGTAGGATGCATTATTACAGCTAGTGACTGAGAGCAGGCAGCACTCAGCAAGCAACACGTCTCGTCTGTGGAAACTGCAGTGAAAAGCAAATACAATAAGTGTGTGACTCACTCTAGGTTGAGACTAACTAAGTGTCTCCATTACATCATCACTGCCAATGTACTTGTGTAAGTGTACGTAAGTTCTCTGACACCTGACAGCACATTTTCACTTATCGGTTTGAAGCATGTTTTGTACCGAGGTTTATGAATTGTAACTGATGGCTATGGATCTTTTATAGGTTAATTATGAGTAATTTAGGAACAAACTGCACCGGTTGTACAAACAAAGGTAATTAGATTGTTTGATCACTGAAATGAGTTTTAATCTATTTATTATCAGCAAGTTATAATTTACATTGCATACCTGTTGAAAATGAACATTTACAACCTATCGACAAAAGTTATTATTAATAGTTTAGAACTAATACAAAAGAACCAATAAAGAAATGAATTTTTAGTTTACAAATCATATATAAAAGGTTCCTTATCATGAAACGGTACCAATGTGTTGAGATCACATGACTCATCATATCAACGCTTCGTGTTACCTCCCATTCTGGATGAATGGTGTTGGAAGAGTGTCGGACTTCGTATCTCAGCGGACCGATGGAGTCTGAAGGGTCTTCCCAGTGTACAATGAGCTCAGCTTCAATGGTCTGAATATGTGACAGGTTGAACGGTGGACTCGGTTTCAATGTAGAAAAAAAAAAAGATGCTCAGAGTCACAGAAAAATACCCTTAATCCTACAACCACTTTCATACTGGTTTAATATCAATTTACAATGTAAAATATGTTGCTGAAGAGAAAACTGGCTTCCTTTATTTCTGTGGGCTAATTTATGTTAATGTTCAAGATAACAAATTACGTTATGCCATCAGGTGTCATTCAACGGAAAATGTCTTAATCTGTGTTCACTGACTGTTTGTTTCCATGGTTACAGCGCAAAAAAGAACTCCCTATAGCTAATTAGGAAGACTTTAGAAAAAAAAAGAATTTGCAAGTATTTAAAATAAAAGTAAAGGCCAATGTCGGCCAACGGAATTGACTATTTTAGGTCTTTTGCAGTATTCCAAACATTTGAACATTTTCAGGTTGTCAAATATGGAAATGTGTCACTTGTCTTGGTCTTATAATTTCTATGAGTGTAATATTTTCGTGTTTGAACACAACATTTGACAACAAGTTCTACTTTCTTCTGAAAAAACTATGAAATGCTTTTCATACCAGGCCTGTCAGGGATCCTGAGGAGAACAGGAGGAGCGTTGGCGTAGGAGATGCTGATGCTCATCACAGCGACAAGGTTGGTCGCAGCCTCAAGAGCGAGTGAACACATGAAGGATGAACTCGCTTTACAGACAATGGGAGCAGTATTCCCATTGTTTACATCTGAGTCCTCTTTCTGTGAACTGAACAACAGGTATGAAACACACTTAAATCAGGCTTTTATTTCAGTACAAAGTATCACATCTGAATTCAAAATATTTGATTAAAACTAAATATTTATGAAGGCCCCAAATACTGCTACAATATATTCATTATCATAGCTTTTATCAAGTCGTTTACAGTAACATACTTTGCAGTATAATTCCATTACAGCACTGCTGATGAAGTGTGTTGCATACTTGACAAAAGGCTAAAGCACATAAACACAAACAATAATAAAATATGTCACTTAATACTCACACCAGCCACTGCAGACTTACAGCCAGAGGACCAGCATCCACCGTTAATGGTTGTAAGAGACATGTTACATTTTCCCAGTTTTCATCAATCTTGCACAGTACGTCCAAACAGGTGCCTGACAAAAGATCAGAATGTCATATTAATAGCATGATCTGCGACATCTGGTTAGCTCACATAATTGAACTTTGACCTTTAAATTAAGACTTCGACGAAAACGTCCTCGCTTTGTACTATGGAGAGAGTGAAATATTAAAACTGCTCGCGGGAACTTAGTAAGGAAGAGAAAAAACGCCTTTTAGAAATAATCTAATCACAATAAGATTAGTGAAATCATTCTGAAAAGAAATTCTCACTTGTGTGACAATCCTTGATCTTAATCTCAGAGAAAGGGGTTTATCTGTGCTCATTGTTCAGTATTCATGTCAGAACATGTTTGCATGTCTTGGAAGCTTTTTGGTACAAAGAGACAGAGAAAGACAAACATATAAAAATAAACAGCCTTCCTACTCTCTCTGACGGTAAATGAGAATAATTGCGAGCCTGGAGTCTTGTGATTTTACAACCTGGAGCGGTTGCTCTTCTTAATGGGGGGTGGGACAGCAGCTGAAAAGCCATTAAGGTGTAATGAACCTGTTAGGGTGATCGTGACATGCCTCTCTCTCCGTGACAAGTGACGTGCCAGTATCTAAAAAACGCTCACCGCCAATAGACTCACGAGTATTCGATCCATTTGTCGAGCCCCGGAAGCTGCAGAGGGAAAGGCGTGAGTGCGGTGCGTGTGTGATGTCGCCGTCTGCAGGCAGGTGGGCTGAAGGTGAGTCACAGCACAGCTCATCCTGCCACGGGAGCTGCAGGGCGCCGGAGGGGAGAGAGGCGCCCTCCTCAGGCTCCAAACACCGAGCACCTGCTCACAGAGAGGCAAGAAAGCGCGGGACATGCACAGACACTAAATAGATGTCATGCTTTTAAGTTTGCTTTCCTTTTTCTCCATTAGACAAGTTAAATTGCACATTCTTTTATTAATATATTTTAAAAACTGGCTGCTGCATAGTATCTATGTACAAAGTCATGAAAGTTCCAGTCTGACTTGATTATGTTTATAAATATAACTGCCTTTAGATTATAATATCATTTAGGATTTACAATTTTACAAGGCATTGTATTTCCTTTAAATCAAGCAGAAAAAGCTCTGATTACAACACATCCAAAGGGAAAGCAACTTAAATCTCTACTCATGCAGACATTACTGCACTATATATTTACCAACATAATATTGTAAAATAAAGGCCTTAATCTGCCTCTTTCTGACACATTCAGCATATATTTTTGTCAGCTAGAACAGTTTTAATGACAGTCTGTGTTTGTGTCAGAGACAGATCATGAGAAAACACTATTATTCTACAACACCAGATGAGATGAGGAATTAGCTCAAGTGAAACTTAATATAGAAATATAACTCGTGGAGAATAACATATTGTAGAGTCAAAGACTGTTTTCCTTCTGACAGCACATGAGACGCACACAAGAGATACGATGAAGTGTCAACACCAGTATGAGGCTGCTGCGTCCTGAGATCATATAGACTTACACATCCTCAGTTGTGTTACTTGAGTATTATTTTAACAGAAAGGTTTGCTCCAAGCTGAAATTAGTTTAAAATCATCACCACTGCATCAGATTTAAATGATGGAAACAGATTAATCCTTCCTGGGAAAAACCTCAGGGAGTTGCATGAAAAACGTAATATCCTTATTATTCTGCATTATATCCCACCAATAAGTTCCTTCAAATAACAATGTTTTACCTTTACATGGTATGTTTATTTTGTTTCATCCAAACATGAATCAGCTACATGGATATTTTTTAAGAAGGGAAGATAGTTGCACAATCTGAGCGTCACAACTGTTGTGTTAGGGTTTAACTCACCATTGGATAGCAGGAGGATATGCATCACGACTGTCAACACCACAGACTGAACCCTGGAGAGAGACAGAGGGGGCGTAAGTAATGAAAGGATGCACAGAGAGAAAGAAAAACACTCATTTTGCAGCTGTAATAAAAAAGGAAAAAGAAAAAAACATAGCATGTATGATGAGGGAGAAAAAATGACAAACGAGGACATAAATTGCACAAAATAGGTATCAAGGACAGTAGATTTGTGGTTTTCTGCATAAATCAAGTGTAAATGAGGTACTACGGTTTCAGTGTTCAGAAGTTTTTAACAATTAAGTTGTATAAAAACAGATATTCAAATTTGCAGCTCAAATAGCTATGACATAAAATACTTAAAGTTCAAGCTTTGCAACCAATAATAATAACCAGTATCATGGGAGGTCAGTGGGAGACGTGTGTTTGCAACAGTGGACAAACCAGTGCCAAGAACAGCTGAAGAACTGGTGGACCGACTTATCCAGAGATGATTGGCTCATCGGTCAATTTCTACCTCATATGTGTGTATGTGTATTTACCCTATCAGACACCTCCCGTTTCTCTGGCTGATAACTATAATACAGTTTTTACCAACTGCTTACACACAAAACTGAACACTAAGTACACTTCAAAACTCTACACACAATTCTCCAAACTGCACACACACCTCCTTCAAAATGCAACACTGAATTCAAAATGCCATAAACACATGTCAGAATGAAGCATTTGCATCAAATGGCAAACACTTCTTTCATGATAATACATTTTTGCATATACCATGTAAGCACTGCTGTTCTAAATCTAAAGCTCTTTGGTCTTTCATAGGCTTATATCTACATTTCAATACAATGTTCTACAGTGAAAGTGATGTGCTGAGAGGGGTAACAAGTACACCAGAAACGCCAATGCAATGTAGAAACAGAAAATATTTATTAGGCCAAACATTACTGTTGTATACATTAGCATACAATAAAACTATAAACATGTAAACCAAAAGTATATTCTTTACAGTAGAATACAGTAAATTGTATGTGGGGTCCCGGTCGAGGAATTGGCAGGGGGGGAGAGGGGTGCAGTCCCCAGTGCTAAGCTTCATCTCTTCTCCGAGCAGGGTCTGGCCACAATACTTAGTCCACATCACAAGATACGTTTCCTCTTGCCAAACATCGAGGGAAGTATCTCCTAGCATGACGTATCCAACCTTGGACATTGTGATGGAGGACCCCATTTTGAGTGATGGCAGCACACGCGGTTATTACCCCCACGCTGTCCAGGGACATTGGTAATTGTCCTCTGTCCTATTGCATTTCATCCCCGGCGCCTGGTTTTGGTGAGGTTGAAGCCAACCCTCATCCGCATAAATAAATATGTGGCGAATGACATGGGCATTCATCTCCAATACTCTCTGTAACAGGCAAACTTATATACAGATGGGTAAATAGGGTATGTCTGAAGTACTGGAAGTAGTGTTGCATACATACCTCTACAAAGTCATGTCACAGATTCTTGACTGGGTCTGACTTGAGTTTCTCTCAAATGGCACCTTATAAAGTTGTTTCATCACTTGGTGCCGTTGCAGGATGCGTTGTATGGTCGACAGGCTTACAGCATTGATATTGGTGTCATTATTCAAGACATGGTAAATGGTAAATGGTAAATGGCCTGTACTTGTATAGCGCTTTTCTAGTCTTCTGACCACTCAAAGCGCTTTAACACTACATGACATCATTCACCCATTCACACCCATTCATACACTGATGACAGGAGAACCATACACAGTGACACCTGCCATCAGTAACTACCATTCACACACTGTAGTCGCAGCTACAGGAGCAATGTTGGGTTAAGTGTCTTGCCCAAGGACACAACGACATGCAGGTTAGCCGGGCCTGGGATCGAACCGACAACCCTCTGATTGGAGGACGACCGTGCTCCCCACTCACCCACAGTTGCCCTTCACCCACAGTCGACATGCTCTCTTATCTCTCGAATCCTAATTGCATTGTTGGCCAAAACCATATTTGTAATTGCAGTCTCTTGTACATCTGTAAACAAGCGCCCTCGTCCTCCATGATGTCTTTGCCTTTCCACTTTGTACAGAATTCAAACACAGTATTTGTTCAGCATAGGAACTGTAAACCATTTACAAAAAAAAGTAGTACAGCATGATAACCAACCTCATTCATTCAATGCAGTGCAGTAAATGGATGGCTTAGAGTTACAAATGTGTATGCAATACTATGCAGTCATACATAGTTTACAGTACATTACTATAATGCTAAAATAGATAGTTGCATACCTGTTCTCATTTCTGAAGGTTCGAATTATGGACGCCACTGTAAATCGACTCAAGTTGGGCTGGACTCTCAGTCCAGCCTCTCTCATGGTCAAACCGTGGTTGATTACACGATCAACAAGTGTTGCCCTAATCTCATCAGAGATGGCTCTCCTTCCTTCTCTTATTTGCCCTCGTCCTCTTCCTCCTCTTCTTCCTCCTCCTCTTCTTCCACCTCCTCCTCCTCTTCTTCCTCTTCTTCCTCCTCTTCCTCCTCTTGGTATTTGTCCTCGTTGTCCCCTGCCTCTTCCTCTCTGTTCATTGTTAGCATCCATTGTTCAAACCAGGTAATCTGACTTTTGACCTATTTATAAGCCCACTAAAGCAGCAGGTAGAGAATTGTGTGTAGTGTGTTTTGAAAAAAAGTGTTTTATGCAATTGAAAACTGAGTCAAAGGCTGAGAAATAACGTATGGTTTTGAAGATTTGGGGTGTAGTTTTGCACTTTGAGTGAGAGGTTTCAAAAATCGTGTGACATGAAAATATTTTGTGTGTAAGCAGTTGGTAAAAACTGTAACAGCCATGCACACAGAAATACGGGCTCAAACACAGAAGTGAGAGTCAGAGCGGTTTAAATGATGAAATAGTTTGCTTTTGGCACCAGATCAGTGAGCTCAAACAGAACCGGGAACAGGCAGATGAGACTGGGTGAATATATAAGCTGGGAAGCAGATGAGCGACTGAGTACTTGGAAACACAGTGAGGGTCACTACTGGCAGGTGGTTAGTGGTAGGTAGAGGTTAGAGGCTGTAAAACAGGAAAAATAAGCTAAATTGACCAATAAGAGCGTTAAGAGACTTCGTCACTGATCAAATGATCCAGTTTTACAATTTATTCATGTGAAAAGTGTTCTGCTTTATTATAAAGCTCTGCAATGCTCGTGGTGAAGCCAAATGTGCGTGTCAATGCAAAAAAAGGCACACAAGCCAGAGGGATATTGTAATAAATCATGGATATGCTATTGACTAAGACCAGCACAGCATGCTGTGAGGAAACAAAGCCTCTGGCATTTTGAAGAAAAAAAATCCCACATGTTGCATCATGAATCTATTACATTCAGCCTTTGATCTATTTAAAAAAATGCTTTAATAAAATAAGTGTCAATCAATTCCACACATGTGTGATTATACTGTATATCACATTTAAACATAGATATGAATGTATATTTTCCATAAATTCAATGGCTGACAAATCCTGGTTCATTCTCACAAAAAAAGTAAAGAAAGAAATCCGGCAGAAATGAATTGATTTGCTGCCACCGCCTGGGCAGGTTTGTTGTAATCTGAGATATTAATTGTATATCTGTTACAGTGTAAACAGTGTAATGTTCATTTCATGTTCTACTATTTAACATTATGTCACCCACGCTCAGTGAGGAGGACCATCAAATGCCAAAGCCATTAGACACTATGACTCAAAAGACACAAAAAGGTTCCACACTGTTGCTGGTGCATTACTATACTTTTGACAAAATGTATTCATATTCATATATGAATACTGAACTAGCTTTGCACTTAAGTGGCCAGAGGAAGATAACGGATGCTCCATAGAAGTGAGCTGAGATCAATCAACAAGAAAGCACATAAGTGGCATGATTCCAGGCTCATGACCTCTTGTAAGTTAACAACAAATATTATTATCATTTGGGCCTGTGGCCAAAGACTCGTTTAAAAAACCGATGTTATTTCTTTTTTAAAACAACTCATTGTGACCTTTCCTGTGCTCTAAAGAACACCGGATGTTGCTGAACCAGGCTTTCCGTGGACGCTTCCTGTCCGGATGAAGAGAGAAACCAACTGTAACTGTGGGAAAGGACGCTCATCTGCTCCACAGCGACTCACTTCCAGCTGGATGAAGCTTGAGTGACAGCTGGGGAGCATTCCAGCAGTCTCAGCAAGCAGCCACGTGACTGTTACTAGTTTATCGAAAACAAACTAGTAATAGAAAATATCCATACACAGTGTTTTTTTGATCTATTCCCGACAAGTTTCCCATGAAAACAAAATGGAATCAACACACGTTTCTACATGGAAGGTTAGATGATAATAGCTTGACGTGAACTCACACATTAATCTCACTCATACATTCATCTCCCTATCTGTGTAATTAAATACTCAACGGTAAAGTGCAGCCTCGGTGGAACCTAATTGGGCAGAAATAAACCGTCCAGTCGACATCGGAGTTGCAGAACATTCGAGTTTGACAGAAGTGAATGATCCGAATAAACAGAGAACTCAAAGTTCACAACGAACACAAACAGAGAGAGAGTGAGGTTATTTGAAAGAGAGTATTGAAAGTGGTTCCTCTTACATTGTTCCAGGCAGTTTATCCTGTTTTAGGGTCCCGATTCTCATTTCCAGGTGAGTTTAAGTCTCCGGTGAGGAAGATCAAAGGCCACCTTCCATGTTTGAGTCCGAGACTAAAAACAACGATGATGATGATGATGATGACGGTTTCCCCACAGAGTCCCCCCCCCCCCTTCTCTCTCTCTCTCTCTCTCTCACACACACACACACACACACACACACACACACACACACACACACACACACACACACACTCTCACACCCGCACACTCACACGCACACCCACACATGCTCCCGCTGGATCTCTGACGTAGTTGCCGACGCAGCGTAAAAGAGAACACGCCCGGTTCTGTCCGCTGTGATGCGTTCAGGAACACCAACGGAAATTCAAACACTTGAGAAGACACGTAGGATCTATGACCATCTATTCATTTTAAAACTTCCATTTCAAAGCTTACCTATTTGTTTCTTTTATCACTTATTTCATTGCTTGTAGTAATGTTTAGGTATTATTTTGTTTGTGCATTTATTCATCACATAGGGAGAACTGTCTTGTGGAAACAGACATTTCTTTCTCTACAGTTTTGGATCAAGTTTATCCACCATTCCCACATCTATCACAAGTTCAGGCTTATCCCAGAATGAATGTCGCATGTTTCGTCATACCTCTAGAACATCCTCCCTCCCTCCCCAAAATGTTGATGCCCACAGATTCCCCAATTGGTCTCTGGATCTCTATACTATGATTCTCAAGCAGCATATGTTTTAAACAAATACGCGAGTATGCAGCAGTTCACATTGTGCTGCTAATCAATTGGTTAATATCGTCCCTTTATCGATCAATAATACCTTCATTTCTATTGGGGTCTATATCATTCTCATGGCGTAAGAAGGAACAAGTAAAGGCCATTTTAACAGACAGGCACCATCAAAAAATTCCCAATGATACTTTCAGGATTTTACATTGTGTATTGTTAAATAATATATGTTCCTAACAGACATATCAGTTGTGCAAAAATGAAAAGTACAATTTACTTGCCTTCATGACAACCAACACGATACTAAATGGTTGACTAAAGTTCTCCAACAAACGTCTTAATCTGGATACCACAGACCTCTGCGAACCACACATCAGCCTCCCAGTTGTTCCACATCACGACAGTCAAACATGTACTGTACCTATATGAAACAGTAGTCAGGAGTCAACCGGTTAAAGAGAAATGGGGCAAACACAGGGGCAAGAGCTCATGCAGGTTTGATGTGAATTATTGCACAAAAATGAAATTCCAACATTTTTAAAAAGATTTGTGTGTGTGTGTGTGTACATGTGTGTTTGTGCGTGTGTGTTTGTGTGTGTGCGACCGTCTGAAGTCACCCATGCGTCATTGATTGCATGCGTGGTTAAGTTTGCGCATGTAAAGAGAAGAAGAATCTTTTGCAAATGGATTTTCCTCGAGTATCACTCCACTTTCATAGCCCCCTGATCGCTATGGAGATGGATTTTATTCAATATTAGGAGCAGCCTGGTATTGCTCTGTCACTGAATGCTGCAGTGAGTGGGATTTGTGTTTTCTCGTTTCACTCACATCCAAAATAGAGGAGTAACACGCACAAGATTATTTCGAGTCATATTCAAACTTATCGCCAATCCTCATAAAGTGAGGACAAAAACACATGCTGTCAAGGATAATTATTTAAGACATTTAGGGGTTCTAAGAAAATAAATACCCGTCATTCCTGCTTCTGGGGATCTTTGCCATTACTTCGCACCAAAAATATTAAAGTGATACATAACCGTGGGATTCACTGCCCTCTCCACATGTTTCTAAACAAAAGGATCACGGCATCAGATTTCATTTTCTACCAATTAATCGTTTAAATAAATGGGTATCTTCAGGGGAAACCCATCCCTCACACGGCAGCAGCCTGACCCAAAGAACAAATTAAAAATGAGATGACAGCGTTCCTTCAAATGAGATCATCATTCCATGCGCAGGAATGACATCATCTGTTTGTGAGGTGCAAAGATCAATAAGTTATTAAATGAATTATCAACACATGGAAATGATTGCGATGGTGACTTTCAGTTTAAAACATATGGTTTCCTGTTAATGAATACAATATTTTTAATTTATAGCCACACACACATTTTTGAGTTTTGATCTGTTGATTAGACAAAATGATACTCAATCATTGCTTTGGTCTTGGAAAAACCATCAAGAAAGACAGTCATTTGTTACAACCCCAGGTACAACAGACAGGGAAACAACACACATAAATAATACATGCACTTATATCACAATAAGCCCATTCTCAAGAACCGCACGTGTGTGTGTGTAGAAGCAGTGTGTGCAACCCTGAGGTCTTGCACGAGTCATCAAGCTGTCTTCAGCTAATTTAATCTTATTTGTGTCAAACTGGCACAAAAACTGGCCTGCAAACTTTGCAGATGCGATTAACAAGCATTTGGCACCACCAAATGCTTGTGAAGTACAATGCCTGTGGTGGTAAGCGCGGTAAGTTGAGCATTCTTATCCACCTGTCTCTGTTTTAAGCGCGCACTGACAGAACACACATCTGCAAACATGTGTCATGTGCACACGGTATTGACTCTCAGCTTATCCTCTGCACTGCAATAACCATGTCTCCAGAGAACGATGGAATGACTCATAAAACCACAGTCTCGCCTTCGGATACAATATCCGACTTGTTTCTGCACCCACATGCACATATATTCCACTATTGTCTCACTTATTCCAGTGGCAAATAGGTCATGTCCTTTCTACTTTAATGGACAAGTCAACATTTAGTGGAGCGCACCATTCAAATATGGAAAGATTTAGAGAGAAAGACTGAAAAAGAGAAACGTGCTGAGGTGTAATGGCAGGCATGTGCGTTATCAGGTTTTATAATCCTACACCGAGTGGGCCGTCTAATCCCGGACGCAGCTGAGGGGTCAAGTAGGGGTTGTCCTCTGGTAGCTGTGTTAGAGCTGCCATCCCCTCAATGTATGTGTGTGTGACTGGCTGCTTAGGAATCAGTTTTAATGAAGCACTTTTGGTGTGCGATTTTGTGTGCAATTGTATTATATTCTCCCTCCCTGATGCTTTTGATCCTCAGATAGATCTCTGTTTCTCTGGCAACCGAGTTTAAGATCTCCAAAATACCATAGGGGGGACTTAGTGTCAGTCTGCTGTATGTTTAAGTTGTTTAAAATTTTAAGTTTATCCAGAAAAGAAACTGAAATTGTTTTCATTTGAAAGCTCAAAAGGAAGCAAATTGACGTTTTTAAATACAGCCAAGAGTACGCTGAGCTGAAGAGGCAAAAAGCTCCTAAAACATTCAAGCTGATCCCTGAGGGAATGTAGTTGATTAACACATTGGCTGATGGACGTGATTAGCAGATCTCCTGACTGCCAAACTGCATCAAGAGTATATTATTGATATCCAAAAGTTGGATTTGATCGATAAGGAGCACAAACCAGATAATGTCAATTTGTTAAAGCTGTCTGTAAACCAGTAGAAATACGATTTGATCATGTTAAATTAATGCCAATTAATTGTGTTAATTGTGTTAATTGTGTTGCAAGCACCAAATTCATGTCACGCTTCATTCACGTCTTTATCAATTCAAATTAATTTAAAGAACAAATGTGTCAATTACACTGTGAACTATACTCATTACAGTCTATTGATTTGTTAACTGCCCCCCATCTAACTGACTGTTGGATGGGGGGCAAAAAGGTATCAGGGGATTGACCCAAACCTGGAGAGATAAGGGGAGGAGAAGAATGAATGAATGGAGGTTTTAAGAACAAAAACAACTAAACCTACTGAATAGGGAACACGTCAGCTGACATGGCAGAGCAGAAAATGGATGAAAGCAGGGAACGTACCAGGAGCCATTGCCGCTTGATTCATACAATGCCACTGGCTGACGGGTGTCAACGACGTTCTGTGACACCCACAATTCCCCAGCTAACCAGCTGTGCCTGTGATGGTGTTGATGCTGTCGTTCTTGCTAAAGGGCCCGTTTGAGTCAAGCAAGCGGCAATAACAGAAAGGCAGTTCTCATTTTCTCTCCGTCATACCCGCCTAATCTCTTCCTTAATATCTCTCAGCATCCTCCCGGCCGAGGAAGAGAGCTTCAGTTTGGCACCGACAGTCATATCGCCCAGCGGGGAAGTGTCATTGAAGTGTACCGAGGAGTTCAGAAAGCTCTGGATGAGTCCTCACTGAGTCACAGTCTCCTGACTTGAGCCGTCAAATTCCACATGTTGTTTTGTTTATTTTCCACTCACTTGTTTTCTGAGCAAACGCGGTTTGCAAAGGTGGTCTGAATGTTTAATCTTCAGCCTGGGGCCTTTTAGCTGCACCTTCATTACGGCTTCCAATGGAATTACGAAGAGACATTTCAGATTTCTCAAGGACAAAATGTTGATGGTTAACCAATACTGGGTTTTATAAGTTTGTGTGTTGAAATGTGTGATTTGATGTAAAAATACCTGTAACTGCACATCAGGTCAGGTTTCCCTGACATTTTCATTGTACTGCTGTACCTGAGAACACGTTATTACCAGTAAGCAACTAATGTGGTAGTTTATTGGCGGCCTCAAAGCTTTAAAACATTTATTCGAGATGTCATTTCTGTAAACTCGTGCGTGGGGTCAACAGGAGACCCGACATGGTGGGAGATAAGGACATTAGCATACTGCATACAAACACACTAAACACTCAGATATTAGCTTGGTCTTCACAGGCCCCATGTAGTCCTATGAACTGGAAAAAGGGGTGTATATATATTCATTCAAATCTCTGAATCCAGGGTCCTTGTGGCATTAAAGGATTTATTTTATGTAGGGTAAATTGCAGTCAGTCTAAGGACGTTTATCTCAAAAGCTTTCAATATTTGACTGTGAATAGTAGTATAATTTATTTCAGCCCTTCCACTTGTCCCCTGGAATACCAATAAGCCGGGAGCAGAATTAATTTACCGTGTGTGTAAAGCCAGGCTGTACATTTCCCTCAGCTGTGTCTTTATGCTTTGTACTTAAAAGACAGAGAAGATGTGTTTGTCTCACAAACGTAATAAATCCTTAAGAAGTGTTCTAACTTAATTTAAAACAAAGTGAAAATAATCAATTCAAGATAAATCACACAATGAGGTCATTCTTCCCTTATATTTAATTAAAAAGACAGACGATTCTGTCATGATCTCTTTGGTTCCTGTTTTAATGTGTTATCAACATTTTTAGCAGAAACTCTCTTCATGCTTTATAACAACAACATTGTATAACCTCATACAGCACGAGAGCAGCATGTACTGCAGACTGAAACAATGAGAGGAGGATAATTCATTAGAGATAGTAAAACAGTGAGACATAAAAATCGAGTGAGGGAAAAGATGACATGTGAAATATAAAGAGACTGAAAAGAAACAAAAGTTTTAGTTTGCAGCATTTGTTAATTTTTACTCCTCACAAACACACTGAAACGAAACTGAAACCAGCTCCATTGACCCCATTTTGAAACACTAAGCGATCAGAATCAGAATCAGCATCACAAGCCATTCATGTTACACATACAGTTGCAATCAAAATGATAAACAAATTACACAAGAATTGTTTAAGTAGTTTAATGAAACTAATATTACAAAGGTTTTATCCAAAATCAACACAAAATGCTACTTTTAATGACTTTAATGAATTTACTGCAGTCTCAAAATTTTTCAACCCCTTTGTGACCAGCATCTTCAGTACTCGGTAGAGTTTGTTCTGTTTTGTAACATCCTTGAAGATGTTTACCTGCTTACCAAGCTGTTGTCTACTCTAAATTTACTCCTGGATGGTTAAACACTGACGTTCCTCGCATCTGAGCCCCGAAGGTAAAAAGTTGTCAAGGTCCTGACTGGTATGAGAGGAGACATTTGTGGTCGTGAACAGCAGCACATTGTTACATCGTGTTGTCATTGTTATCAGTGTTGGAGAGGGAATCAACATTTAGATTGTACCGCTGACAGAAAACCACACAGCAAACCCTTTTACAGGAAACTATTGTGTCGCATTGACTTCCAAATGAGTGCCACTTACCAGTGTTCTGTGTATAGGTATGTGTTCTGTTTTACCCTGTGTGTGTGTGTGTGTGTGTGTGTGTGTGTGTATGTGTGTGTGTGTGTGTGTGTGTTCGTACAGGTGGTACTGATCATCCATGATCTCCGTTCATCTTGGCTCCACCCACTCTCGTTACCCGGTTCAGCTGTTTCCACTCATCTCCAATCCCATCATGCCCTTCTGTCAGTATATGTACCCCTGTGTTTGGTTCACCCGAGAAAGGGTGTCACTCCGGTTGTGTGTATGGAGTGCTGGTGTATGGTAGTTATTTAGTTCTGGTGATTTGGTGTACTGTGTATTCAATTAATTGTGTTTTTTCTTTGTTATTTTTCTTACAGGGGGATGAGGAGTAGTTTAGCCCTGCTCCGGAGTTTACATACCTGCACGTAGGGTTACTCTCCTGTCTAACAACACTAGCTACACCTGGCTGGGCCACCTACTGTAAGTTTGGTTAGGGCGCCTTGTTAGTGTGCCAGTTAGTGGTTTTCGTTGGGAGATAGGTCAGGTAAGGGGGTGGGAGGCATTTTGTTCTTTTCTTTGCTTTGGTACCGCCAGCCCTCCTCATTTCCCCTGTTAACAGCGCTCAAATAAAAGCCTGCTTACCCCAACTTCAGGTATTGTTGTTTTTCTTGCACCTACGACGCCATACCCGTTTACTGGTCACAGGACGTCCTCGGCAGTGGCGTGAATCCCACTCCCCTCCTGGGGAGTCAGAACGTAACAATGAGACACAAGAAATGTTTTGAACTTGTAGACAACGTTACTACCTATTGACTGAAAAGCTGTTTAAAAAAGGTATTATCTACGTTCCCTGTAAAGTGCATTTATTCAAGTATTGTAGTTACGGTAAGTACAACTTTGAGGTTGCAGTTCCTTAATTTTGGGCTTCTACTCCACTGAATTTGTTTGACGTGGTTACAATTCAGATAGAAGTTTCTCCACAACCATTCAAACAAAAGCTCCACAACAAAGATGTTTTCAGACGTTTTTTTGGGTTAGGTATCAAAACAACAAATTAAGTAGAAATATGTCATGATACTGAAGAACGTTCATCATTGGAAACTAACTGACAAAAAGGAGGACAACACTAATATTTTGCAGGAAATCTTACAAGTAAGTAAGTAGTAAGATTTTGCTCTCTGACATTTACTAACAATGGGGTAGTTTCAGATGTTTGCACTGGTTCTTTTACCTTAAGTCGATGAGTTTGTATTAGACAGAGTGTAGTTCATGTGTAGTCCATGAGTAGTCCATGTGTAGTTCATGTGTAGTTCATGTGTTGTACGCTGCCACCCTCTAGTGATCAAAAGGAGAAAACACCAAGAAACTAATTCATTAAAACCTGATGAATCCCGCTTCTGTTTTCTGTTTACTATTTATTGTTGTGCTCTGCACTTGATCATTATGTACATCTTGTACCAGTAAACAGACCTGAAAGGGAACACATGAACAACCTTTTTACACAGTTTAGTAATACTTGAACAGCAGACAGGCAAACACTTAACGTACAGTAGTTTTGTTTTACAAATCGGATCACTTCCATACGTAACTTCAACCAACACACACCCATTGAATACAATATAGAGGTTAGCTTTTTAACATAGCCGTAAGACTGCAGATAGGGAATTCAGCCAGTGAGGGAGCTCGTGAGGGTCATTTCACATCCTCAGCGTCACTGGAGCTCAGGAGCACATAGTGTCACTGGCGCTTCCAGTGTCTGGTAAATCAACGGGGGAAGCAGTAGCCTCTTTTCTGACCCAGAGTCTTGTTCAGGCACCCGTTTCAGTCAAGGCGCTCTGTCCAGTTGCATGAACAGCACTTTAAAGCAGACATACTCAGTACGCAGTCAAAAACCCCAACAAAGCCAATGTGCATCGTGGGGAATGATGAAGTCAAAATCTAGAACTCCAAAACAGACAGAAAGCAAGAGCATGATATTGTTACATTAAAAACATTTCATGAACATGTGAAGGCAAATATTCGTCTCTATTTGTGCGTGTGTAAATTTACTGTAAACAGATTTTTGATCAGAATGATGTACAGTACCAGTCAAAAGGTTGGCCACACGTTCTCATTGAATGGAATGAGGAAATGCGTCCTAACTTTTGACTTTTACAGTCGAGCTCTGTCAGCATTGCAAACCGGGAGGCTGGAGATGTTCCAGGATCACTGGAGTCCTGTGAAAACCTCGAACCCCGAAAAAGGAATTTGAGAATTACTTCAGTTTTTTGCCTTCCAATTGGTTATTTCATAAATTATGTTTTTGCATGCGTTTACAGAAGGAGACCATGTCAGCAGTCAATTTCCCAAATACAGAGAGACAACATTAGAATATTTTTGATATTCTTTAGAAACCTGCGACGTGTCAAACCATGTGTGTCGTTCCTAAATGTTGATATGATTCCAGAATTACTCATCCAGACAAAAAGCTGCATGATAATTATCAATAAAAGTGTCAGTGCTGTGATGGATATGTCTCGGAACATAAAAAGATTACCGTCCAATCATCGTAAATCAGTGTTTTGATAAAGTGTTGACAGCAGATCGATACAGGATCTGAGAAAAATGAATAATTTGAGATGTGGTCATGTGCGATACACTAAACCACATTAATGATCGTTCTATCAGTGGACATTATCATCTGACAGTATATTACAGTGGATGAGTAAAGATAATGGCCCTAAAGTCTCAAACACGTCCTTTACATGCGTTTAGCTGCTGCTGATCAGTTCTTTTAAACCACAAAAATGCTGCAAGTTTGATACACAAAACAAACCAAATTAAACAAGCAATATGTGAACAAATAATAAATAACAATGGCTTCCCTTCAGAGCTGCACCGAGTGAAGTTTGTGCTTTCACAGAGCTCCCTTGCAGAGATACATGTATTCATTAATGAATGAGTAGGCATGAGGCCCTGAGGTGCTCCATGTATGCAAATGAACATGTGCTAACCCTAAAATACAGTACTCGATCCTCATTTCCCTCAAACATGGAAACACAGCAGGCTTGATAACATCAACACACCAATAATGGATCACTCTCCTACAGTACAAGCACCTTTTTGTTAATCTGAATATTACGTCAGCAACGGAAACTGTAGTGGTCCTCCGACCGGTGTTTTTATTGTAGAGCCACATCATCTGCCTCTTCTATTGTCCTCAGCAAACTAAATAAATAAGGCTCATGGAGAAGGAAGCAAACCAGAAATCAACAGCAAAAGCGCTAGTAGCAGTTTTCCTACCATTACAACTCCTAAATAAGTTTTAGTTTTTGTGGTTAAAATGCTTTTAAATGCTTATTTGGGCCTTACAGACTACACTGGGGCTCTGGACCTTTTACACTCCGATGCGTTTTTCTCTTATCATGTGGGTCTGTCGTCTCTCGCCCTTTTTTAATCTGTCTCCCCTCAATCAAGCGTTTCTTTTTGTTTTCCTAGACACCGACGGGGCTCTGCTTTGATTGCCGGGTGTGTTTCAGGGCCAGGGTGCATCGCATCCGTACAGTAAGAAGGTACATTTGAGCTACGGGGTTCTTCTGTTCCCCGCTCGTCTGGTGGCTGGAGTCCTGTAGTCCTTTGACAGTCTTTGCAGATCAACTGGTTGTTCTTTGTGTGTTATGACACGAGAGGTACGGGTCGAAGCACAGGTATAAAGGCAGATGTTTTAGGGCTGTAGCATGTTGATCAGAAATGATGACACATTTTTAGGATTTGATGACGGAATTAGGAGGGACATCCTTTGCTGACTCCCTTCCTCTGTTTATTCAGTAGAGGGGTTTTTGTCCTTGGCTTTCAAATTCTGACCAAGCGTCATTAAGTTCCATGAAAATCATCTTGGCATATTGTTCATAGGGTTGTCCCGTCGCCTGTGAGAGGAGACAGAAAAAACACAAATAAACCCGCTGAAAACTCACCTGATGAAAATATACTGGACAGAAATGGGTTATCTTTACTTGTTTCATTACTTTTATAAATGGTGTATTTTCTTTTGTTGCTTCTATTGAAGTGTTAATAAGTTTGCATATTCTATTCCAAGTGTGTGTGTGTGTGTCATTATGCATGTGCAGTAAAGTATGTTTGTACGAACTGTTTTTACGTTTTCTTGTTTGCATTTATATTTTGTCATTCTGAATCAACTAGTCCTTGTTTTTGTGGGCTCGTGCACTTGTATCATATTGAAAGAAAGTCTGCCCTGTTTTGATTACTTGAATGCTGCTGTCTTAAACTGATTGATCAGTGGGTATTGATCTTGTGATCCACTCACTAGACCACTGTGATTTTGGGTTGCCCCTACTGATTAGAGAGGTGATGATAAGAAAGGTCACAGGTGACATTTACTTTTTCATTGCATGCATGCTGGTGACGTCTACTTGCCAATACCTCACAGCCCATCACGGAGACATGAGCCTAATCTACTGAGGAGTCCTGACAGTAAAACGACTCTCCTGAAGGCTGAAACCACAGGTGAGCCCATTTCACTGGCTGCTGCTATGATTTACCTTCTCCTTTCCTTGCCATTTGTAAGCTGAGATTTAGTTGTGCTGTGCTGCTGCTGGACGCTACATCCTCAATTTACTGATTCCTTCACAGGTACAAACTAATTTACTCGTGAATCTGACTGTGAGGATTTGGAGGCAGATTTTGTGGATTCATCGCAACAATGCGCCTGATTCTACGCCTCCTGGCACTGATCTTGGTGGCGTCCTGCGTGGCAGCCCCAAAGGTCATGAAGGCACCAGACGTAAGCTTAGATAATGTCAATATTTTTCTGACTATGGCTTGGCAAGTAGCCAAGCACGTGGGCCCAGATTCCAGCTGTTACGTCTGTGGCCTATTGCCCTACACAGCAGGAGAAGGCCTACCTCTGATGGCCTTACCTGCCTCTGACTGCGACACCTGCCACCTGATGCACATTCCGTTGTCCCAGTCCTATTCTCACCCGGATTGTTCCCAGCTCAGAATGAGACCACTTAATTGTTCTACAGGACACGGGAACTGCTACAGGTGTCTCGAAACTCCCAAACCTGTCGCCATACAGCTCATCCCGCAGAAATTCCCGTGGTGTCTCCAGAACAACGGCGGGACGCACGTGGGACATTCGGACTGCCTACGTACATTCGAATGGGACCCGAGTCAAGTAAATATGGAATTTAAATCTCTGGATTCTGCACCCCAGGGTTGTTTGGCAGCAGCGGGCCAGGTTCGCTTCAGCGCCCTTGCTCGCCGCACTGCCGGGTGCTCCATCTCATCCCCTGTAGGAATGTACTGGGTGTGTGGAAACCTCGCGTACCCGCATCTCCCCGTGGATTACAAAGGCCGCTGCGGATTGGCGTACGTCATCCCGGCAATGAGAGTGGCTCGTTCCCTGCCCAAGAAAGCTCCGAAACGGGTGCAACGTGGGCTTTCAGATACCTTCGGGACTCACCATCAATCGGATTTCAAGAACGTACTCGGCCCCCTTCTTCCTTTTTACGGAGTTATGTCCGCACTGGATCAAATCGCAGATCTGTCTCATTCGATAGAGGTGATTGCCAACGAAACGAGCAAGGCGCTCATGCTTCTGTCGAGTGAACTCGCCTCTGTTAGACTCGTAGCTTTACAAAACAGGGCAGCCCTGGATTTTCTTTTAGCAGCCCAAGGAGGAACTTGTGCCGTCATTGGTTCCGAGTGTTGTACCTTTGTGCCTGACTATAATGCTACCATTGGCGATGTAGTCAACCACCTTCGAGATACTGCTAAATCTGTTCACCAGGATAGTTCTGGCTCTTTATTTGATTGGTTGAAAACCGCTTTTGGTTCATTGGGTCATCGCGCTGTTGAAGTACTTATCGTTTTTGTTGTTTTCATTGTGTTACTCTCTTTCTTTACATCGTGTGTGAAAAAGTTCATTTTCAATATACGTTGAGTTAAATGAACTATTCTCAATCATAAGGCACAAGCGTTTTCCTTTTCTACTTTGACAACATGATAGATGACAGCAAATGTTTCTTAGATAAAACAGTAACAATGTGCTTCGAAACACATCAGCAATTGTCTTACCATCAGAATAAATAATAAATATGGTTTTGAACAGGATATGGGTTTTAAAACTAATTTATGTTTGGTGTTTCAGGGACACAGCTGTATAACACAAATCCAATAAATGAACAACTACAATCAATTTTGAATATGCTGTAGGTCTGGAATTGGTGTTGACACTACTCTGTTATTGAAGTTTAACAGCAGAGTCAGCAAGAAAGGTCTGCTGATTCAACGAGGACCCTTTAATTTCAGCTTCATATCCACAACATGTGAGCATAAACTTCAAAGCAAATATTCCCCAATTGAGAAAAGGGAAAGAGCGTGTTATTTTCTCTCCCTGTATTCATACAGGAATAGATGCTCAATTTATTATCATCAGCTCCAACAGTCATCACGTGTCTCACCTTATCTGGATGGACAACCAGTACGGCTTTGCGGTAGACCTTTTTGACCTGTTCCGGAGTGACCAGGTCAGCCATGCCCACAGACTTCCAGCGCGTCTCCCCCTCCCACAGCACAGTGTGCATTGTGGACAGCAGAGCGCGGATGTTACGCTCCTTCCCCTCGATCCATTCCAGGATCTGGGTCACAAACCGGAGAGGGAAAGACGGGGAGCCATTAGCCATCGTGACTAGATTTGGAACAATAATTAGCGGGAATATTTTCAGGGTTTTGTAAGCTCTTGTTTTAAAACGGAGTAATTTAAGATTAAGTTTTGTCATGGGGGGCCGACATTGATTACCTGATAAAATCTGTTGACAGAAAAGCTTTAATAGCACAAAGGTTTTTGAGTACACCATCCTACTTTTATTCTGCTACACTAAATCAAAGGAGAGAAAACCTTCTGAAATATGTAGTGATGCTCAAATCTCAAATCAACATTCACAGCAAATACGAAAACAAACTAAATAAACAATGAATACACAGATGTTGCTCAACGTCACATCGGACTCTTGCCTTTATTTTCTCAGGGTCCATCTCTTTGGCCATCTCTTCCTTCCTCATCTCTGCTATAGTCCTGGGCCCTTTCTTTTCTTTGGTCCCTGCGAAGCCCTGACCAGACAGCAGGTCATCAAAGTTGGCCTGCGAGGCTTTGGGCTTAGAACCTGCTAGAGAGGAACAACAAAAACACAAGCCATTATAAGCCACTTACCATCCTGCACTGTGCACTCCAATGCTCTGTAAACTACAGAGATTAACTCCCACTAAAGAATGACTGTGTCAAGTACTTTATATAACAGAGAGAGAGACAACGTCTCATCCACGTCTCTTGCTCACCCATGCCAGCCTGTGCTTTGGCCCCTGCGCTGGGCGAGCCTCCCCCCATTGCAGGGAAGCTGACATTGTAATTGGGTCGGTTCTGGGGCGACGAGTGGGGCATGGGGGTGTGACTGGGGCTGGGCTTTGGTTGCGCGGCAGGGCCCTGTCCTTGGTGTTGCCATCCTCCACCGCCTCCAGCACCTGGCTGCCACGAGGGGAAGCCGGCTCCTGCGTTGGGCTGCCGCCCGTCGGCGTGCTGGGGTGACGGAGGAGGTCTTGATGGGGAGCCAGTGGGAGGGATGGACGGGGCAGTTCCAGTGGGAGTGGTGGGTTTGCTGGAGAAGCCGGGACCTGCCAGTGCAAGGCACAGAGATTATGACAAATGCTAGGAATCACAATGGCTAACGTGCTACAGAATAATTACAGTGACTGACCTCCGAGGCTTCCCCCGAGATTTCCTATGTCAGCGAACGGGTCCAGGTTGTTTGGCTTGGTTTGGTGGGTGGGGGTGCTGTGGACCGAGCCTGTGGGGCTGGTAGTGGCTGACCGACTGCCCACACCAAAGCCTGCTGCCGGATAAATACACAAACACTTGACATATTTGTGGCTCTCCGATTTACACATTTCAACCAGCTCACACAGATGGGAATAATAAAGTTTAGTTGGCTTCCCCAACGATGTACTGGATGACATTTAGTGCTGTTGTTGTTTATCTGTGTGTGACCGTTTGTGTGTTTAGGTTCCTGGTTCCTACCTGCGCTTGTTGTTGCAGGTCTGTTCCAGTCCCATCCTCCCTTCGCATTTTGCTGCTGAATATTGACAGTTGGGTTGGTGGGCGGGACGGGGGAACTCCGGCCTGTTCGAGCACATAAAAGTTTGTCACACTCTGAGCTGAGGACACAGTGACTAATCGACCCACACAGCCTGAGAAAATAATAATACTCGCTGGGTTCACGCCAACAATATATAGCTTTGCATTTTGATTTTAGCATGAAAACCGATAAGTCAACTAATACAGTTCTGTCTCGCTTCTGTCGGGCTCATACTGCTCTCAGGGTGTGAAGTCCAAATAAATGTCTTCAGGCTGATAATTATGCTGATGGGGAACTATTCCTACTGGAGGCGAAATATCAAGTTCATGCAATATCTATGTGTACAAATCAGACAAGCTGCAAATACATGCCAGTCCATTCCTTTCCACACAGAAAACATACAGAAAAGGAAAACTATTGCATAACCAGTGTGCAAGTGAGCAATAACAGAGCACACAAATATGACAAAGATATTAACAAACATAAATCCATTTTAGAAGTTTTAAACAGAGTTGATGCACAGAGACATGCGCTTAATGCGTGACTTGCAGATTATGCATAACGTGCCTTACCCTGATATGGACTGTTTTATTACATCCAAAATGTGGTGACAGTGTGCGGCAGAAGCATGCCTTACCCAAGCTGTTGGGCTGCAGAGTGGGTGATGGAGAGCGAGCAGCATGCAGGAAGGGGTCTGTCTGCCCCACATTACCTTGTCCAAGAAATGAACCCATCATGTCCTGAGGCTTAGGCATGGGACCCGTCCCAAAGGGATTAAATGCTGTGGGAAAAGAAACAGACCCACCATTATTATTGCCTTACTCAATTGTATGACCAAGATGTTTTATGAAAGTTTGATTTTATTTTCTTTACTTTTGATCACAGAATGTTTTTCCCATGTACCAAAATGAAACATACTTTAAATTCAGATGTTACTGTCAGATTTTATTTGTGATTGATTGCAGAATGCATTGCATTTTGTCAACTAGCCAAAAATGTTCTTCATCTTGCTTGCCCTAATAGCCTTTGTTTTGATAAAGAAATCAATTTTTTGCGCTTTGGGGTGACACACTTTTTAGATGTCTATATTATTATGCCACAAGTATGACAACTTGACTATAGCTTATCTTTGCTTGCTTACAAGTTTTAAGCAAATTATTATTATATTATATATATTATTAACCTTAAGGCTTAACAAAATTATTTTAAATTAAGGTATGTATGCATTCATGAACAGCTTTGCATATCATTTCATGAAAACTGTGATAAACCGTAGAATGCATTCGAACGAGCTGGTCAACTGACCCTTGGTTCAAATAACTACTTTTTCTTCATCTAAGACTCAACTTTCACTCTTAATTAATTAGATCAGTCAGAGAAAAACTAATCCAAACTTACTTTGAGCAATGTTGTATTTAAAAATGAGTGTAGTGTTTCCAATAAAATCCCTTTCCCACGGGATCTCACCTGTTGGCGCAGGAGAGGGGCACGGCGAGGCAGTGCTTTGGGCTACTTTCTGTGGTGTGGACTGTGCCGATGATGCCCCACTGGTTGGCTGGGGTGGGCCCCCAAACAAGTCTCCTAGAAGGTCAGTAGTGGCGGCTGCAGCAGACGGAGGGTGAGACGAAGGCCGGTTGATCTCCTCCCCATCGAGGCCAAGAAGATCCACTTCTTCGGCGGGTGCAGCGGCGGCCGACATTGGAGATGGGGGCCTGGGTCTCGCGGGGGCCGTGCTTGCGCTGCTTCGCTGGCTGGAGAGAGAGAGCATCTCGTCGTCCGAGGGCTCGCTCTCTTCGCCGTGGCTCCGACTGTCTGCGCCTCCGTGAGGCCGACTTGGCTCTGCAGGTGTATGAGAGAGAGACAGAGGAGAGGTTTCAGGGGTGGCCAGATGGCACAGAGGCATACCAACGGTTGAGACGGATAAAAAGGAAACTATTTGGGCAAAGTAGACATAAATACAGAATAGGTTAAGAGGGAGTTGGGCATAATGGGCATAACTATGTAGGTATGTAGGACCGCTAAAAGCACCAGTTTTTCTCCTGATTCTGCGTACCGTGCTGTGATACTCTAAACACCAGACTTCTGCAGTTTGCCACTAGTAGCTGCTCTTAGCTACAACAATTAGAGGATGTAATTTACATAACAAAATAATAAATCCTAGTTTATGGGTTCAATCGATACAGGATGCTTTTAAAGAAGGGAAAGGAATCTACTTGCGACTATAAACCTAGCTAGCATTATAAAGCAATATTTCACTTTGGTAGAACATGTTTATCTGTATCACTTATTGCTCCACAGTTCCTCCCTTTACTTCCATTATTTACCATCACTGGGATTGTTTGCTTTTTCACCCAGTTCACCGTATTTCTCTTTGTGCAGTGAAAATTGGTCTGCTGTTGAGGCCACCAGCGGAATTAGATACAACAGCAATGTTGTATGTCTTCAGATGATTGCTTATTAATCAAGAGAGAGATTTAAGTCATCTACCAAAATGATATATATCGCTCCATAACAAGGGGTTCATTTCAATTCAATCAATGCAGATTGTAAAAAGACTCAGTCACAGAAGACTTATTGGTCCATGATTGCATGATTGAATTGAACCAATCCGTGGTTACGTTCAGGTCCGTGGTCCTCTCTATTCGTCTCTATTGTCTTACCCTCCAGATCCAATCCCTCCATTTCATCTTGTCGGTACAGGAATGAGAGTTAGTTCATCAGTGTGCTCTTGTGTCTGCATTCATTAATATGTGTATATGTGTTTTGCACCATCCTAAACATTTGAGCATATACATTTGGTTTTGACTTTATTGGGCATTTGTAGATTGTAATAGGCTTTTAGACTTTTAGCTTTTGGTTTAGCATCAGCTGTTGTAAGTAAGGACTCCTGTTGATGGTTATTTTAGATGAATGACTAGTAAGTCAATTAACCAATTTTAGCTGTTTTGAATGTACATTTATGCTTCGGAGCTCTACAGAGCAAATAACTATTCAGATGCATTCACTAAGGTAGAAGTTATCATGCTGAATTAAACCAAGCTACTTTGCTTTGATTTTCTGTGAGTGCTAAACACCGCCTACCGACATTATAATCTCTGGGGGGGTTTTCTTTGTCTAACGTACATGAGTCTTTGAGCCTTTAATGCCTTTTCCTGAAGGCTAATTAAAGACAAAAAGCTTTCTGATCAATCATTATAAAATAGCTTCCCAGCTAAAGTGTGATGTACATTAAGCCTATATTATTGATTCAACATACATGCACAGTCCACATTATTGTTTGTGTGTCATATTTGCCCCCAGTGAAGCCGTCCCCACTCTACCAGCAATAGCCAGTGCATCCTGATGCTCCTGGTGGCAGGAGAAGAGCACGCTGGGGTTCAGATCTTTACAGGGGAACTGCTCCCACGGTGGCGTCAAGTCTTTTTGCTTATCCATCCCCTCCACCTCCAGGTCCACTATCACATGGAAGAGCTGAGGATACTTCTCCGGAGAGTCGCAAGCATCCAGCTCTGGTCTGAGAGGAAGAATGTATGTAGGTTATAGTGGGAAGCACAGGGAGGGAAAACAGACGGCGTTTGGCAGGATTTTTTACAATATGTTTTTCTAAAAATCATAATTTCAACTCGGTCTGTCAAACAATTATTAGCGCTCATTTTGTATTTTTAGGTTGTTGGTGGCAATGTGAAGATCTGTAAAGCAAGGTGATCAATCAATCAATCCTAGTAATAAAATATAATAAAAGTACTTACTTGTTAAACTTCAACGTGGCGGTACCAGGAGCAATGAAGCCAGTGTGGAACTGGATCTGGAAGATCTGGGTGTTGGACACCTAATGACAGTAGAACACATGTAAGTGTGGGTGATGGGATATTAGTGTCATACCTATTTGCATCAATAGTCATAGCTGAATAGTGCGTATGGTCCTTATGGGATATACACTTCATCTGTTAAGAGACTGTGTGTAAACATGTCCACTTCAACCCATTTACCTAAACGGGTTCAAACAGTAATTGAAAAAGCTGAAATATGTTTGATTTAAATGGCTGGTTCCTTTGACCTGGGTTTCCTGTAAAAGCTCTAGTTCTATGCGACCACACTTAAATACACTTAAAGGTTTAATTAAAACCTCCCATGGCACACAACCTGAAACCAATATCAGCAAGTATTCTGTTGAAATTATACTTGTTGAAAATGATACTAGTGGAAAATATAAAGGCCTTAATATGCTAAAGGCAAAGCTTTCATTTCAGTATTGTACAAAACATGTCATGCGCTGCTGTGTTCACAATCGCACAAACATTTTAGTCAGGTTTTGTTGACCTCATCAGTAGACAGACATGCGTTTCAGTAAGAAGACGCGGTGGGATGCAACACAGAGCGGATAGAGTTTACTTTGGCCTGCAGTCGTCCCCCGATGGTAGACCTCATGTGGTAGACTGAAACAATGACGTCTCCTTGCACACTCACACCCAGAGGGAAAACCACTTTACCCTCTTGAACCCTGTGCTCTCTGGAATGTTTGTGAAGGAGAAACAAAAAAAAAGTATAATTATAAAGGACACGTTGCGGAAAAAGACTGAGGAATGATGGGAAAAGAGCATGGTGTGTTTCAGACCCTTTCATCGTACCTTCAAACACATCATACGCCCTTCAAATGAGAAGCCCGTACCTCATCCTCTCGTACTCCTGTGCAGTGCTGAAGATCTTCGTCTCCCCAATGAGGACGTCGCAGAAGGGCCGACAGCCGCTGCGCTGCTTGTTGAAACAGGGGACCGGAGTAATGGTGAGACTCTTGATCATCAAGGGCTTGGAGTGCGGTAGACTGGGCTTCTCTGATACCATGCTACACACATAGCCTATGTACCTGCATGGAGAGAAGGAAATGTAATCACTTCTATACTAGTTTCATTTGTCAACGTTATGTCATCTGTATGTGATAAGGGGGTTGTTGAAGCTGCCGTTTCAATTCTCAGCAAACGAGCAGTAAGGATGTTGTTGGATGTTCTAGCATATACTGATAAATAATACATCCACTGGGCAAAGCCATAAGGGTCTGATTAAGATTAATGCCCAGGCTTAGGAAACTGAGGACTCCTGGCTGCACTGTTTGAGCTTTAATTAGCGTCGGCCCGACAAAAATTGTTCTGATACTATGCTAGAATCCCAAAAGAAATGCACTGACTTCTGAAGTGGCAGATGCCGACTGTGTTTACTTTTGACAGCTTCAATATTCAGTGTTGTAGAAAACCAAAGGCGGAAGATATTTTTAGAGGCCTCAAAATCTAAGCATCTAGTGTTTTTCTAGGCTCGTTTTTTCTTCCCTTTCTCTCTACCTTTCTTACACCATTCTCTTTCTCATTCTGTTGCAACCACACCCCAAAAACACAAACCGGCGGTGTGATGGCCACAGGCCGGAGCCTGGTCTCTTGGCGCTGAGCAACTGCATAGCAGGAACCGGGTTGTTGAAGAGGTGGCAGAAACAGAACATGGCACAGACCAAAACACCCGAGGGACCACGACCATCCTAAAAACAGACAATAAGGGGGACGTGTCAAGAATTGCCAAGAAATCCCAGGTTATATTCTAAAGCTTCAATAATATTCTTTTTGGTCTCTTATGCCGTGCACTGCTTCCATCTTTATCTTTGCATCGCAGCAATGACAGAGTGGACATGTATGGAATAAGCCACAGAACACAGAGACAGTTTATGGAAAAGTCTGATGATGAAACCATGTGCCCAACCAGGCCAACATTCTGCGTAGCAGTGGTAAGGGTGTTTGCACACTGAATGAATTCACTGTCATAAATTGACTCAGTTCACTTCAGGTTACAGAAGGACCGAAGCATTCCTGTGATCCAAAGCAGAGAAAATATTTTGTTAAGAAAGGAACAGCTTGGTGGAGGTTATGCAAGATGCAGCCGTTTGCCAAGCAAAACCACCTCGACTTGGCAATAACATGCTCACCAGCGTACAGTGTGGCTGTCACTGAATTAGAAAAGACAGAAAGGCCTGTTTCACTGAGCATTTTTATTTAGAGTTTTAGCCGTGCTCAGATATGCTTGACATTATCAAACCTTTAAAGCATCAGGAGGTAGCATAGCTGGCGGTAAAGTTGCAACTTGCACCCTGCAGAAAGCAAACGTCACTAAACTAGAGCCAGAGTTAGTTCTGTCTGCTGAGTTTTTCTGCTGAGTAAAATATGCATATTGATATGTAACATTTTGGCAAATATATCCCCGAAAATACAGCACTTTAATGGTTTTGGGGTTTTTGGTTTATTACTAAACACGGACACATAAATAATAGACACATATTTTTAAGTGCTGTGCTTGAGAAAACGGGTGAATTCAATCCAAATCCATTGGTGAGATAATGATCAAAACTGCCTCTGTACACTGAAAGGGCCTTCACGTCATAGGTGACTAAATGAAACGTGGCAGTGCACGTGGTTAGAAATGCAAAATTATATAATACCATCAATTCGAGGAGAGGGATTAATACAATGAGCGTCTTCTTACCGAGCAGGTGATGACACACACATTTTTGGGATTCTGTTTGAGCCAGTTGTGCATGTTCTTACACACAGCAAACAGGTTGTGGAGGCTGGGAGCCTGGAGAGAAGGCCAATTGCATTCAGAAACCTGAAAATGAATGAGAAATAAATGTCAAAGGAAGTGAGGAAAACAGGGATTGAAACAGAAACAGACAGTTCTAGACCTGTAGAAAAGCAGGGAAGAGGCACTAAAACGAAGGCAGAGAGAAAGGTGAAAAACGCAAAAACTAGTGGAAACCCAAAAGTTACTCAGCAGGGGAGAGAAAGGAGTGGTGGAGGTTAGCAACCACACTCCAACATCACAGCACCACAACACAGCAACGAGTCATCTGGCAGATATACAGAAACTAAGCAGACAGGGGGCCCTCTTTGACAAGTTAATCCCACATCTTTAATCTTCAGCTAAGTTTCTGCTGTATGGTGGCAGTATTTCTTTTATCTAAAGACATCCCACGTATGCCTCTCACCTATGAAAAAGTGCTGCATGACTGCATGCTTCTGTAAACAACGAATGAAATAGAATAGATGGAGCATTCTGATCAAAATCCTGCTTTTGAAATCATAATTTGGTGGGGACACTTGGATTAGTGAATCCCAAATTAGATATTTCATTTAGAGAAACATTGGTCTCTGAAGTGATGAAGTGAGTCACTGCTGTTTAACATCTCTTGAAGTATGGAGATGTTTATCTCCGTTTTGTAGTGTTTTAAGTGTTGCAATGAGGTAAAAATGGTGAAGCCACCACTAACAATTAGACACAAACATCATACAATACATCTGTAGCTTCATGAGACACTGTCACACTCACCCTGTTGGAGAATTTGGCGCCGCGGTAGTTACGCTGCGATAGGTTGAAGACAGTGTAGTGGTCGGCATGGCGACTGTCAAGGAAGGAGCGAATGTCCTCTACGTGGTTCTGGTAGCCGATCTGCACTGACTCCGCTGGGTAGGTCATTACTGAAAAGAAAATACACCATTCAGCTGCTGCATCTCTGGAAGAGCCCCGTGCCCTGTTGGTGTAGATGTTTACATACAATGTATAAGCCAAAAGCAACATCCTCCATCTTTTTTCTATCTTTACAATTAATCTACAATTAGTGAATTGAAATTTGAAAAGAAGGAAAGTCTAGATCCAAGCATGACCGCTGCACACAAAGCGTTTAGGATAGAAGCCCCCAGGTGACAGATGTTCAGCTGAATATGTTCTCTAAAGGACACACTGTGGATCCACACTCGTGAGCATGTGCTGCTGGAAGCAACGTGGGTACGATGGATGAGTTTGGACGGAAAGCTGAGGTCTGAATGTGACTGCGCTTGTGTAGGTTAATGCGGTCACACACATTATTGTATTTTATTATGCAGATTAAACAGACTTTTTAAGTTTATCTAAAAAGCTTCTTACTCTGAGATTTGGGGTCCTGCATGAACACATATCAGGGTGTTTACAGTGGAGCAAAGTAGTAGTAGTAAAGGATTAATTATTTCTGCAGACAATCACAGATGCACAGCCAAACGTGTTTACCTATGATCCGGGATGTGATGTAGGCAATATCCAGCTCCCCTTTAGTGTACCTGTAACAGAGAAAGGTTTTTTTAAAGAACATTTGTCATGCAACTCTCATGACCGAAAAGTAAAATAGAATTGATATAAAAATCTCTAACAATATTCCAAGCACAGCAAATGTGATTGAGTCCACTGATACCCCAACAAATCCTTGAAATATGCACACATTTGTGAAACCAAACACCCTTGCTCGGTGTTATATTACAGGTGTTAGACAGGTGCTGATGGTTTCAGACAAAGGAGGCATTTAGACAAGTGAGTAAAACAAATGCCCCCTTCTTCTTCTTGAAAATATCAAATCATTAAAAAGAAGGAGATCAATTGATGACCAGCCTCCAAAAGGTTGATCCATCTGCTTCTGGCTGTCAGCGGCTCTGCAAGTTATGCACAGCCAAGTAATTTGATTTAAAAGGCTTTAGAGCAGAAGCTTCCGTGTGTTTGGCTTTGGGGAGGTTGTCTTTTTCAGGCTCATCACCCTAGGCTGATCAAAGGAATACCATATGTGAATCCTTCAATCAAGCATCACTGCCTTTCATTCCTAAATCCAGCTATTCCATATGGAGAGCAGCTGCGGTGCACAAACGTGCAAGTAAGAAACACTGCACCATGGAAGGGAAGGAAAATAGCGCATATGAAACACTTTAAACGGGTGCAGAGTGGAGTGTAATCTGTTGTAACAGAGACTCACTTGTTATTTTCTTCTATTTGAGTAGTCATTTATAAAATGGCCAATCGCGCAGGAGTGCCATATGGCCCTGATGCAATCCTTGACCTGGTTACGTAATGCGGTGCTACTCAACCAGCGTGTGTTAAGGATGTCTAAGCATTTTACAGTGTTACCCTTTAAGACATTTCAGGATATTTGGATTCATCTTAAATCAACATGCACGTCAATTCCAAAAAATCATGTGTTTGTTGTGTGACATAGACAACTGTTCGTAAAACAGACACGTATGGTGAGTTAAATCCATTAAAGCTGTTGCGCCTGTAAGCCCTCATTAATGAAGTAATTGGATCACACTTCGACTTTCTATTTCCAATTCTGTGCATTTATGCCTTGAGGAAAATGTTGGCTGCAGGTTGCACGGTGTTATGAAAGGTGAATATCTGTGCTGCTGTATACTATATCACAAAGAAAGGCAGATAACTTTTTCTTCACCTTGTTAAGGTTGCTGGATCACATCTTGTTTATTACTTTGGGGGGAAAATAAAGGAAGAAGAACGTTAGAAAATAAATTTGAGGGAACGAGGAAAACATTTAATCTTGTCCTATTTTTGGTCCAGAAAATACACAAATCTGCTGTTGTCCCTGCATCCATCCTGAAACAGCTTGTTGGTTATTAAGGGAGGGAAGCAGGTCAGGTGTCGGGTTTAAATGGCCGTGGCCGAGAGCCATGGACTATGCAAATGAGCAGTCTCCGTGACCTCTTGAAGTACGAGCTGCAGCCAATTAAAATGTACTGCAAGCTGTGGTACAGAGAGCGAATAGACGTAGACGGACACGACTGTAAAGAAGGGCAATGCTGACACCAGAGACGTGTGTTCTTTCTGCTGATAAAGATAATAACAGCAGCAGTTACTCTATAACTGTTTCCTAACTGTTATGTGATTCACTTTATATATATATAATAATATATATAGAGAGATTTAGTGACATGAGAACTTATTTGACAGTCTGTATGGATTTTTAGATATTCGGTTACTGCACTGATTCATTTCTACAATAGCTTTGCTTTGGTCAACTCTCTTATTTACAATATCTCATCTTTGTTCTTCGTCTTGCATTTGACATGTTTAAATGTATTCTCCAGTAATGTTTTCACAGATTCACAATTACAATTTTAGTCCAACTTCAGTCTTTAACTTGTGTTGAAATTACTTTTAGCTCGCACCATAGCACTGCAGTTAAACGCTCAGTGAGGGAAGTGAGTGGCAACAAACACACACACACGTTATCCACAAGCGCTAAAACTAGGACGAAGGTGAACATCAGGAGCATGAGAGTCATTTTAAAGCTTCACTACAGCCGAGAGTTGTGTTGACCTCGTCCCAAGTGACTAAACACACACACACACACACACACACACACACTCGGACTGGATTATGATGGATATTTACTTTGGGCACTAGAAAGAGACAGGAAAAAGGAGAAATAATTACAGGGAGGGAAAGAGAGATGCCAATAGAGTGTTAGTCATATTGAAATGGTGAACGATGAGAAATAGAAACAAGAGAAGGACAAATGAATATGTGTTTGGCAGGGGAAGGGCGGAGGGTGTCTGGGTGCCGACTAAGAACACTGTGCCTTTCACGAAACCAGATCAGCCAGACTGATCTGGTCCGTTGCCATTGAGTTTCTCACTGACACAGAACAGCCGAGCGTTACAAACAGATTTGTTTTCCTGCAAAAAAATTTCCTTCGGCCAGGTAAACATTGAAGCAGGCTTCAATAAATAATTATGTGACCTTTGCCTGGAATACAGTGGATGAAAGATGGAGATGAACCAACAAGGTCTTTTTGGGATGTTAAAAGTGGACCTTGTTAACAAGTGAGCTCGCCTGACCACCTCTGTCAGAAGGTATAGCAAACATCCAGGCTTAAAAACGAATCAATTTCATAAAATTGATTTGTTTTTTCATATCTGCCTTTATCTGCTTTTATATAAATATGAAAGCAGATATATGTGTAATTGAGATACATTAGCAATGGCTTGATATCTAAATATTTCTTGAAGCTAAAATAGAAAGATAGTTGGAAAAAAGGATTATAGCCTTTGGGTTCTTTATGTCGGTCTCAAATCTGCTTTAATTTTGTACACTTTAAAGCAGTGCTAAAAGGTAAACATACAAAATTGACAAACCTTTTCTTATGGAGGTTATTTCCTATTTAAACATTCAGAAGCATACAGTGGATAAACACCGTTATACAATTTAGAGTCTGCCTTATGAAGTCCAATGTTCATCAGTCCAACTCCTCGTAACGCTTTGGTTCGTCCCCCACAGACCTCTAAGGAAAATATCTGTATTCAGCTGATAGAGGCTCCATTACGTTCACCAGCTGGTATCTAAATGTCTGCTGTTTGGTCTCGAACAGGACGTGCGCAGGTTTGAAACACGGTTGATGAGAGCGGTGAGGTGAATCAAAACGATTAGTTATTACCGACGAGATAGACTCAGATAAAATATTATGACACCCTTGATTTCATTTGGTGATTAATATATTTTGGACACGGGAGGGTGGGAGAGAGAAGCCTCTTTTGCAGGGTGATGGAGAGCAGCGCACCTCTCAAGAACACGCCATTAGATCCTGCAGCTCGTTATCAAATATCTCTAATTAACTGCTGACTTAAAACAGGGAAGCCACCAAAGGCTGGACCCAGAGAATCATGCTACTCTATATAATCCGTACGCCCGGAACAGGCCTGCACATCTACTGTATCGTCTGTTATACAGCTCATTTCACAAGATGTTCATTTATTTATAATGGCAATAAACCACAAAGTGAGCCCTCAACCTCGGAAATTCAGCTGTGATGTCACAGCCAACTAGAACGAAGCTATGAAATGTTATTCATACAACGGCACAGTGAACTCTCCAGTGTGTCAGATCACAGCGGGATACTTTATGTTGACACTTCTCTGCCGTCGCCAAAGAAACCTGTCAAAGCAGTTTTAAAGTGTACCGCACTAAACTGTAGCTCATTAAAATACCTCTGCCCATCTACTTTTCGTTTCCAAAGGCTTTTTTATCCGGTTGCCACGGTAGCCTGGTACCCCTCGCCCCATTATCCCAACCACCCACTCACACATACATATACAGTCAGCACACAGACCACCTCACACTGGGCCTGAATGAAATGTATCCTTCTGTATCAGTAGTGCACTGGCCATTTGGCTCACGGAAGTGCTATCAATAATTCAGCCAGGAGAGGAGACAGCAGAGAGAGGAGAGGAGATGAAGGAAAGGTGGCGCTTTGAAGAGGAAAACACCAGGGGATCGCCGCGGACAGGAGAGTGGGAGTTTGTCAAGATGTGAGCGGCAGAGGAGCGGAGACAACGCTCAAACTTGCTGAGTCAATAGTGAGGGAGGAGCTGACGATACAGAGGCCCCTTTGTGCTGCCCTGTGCAGATGCCTGTGCACAAACACACTGGGACGGCCGAGCCGTGCCAGACTCTGCTGCCCCCCTCTTTCCTCCCTCGGCCCCTCTAAAGCTGTTGGACACCCATATTACATTGTCATCGCCTGTTGAAACAACATTCAATTGGTCTAAGTAATCGCTACAATTCAAAATGGGGTGAAGCACGATGCATGGTGCCGTGAAACTGTTCCGCTATAGTTTATAAACTGCTCGCATATCACTTGTCACACAAGTGTTCTTACTACAAACACAGATGCGAAATAACAACTATTTCACTATTTCAGGTCACAATATCTACACAATAACCATACTATTATGTACAATAATATCCACAATAACTACACAATATCCAAATTAGACATATGCCATAACAAGCCCTATCACTGAGAAGAGGAGGATCCTTTTTTATTTGGGATTAAATATGTTTTCAGCGGTCGCTGAACCCAGCATAGTCTTGTTAATTTGGTTTCAGTTTGGTTTGTAGAAATGGGTTACAGCAGCAGCACTTACTTACCGATACATACTTTTTAACCCAAATTGCAGGTGAGAGCACTTGCACCACCAGCAGGCAAAGTTAACTTGTGCAGTTTGTCCTCTTAGATTCTCCTGATTCATTTGGGAAAGTAAAGGTGAAAGGATGGAGATTGTGACCGTATTTGATTTATGTGAAGAGGTAACGGGAATAGGAATGCAGAGACCGAAAAGAAAGAACACAATAGAACCTCATGTGCATGAATGCAGCACTAACTTACGTGGCAACCTGATGCATGACCTTGGTGGAGGTGTCTTTCAGTGTGTCCTTCAAGTTGTCCTTGAAGTTGCTGAAGAACTTCCCAGCTCCTCCCTTCACCATATCCAACAGTCCTCCACTATAGTTAGCATCCATATCTGGGGACAGAGGACCATTAGGCAATCAGCATCCAGAGGGAAGCACAGTATACACGGGAGCCGACACAGTAAGGATGCGAACAGAAAAGGCCCACTTTCATGTAAATGTACGGATGTCTTTTAAGACTCTATACATTACTAAATAAATGTATACAAACTGGAGTTTTTCATTTGAGTCGAGTGATGAACACATGAGTCACTGCACAACACACCAAGAATATACACGTGTAGGCGTAACAGAGTGAGGGACAAGGACAAAAGAGACAAGACGCATGGATGCCCCGTGGAGCTGTGCATGTCCATGTGATGACACGGTAAAAGTAAACGTTGGAACAGACCCGAGCGTTCTATCTTAGTCAGCAACTCTTTAGTGATTAGAGATTATCCTCTCAAACACTACACGCATAGCAACCACAGTGGCATCTATAAAAGGACTGAAAAAATAAATGTTAACTCTACTGCTGACTGAATCTAAATTCCAAATCATTTCATTTGTTCATTGCATGTGGGACTAATGACATACAATCATCATTTAATGGGACACTTTTCTTCTGGAACTTTCGAAACAAAGGGGGGTGAGCATATTTCTCAAAATATTGAACTATTCATTTAATACGACGGCGAATACGGCAGCCATGTCTTTGCTGAGGAGCGGGAACTGAAATGCTTCCCTTGCTTTTGGGCTGCATGTTTTGGTCTATTTTTAACATCCTTACTATGCAAATTTCCGAGTGAGCATGACAGAATATTCTTCCCTGAAATCAAGAGCAATGTGAGCTCAACCTGCTTCTGTCAATCATGTTCAGATAACTGCAACGGTACAGGCGTGTCTGTTATAGTGAAGGAACAAATGTGCGTAGAAACAATCTCACTGCCAAAAGCTCACCGCTCTTCCTTACTCGGACCCCCTCCTATTGCTTTCACAGCCGGCCAATAGAAACAGAGAGAAAGGAAGGGAGAAGGAAAGAGATGACCCGGGTGGAGAAAAAGACTGTTCTTCTTATGTCCACAGGGATCAGTGGGCTGTCTGAATTTGTTTCCCTCTTCGTACAGCCTCAAACAGTCCTCCCTATATATCCAGCTCGGTGTGCATGACACAGATGGATGCATGCACACAACAATAAGGCCTGACAAGCCAACGCGGCAGCGCAGCAGCGCAGCAGCGCAGCAGCGCAATGTCAGTGCTACTTCACTGTGCCGGGCCGCGTTGCGTCCTGGACCCAAATGACTGCGACGTCAACCCGGGACTCTCGTCTGCGTGATCATAGACGCTGCTGATGAGACGAGGAGTGTGTGATTAACGATCGGAATTTTCATACCTTTTTACAAAGGTTAAATTTGTCCATGAAAAAATATTTTACAGCGTGAATGAACACCCTTTCTGGTTAAATGTCTGCTATCCTCTTTATTCTGTGCCTCTATTTTATGTTTTGTCTATTTCTTTGCATATCTGTTAGCTGGTTATGTGCCTCTGTGTCTGTGGCCAGATGGACGTGGGAGGGTGCAGACTGTTGAGCCAGTTACCGTGACAAACCTCGCTAATACGCACACCAGGGGGAGGCTCTGATATACGTTGCATCAGATAACACAGCAGCATCAGACGGCCAAGCCACTCACAGTGAGACAGAGCGGGACATCAACAGAATAGAGCTCTCGGCATTGCCAGATGGATCAATGAACGTGGCTTCCTTCTTCGGGAGTGCCAACCCTTAACCCTCAGCATTGGGCCGTGTGAACGGGACAGATGGATACGTGGACTCACACAGACAGAGACATACATGCGAGAGACCATGGTGGGGCCTGGCGTACCAGACAGACATCTGACACCCTGCCGATCACCAACAACCCCAATCCCCTTTGCCCACTGACCCTCCTCCTCCTCCGGCTTCTTTTGTATCACACAAATGTCCATCATTGTAGGCTGGCTGTGTCCACACAGCACTGCAGCGAGGATCTAAAGACTTTATCTTCAAACCTCCAAATTAAGGGACGATTTGGAAGTTGAAGCTGAGTAATGAAAAAAGAGGCATTTATTTTCTTCCCCCTACTATTCATTGTACAATATGATTACATATGAATATGATAAGTAAAGATGTAATTAGATACTATAAAAGTTAGTCTTGTGTTGATCAAGATCTATACATCTTTCTATGTTTGGTAAATAATGGTGTTTTGTGCCTTTTTGGACTGGCCAAGTGTTTAGCCTGACAGGGAAATATAATTAACTAAGTAATAAATAGTTAGTAGTTGTAGTATCATTATAGCAATGGTTTAAATAGCAATATTACGTTCATTCTTCTCAAAGCTCTTTTACCAATGAAAGAATTGATCTCATTGAGGAATGAGGTGTCAAAACAATTGAGCTAGTATAAATGGATGAGGCTCATAATCCATCATGTGCAAGTCAACGACACTTCTGAATTTAGAATATTTACAATTTCAGATTTAAAGCCCATGTGAAACAGTACATAGGCAACGGAATGTTGTTCTTGTGATATAAACATCCCTAACCAATGACTGCAAATGAGTTAGCTTACAAACGCTTTCATATTTAATGTATTTTAACACATTATGCTCACTAGAATAGTGTAATATGTGCCAATGAATATTCTTAAATGATCAAAACACATCTACAACATCCAGTCTGGTCTGTACGCTATTAAATGCATCAGTAGTGGTCACCTTCTGAGAAGGGTTAGCAACAAACCCGATGGTGCAGGGACATGTATCTCAATCCGTTGAGGTTTTATGTGGTGTTGGAGCCACTGTGAGCCCTGCGGGGAGGTGCATAGCATCTCTCCATACTTCCGCTATGGCTGGCCATGTTTCCCACCGCTAAAACCTTGACCCTGACACCGGGACAGTCACCGGATCCGGTAATACCGCGACGAGTCATCACATGTTACACAAGCGCTCTCCACGTCCCGCGTGCGATCCCCCATGCCACGTTCCCCGAGGGGGGGGGGGGGGGGGGGGGGACCCCTACCTGAGCTGTCCCTGGGGGTGCCGGCCTCCCCTCTCAGGGGGCCCGCCCTCCGTCCCAGGGTTGACCCTTTGGTGGTCGGGAATGCGCCGCCCCCCCCGCTGCCGCTGTTTCCTTTGGCGGAGCCGAAAGTGTTTTCGCGCGTTATGACCAGCTGCCAAAATTCTTAGCATCCTAAATAGTCTTTTTTCTTGTAGGCCCCTAACAGGCTCATTACCAAAGCGCACAAAAAAAAGAAAAAGGAAAAAAAAATCCGTTAAAGACAAAAGAAGCTGCAAAGACGTAAAGGCTGCGCCGCGCCGTCACCGCGTCGGGCGCCGCACCGCCGCCGCTGCTGCTGCTACTGCCGCTGCTGGGTGCGCCGCATGTCCGAGCAGGAGAGGACGACCCTCCTTTCTCCTCTGTTTTATGGGAAGATAAGTATTTTGCCGGTCGGTCGGTGTCTCCGTCTCTTCCCCCCCCCCCCCCTCTCTCTCTCTCTCTCTCTCTCTCTCTCTCTCTCCCCCGCTCTCTCTCGCTCTCTCCCCCTCCCCTCGCCTCCTCTTTCCTCAGCAGCACCGCATTTTACTACGACGCTTCTGTCGCTGCTGCTGCTGCTGCCTGTGGACGTAGACTCTAATCGTCTCATGTTATGCTGCATCTAGCTGTGGCTTCGGTTTCTGTAAAGGAGGATTTGTCATATTAAGAAAGTACAAAAATATGGTACCGTAAGAAAATATGCTTCGGGACTTCGCCTATTGAGCAGCACATAACAATATAATTAACCATCAGGAAGTTAATAGATATGTCATAATGATGGCGATATTAAAATGGATTAAAATAGTTCAACACATTGCTTTCTTGATTCATTGAATGCTAGAAAAGAATGGCCATCACAAGTCTTCAAATTCCTCATAGCACATCTATCATAAAGCGATAATACATTTACATTGATATTACACAGAGATATAAATAATAAATATTTGGTTAACATTATGCATTTGGGCCCTTAAAAGGCTGGCCTTGTCGGTATAAAAGTTCAAATGAGAGGAGTCGTCAGCATTGCATGAAAACAGCGCCATGCTTGACTCAAAGGAAACTGCCACTGCATCAAGGGAAATGTTCTCAGTACTGCAGCAGCCTCGGAATATTAACCGGCTCTTTGTGATTTAATTAAAAGCTTAAAGATTTGTAATCTTAGCTCTAAATGTTGTCTTGTTCGGGTCCCAATATTTTGTTAAATGATCCTGGATTCATGAAGGACAGAACATTGACCATTATATGGCATGCTTCCTTCCTTGGCCTTGTCCCCTGGCAACAGAAACCCTGCATGGTTCTGAAAAGAGGACATGAGCCTGGGAAACTCTTTTAGGGGAGCAAACTGGAGCTCAAAGCACAGCGGGAACGGAATGTCCAAAAGGGAAGGAAAGATACCCCCACCGTCACCGGACATGACGGGTTGCTGCTGCTTTGTTGCCATGAAGCTTCCTGTCCAAACTGTGCCAACCGTGTTGAGGATACAGCAGGTGTGGTAAGGACGTCACAGTTTCTGCCCCGATCAAAGGTTTTCACACAATGCCAAGTCCAAACCCAGGAGGAAAAACTAAATCGAGCTGAGATAAGTTAATGCTGCATGGGTTCATGGACAGAAAAAAAATCAATATAAATCACCATGAAAAATTAAAATGGACATAACCCACTTATTCTTACATTGTATTGAGAAAATAAGTCTAAATAAAATATACAAAATATATAATAATATACATATGGTGGATTTTGAGTTATGATGCCAGTTGTGGCATTCATTTGCATCCCTTATAAGATTCTCAAGAAGCCTTTAGATGCAACGTACAGTGAATTTTCAACTGTTTAATAATTGTGATACAGCATATGGCCTCATGCTAATTAGTTATTACCATCAGTTGTAAGGATGCATTAAGGGTTAATGATTACTCCTCTCGGTTAAAGTAGCATCCAGGAATCTGCTGGACCAGCTGTAAGACTCAATGGAGGAGACAAAGGACTTGAATCAGTGAGACTTTAATACAAGGATTCTTGTTCTGTTTGATAAAAACTGAAACATAAAAGATGATAAAAAGCAACATGTCTTCATAGAGGAACGACAACGTGCATGCTGCTCAATAGCAATTACAATGAGTGAAATATTGTAGAGTACTTGAAAATGTAGAGGCCACATCTTTGCTTCGTTAGTTTGTGTAGATCTTGTGTAGAGCTTCAGGCTTTGACCCAGCTTGGACTTGGGGTAGTTCGACTGATACCTTGTATGTCTTAGAGAAATGACTATGACTAGGTCATCTCCACTCTATATATAGAGTGGAGATTTGTAGTAAAGAAGTTAGCATTGCAGTGGTGCACAGAAAGCTGCACGGGAATTTGGAATTATTGCTGAAACTAAGCCATTTCAAGTTTATGAATAAAATCGCTTATAGGGTTTTTAAGCGTCAACGTAATAGGCAGAAATGAAAACGCCACCGCTATGCTATAGATTAACGACACCGTGGTCACATAGGCTGTAATAAAGGATGGCTGGCGCGCTGAAGTTTAGCTACCACATTATTTAAAGTAACTTCAGAGTTTAAGAATTCAGGAAAGGGGCATTTTTACTGAAGTATATTTTTTAGAACAAAACTTTGAAATCTCGGAAGATTGTGTTAACCAAAAAACTTATTTCAGGCATTTTAGCAAAAACTCATGAAACAAAACATTGACTTAAGGATGTGGGTTCAAAACTGAAAATGTTATATCAATCCCACATACTCTTCTGAATTTAATTCCACTTCCATGTTTTGGGTCTCAATCCTGAAGCTTTCTAATATTCAACATTGAAAAAAATAAATAAATAAAAATTACGTAGTTAATGAGAGAATATTGGGAATAAATTACCATTGCCAGTGCATAAAACCTCACGAGCTGTGTTAAGCTGCTCACGTGACCTGCGCGCCATATTGGGGATGTGACGTGCTGAACAAAACAAGAAAGGGAGCTGTGCGCGCAATGTAGAGCCATGATGAAGACGGTGGTCTTGATAACACTGATAATCAATACAACTACCAATACACATCGATCACGTCCAAATAGCCATACTAGTAAATAATAAAGGAAGCTCGTGCCGTCACTAAATCGACCCGCGGACAGGCTGCTGGTGCCTCTCGCGGGTGACCCGATGATGTCATTACTGTAACGACATCATCAGCTGACAGAAAAGCCCCGTAGACGTGAAATCAGTCCAGCCGTTCATCGAAAGCCACAGCACAGCAATGACTATAAAACAGAAAATAATCGACACCTGCTGAACCAAAAATAACCCGACAGATGCCACTCGTGCTGCTCGCGAATTGCACGAGCATCAAAACCACGAAGAGGCCACACGTTTGTGTTTTTAGATAAGGATGTCCCAGCAACATATTTACATACAAGAGCGTGTTGGTGCTAAAAACATGTGTCCATCTGGCGGGGGAAGGGTGGGGGTGGAGGGGAGGATGTAGTGGAGTAAAGTGCAGTTCCAGAGGCAGCGCGATATTACGTAACATCCATCCACGCACGGAGCATGATGCGCTCTCCTTTTCCCCCCCCAGATGTAGGCCACGATATGCGTCTCATCAATCACATCAAATGAAAAGAAACCGATGACATTACCTGACAGACTGCTTTCATTCATCGGATGTTTCCGTCTGGTGTCGTGGTGGATATGCGCTTTTTGAGACCGGGTTGCGTTTACAGGCAAACCGACCTTTGATTTGTCATGCGCCTCCTGTCAAAGGTCAAAGCGTAAAACGTCCTTGCGAGATCCACCCTTCTGCAAGGATTGCCCGGAATCTCCCACGTTAACCTCTCGGTAAATTGACAGAACGACAGACGTTACGGCATCACATTTTGGCACGAGTGATCGGCGGTGGCGATTGGTGGATCTGCAAATGATGCGGCTGCGCGTAAAACGACGTGCACGGTGCAACGGTCACAGTGGAAACTGCGCCGCTCAGCGAGCTTTGCGCGAGTCGCCTGCACAGCCTCGAAAAAACGTGGAATGGAGCTCAGGGAAAACTGGCTGATTGCTTTGACGGTCCCGCTGCTGCGCGCAGGTGCTGCAGGAGAAAAGAAAACTGCGGTAATCTAGAAAGCAATACTGCTGATGAGTTCCGATTAGAACATAATTGTCGTGGAGATTATAGATTTCTTTTCTTCTTTTTTTAAATTAGGTCACCAAAGGATTTAGGACCGCTGTCAAACGGTAGAGGTCCCCATAACAACAACAACAACAGAGACCATATGGCCTGTGAAAACAAACACTGACTGAAATGCAACACCACATTGTGCTGCATTTCAGGGTTTGGTCAGACCTGATCTAAATCTGCTTCGTGGTCACCGGCTATAGTGCTGCACCCTCTGTGGAAGGTAAACACAGCAGATGGGAGCGTAATCCGAGATTCTGATGCACGTGGGGTTTATTTAATAGGTGTTGTGTTGAAGGAGAAGTGTTCACACGTTCCTCCTGCTGCTCCTTGTTTTTCTCACATGATATGAAAGACCAAGGAGCAAAGAAGGGAGGAGCAATGCATTAGTTATTTGCACTGGACTGGAAAGGGAAAAAAGAAAGTCTCTCATAACCAAGGATTTGAATGAATACCCAGATATTCTTTGACGTTTTAATTTAACATGCCATCTTAATTATTTAAAATACCAAGATATTTATCATGTTAGTTTTTTGCCTACACTGCCCTTTTGCTAACAGTATCTTCAGACTAGGAAAACACATTGAAAGCATCTGTTTGCACCCAAACAAAGTATGAATGAGCTGTCATTCTTCCACAAAATAAGATACATACAATAACATAAGACTACACGATTAGTACACACAAAGACACAAAGGCAGCCTTTGGTAAAATTGTTTTATTAATCTGAGAATGTAACACAATCGGGAAACCGAGAATTCAAAATGAGGAAGGAAAATCCCACAACACTGTGGTTACAAAACAGCAGTTGGGTGTGGTCCCATGTAACATAGCACTTTTACTCCAAGCCCTTTCATTCGGCCACACAGACTGGCATATTGCGCTCCCCAACATGAAACCAAAGCGTGGATCAGATGCGGCGACAAAGACCCATCGCCCCACAGACTCGCCCCATCCACACAAATCCACAGACATCTTGTCCTCTTGTTATTGAAAACAAATGATTAATTTGTATCTTTGGTCTGCCATCTCCCAGGTCTCCAACACCACCCACTTAGACCATAAGGAAACCGAGGACGAGGCTAATTTGTTCATATAATAAATTATTATTTTAAAAAACTTTGAATTTTTGTATTATTTCAAAACCTTTACCAATTACTTGTAAAATGCATTAACACATACATTCAATCAGAAAGGCAGATATACACTTCATATGATTAATGCTCCTGAATCATAAAATGTACTGAAATTTAACTGACTTAACGTTACAAAAACAGAGCAAAATACTATTTGATTTTGATGATTCAAATCTATAAGCAACCATACAAATAAAAAAGATATGTAATAGCATAGAATGCGATATATATTCTGTGCATTGTTCTTTATCGCAGCCCGAGAGTGTTGTAGGGTGACTGTGAGTTTTTTTTTAAATCTTGTGCAAGTCCAGCAGCTGCGTCCTGCACTGCATGTTATTAGTTGCAGATTGCGTAATATTCTTCAGCATTTCAGTATAGCTGTTTATACAACGCGCAGTGTTTGTTTAATTGATAGATATTTTAGTAAAACAATCACAAACTGGTTTGCAGGTTTGTTGCATTTGTTCCAGCAGACTTGTAGGCATTATATTCAGCATGTTACACAAGACAAGGGTTGGTTTTGCAAGTGAAGGCTGTGGTGATGAACTTGTCATGTGTAATAGCGTTGTTGTTTTTAACCACTTAAACAAAGAGTTGTTGTTTTCATATGCGGTCATTTCACTCCCAAACTGTACAGAGTTCTTTAATCAAAGAAGTGACAACGTGATAGTTTACTTGAATATGAAAATCGAAAGTTCCAAGTGTTTGAGTTCATATCAATATTTTACCTTTCCCCCGTGTTGTGTATTGTGTGTGTGTGTGTGTGTGTGTGTGTGTGTGTGTGTGTGTGTGTATATATATATATATATATATATATATATATATATATATATATTTATATTGTAGAGCTCTCTCTCCCTATATATATATATATAGGGAGAGAGAGCTCTACAATCAAGCTTCCCTCAACACACATTATTTAAATGTGTGGAACAAAGTGTTGTCTGATGCAGGTACTAAAATTTGGATGAATAGTCAACGTGATCTCCAAAACCTGTTCGTAAAAATGTATACAAAATATTTGACATAGAAATTCGTAACAATACATACGAACTGGCGGTGGTTAACCACACCCCTTGAGTGAACGTCTCTCCGCCATGTTGGATTCTTGAGTGAACGTCTCTCCGCCATGTTGGATTTTTTGAGAGGGTTAGGGTTAGTAGTGTAAAAATGCAAAATTCAAATGCATGTTGAAATGAAAATGAAATGTTTCAAAATAGTGCATAAATCAACATAATCAATAAAGCTCTAGAATTGCATATAACCGTTCATTTGATAAAACCACCTGGCAACTGAACTACAAATTTGTTTGAAGACTACAGTTTTGTTCGGTGCACTTAAATTTCAACAAGAAGGAAACTAAGAACTGAGGCACACGTGTCAAAACATCAGCCCCACCTGCTAGAAATAAGGTTCTGTTTTCTACTGGGTCTTTTCATTCAGAATGTCAGGGTCTCTGCGTTTGGACGTAATCTGACGGCTGCGTGTGCATCCTTGTGCTGAGGAGGGAATTGATATAAGGCCAAATACGGTCTGTGTCTGTACCGGAGAATGAGTGCAGGATTCCCTGTGACCTGAGAAAAATAAACAAATGAACAGTTAAACATTTTGAAGCATTTCTGGATCACATTTCTGTATTGATTGATTAAATGGCAGAAATTGGCTGACACACATTCCTCTTCCTCGTCAAAAACGGGGCCTACAGTATATGTACACATTGCCACTCAGGATCAGAGATCTTGTTAGCCGCTGATGTGGCAGAATAGACGCACTTTATGAAACTAGGAAATACACAATAGATTTATTTTATGAGTTTAATGTTTTGTTATTGATTGACATCTGGGTTTAATTTTCTAAGTGCAACATTGCTTGTGACTCCGTGACTTTGTTGTAACCAAAGACGATTTATCTGTTGAAACATCTATTTAATTTATTCTGATTTCATATTTAGTGGAAAAACTGACTTCACTGGCTGTTTGTAAAAAAACAACAACTATGAAGTGAAGAATGCTAGATGAAATGAAAGTATTTACTGACTTGTACAGGTCCATGACGGGCTTGGCGACATCTTTGTAGTGTCTCAGTCTGGCCATCAGGGCTTCCGGCTTGTCATCATCATGCTGAATCAGTGGCTCCCCGGTGATGTCATCCTTACCCTAATACAACACAAGGTAACACATGCAGTGATGTAAAACAATCCAATTGAAATCTCATGGCAATATGAGTTAAACGCAGTTAAATCCCACTGCATGTAGACACTGCATTGTTGTCCTTTGGAGCTCATGCATTATAAAGATATCAATAACACCACCACACCATCAACATTGCAATAAAAGGAGTAAACTCATAACTCAGAGCATATCTGTGAATGAGGGATTGCCTCAAGACTGTGGTTCAGGACAGAGTTATCAACTCCCCCCCCCCGTATGAGAGCCGGGCAAAGCGGTGTCAAATAGCGAGCCATTGGGGCCCGCACACAGGGACTTACTTGTACTTAAACGCAATGAGAAGGTCAGATGACAACAAAGAGGAGGAGAACAACTTCCTTCAGTCATCAGGTAAACATAACTCCATACCTTTAAGTACCAAATGTTAAACTACTAGACGCAAGAAATTTTGACATGTAAACGTATACATTGATTGTGTAAGTCAGACATGCTCTTATGTTGAAAGTACTGTTTTATCCACTTCTATGTATGTAAAGCAACATACATGTTGTTTGTGACTACTACAGACTTACGAAATTTAAGAAACATAACAATTCAAAATGTCTTTTAATTCAACAACAGGGACTTTTGAAGTGAAATAAAAAGCAGCGGGAGTGTTGTTGCTGGTCTGCGAGATGCTAGGGCGATGAATACATCTGGTTCCAATCTCTCCTTTTGACAGGCCTCCAGCCGGCTGCAGCCAAACATTAAATGAATACCAGCTTAAGAATACTACATACATGATCTTGTGAGGAAGAAACTTACCCCCAGGAAAATCAATGGTCACAAAAAAAAACAAGAAAAGAGCTGAATATTTTAGGGACTGTAACTCTACTGTCTTTTGAAGACTTTTCAGACCTGCACTCGTGGTGGGTTGAAGCCCATGTTGTAGACCCGCCCACTGGCTTGATGGACCCAGCGGGCGCTCAATCGCTCCTTCAGAGTCTCGAAGGGGATGTTGAGGCTGATGACCATGTCCATCTGGCACAGATCGTTCATGGCGTTGGCCTGCGACAGAGTGCGGGGGAAACCTAAAGAGAGAGCAGGTGGAGAAGGAGGAATGTGAGCAGCGTCCACCACCAGGAAAACATTTTGTTATAATAATAATAATAATAATAACCAAATGCATAAAGAAAACATACTCTGCATGAATTCTATGCACTTTCACACTTTCTTACATCCATCAGTTGCTGATAGCAAGTGAACATGCACTCAAGTGACACAATAACAATATCATGTTCATGTGAATTAACTTCCCAGAAGAAGAAAAATGAATGCTTTCAGTTACATGAACCACCAGCAGCAACGAGAAGATGAGACGGTCACAGTAGTAATAGTAATTAGCACTAAACAAAAAGTACAGCTGAGGCCCATAGGAATGTTATTACTTTCAAACAGTATTTGGTTGTAAACCAAAGTATTGGGAAGACATGACCACATGCTGATTCTGGAGGAACCTAAGGGAGACATGAATGTCTGCAGCTTATCTGTTGGCAATCACTCCAAAAGCTGTTGAGAAATTTCACCAAACCCAGAAGTGCAAGATATGAAGTCTCCTCCTCACCACCAAGATGTTGCCCGGAAATCATGAACCTCAGTATCAAATGCAACACAAATTATCAAGGAAGGACGATGTAGTACATCTGTTCTAAATATTCTCTGCAATCAAACCGTACGCTTTAAGTCCATTTTCTCTCTTTTGTTTTGGTATGAATGCATTTTGGCTCGTCTTCAATGCATTGCTTCCTTATGTGTTACACCGGAAGCTGGCAGTCACTTGGTATGTTCCATTGTGTGGTCACGTGAGAGCTGTTAGATGCCTCCAACCACAAAAACATCATGCTGCACGCCGATGAGCGATGGGAAAACACCAGTCAGAGTTTACTAAATTGAAGAGACGGTATATATTTAACTTTTAGACCTGAGATAAATGAAGGCACGCTGTGTGCCCGTGTGTGTGTGTGCGTCTGACCAACCTTGATTTGTTTGCTATTTCTTGTGTACCCCAAAAAGTATATGTTTACTGATCATGTTTCAAGGTTTAAACGCGTGTGACACCAACTGGTCTGTTTTGTCAATGTTTAGCATCTCTCTTAGCGATTTGGATAATATTTTACTTGCAAGAGAAATAGCTATGTGCTGAGTTTGTCATCTCCAGATATCTCATATGCAACTCTACACTAAGGAAAGACAGTATTCTGTTTCGTAACATCCTATTATAACACACAAAAGCACTGCTATTTTTGTTATTGTGCGGTAAAAATGTCAATGATCGTGTATCATGTACACACAAACGTAACGTGTCAATTGTAATAATATGACTATACATGTTATCTCCTCACAGTGACTTGATCTCTACTATAAGGAAATACATATCAACTAGTTTTTTTCCTTAGTAATAAATGTTGGATCAAAGGTCACTTGGCACTCAGAATTATAAGTTGGGAGAACTTATTACACACCTGTTGTTACTAAAATAAATCTGCTAATCCTCTATGAAAGATGAAGCTCAACGTATATTGAACCAGGAAGAAAATCTTAATGCTTATTCCAGTCACAATTGTTTTTCCTCACTCCACTCCTCTTGCTGCTTTTGGGCGTTCACTTTTTTTTGTTCATTCATCAATAATTCAGGTTGAGCTCATCAGAAGTCCATTCCTCATGGCATCCAGATCTGCAGCATTCTTCTCCACCCCTGCAAATGATATGACAAGGTTCTATCCACCAGAGGTTATAGGCATGTCTCCCCCTTTGGTGCACGTGTCCATGAACATGTATGCTCGCACAGAATGAAGTACCGCCTGATGTAACTGTTGAAAAAAAAAATGTTGAAAAACAGAAGAGCGCGCGTCCCCTGAAGGCCTGCTGGTACTGTATTCAGCAATAATTATCCACAGATGTAGGACGAAGTAGTACGTACTTTTCCACTTACCTACTCAAAGACACACTGGTTATGGCACTTTGGGGACCATGTTTCTAAGCATGCAGAGGTGTAGAAAATGCCTGCCTGGAGGCTTAAACCCAGTCTGGGGGTTTGGGGGTGGCAACTGGAGGGGCCAATCAGATTTAAAGGGCTGGAAGTTCCCATTGCTGGACCATGACTCCTCAACGAATAACTATTCCCTCACTACAAATGATGAAGACAATGGATGCGGGCTGCTTTTACATAATGAGATGTGTACTACAGAATATACAATAGGCTGTGCTCTCTGATTGTAGACAAATTTTCATACCATCCAGCAGCCAGCTTTGGTCAATCAGCTGTTCCAGTCTGGGCAGCATCAGTCTGGTCATCACGTGGTCGGGCACCAACATGCTTCTTTCTACATAGGTCCTCACCAGCGCACCTGCCTCTGAAACACATCAGACAGGTTAAGATACAGTCGCCAACGCATGACGGCATCCCGCTCCCAAAGGTAAAAAGACACACAAATCTATCAGATCTTATGACTCATTTAAAATGACGCTGATTTATAAATCATTTCACTTCCAGAAGAAAAAACGCCTAGTTATTAGATCCAGCAGGTCTCAACCTTTCAGTGAGGCCAACCAAGAACACGTGATTTTACACGCACTACACTGAGCTCCAATTGAATGATCACTACACGTACTTGGCACGTCCTTAAATGAACTCCAGTTGGGTAGCTAATGAGGAAGTTTAAAATGATGCAATCGATGTAAGTTTGGGGAAACGTTCAATAAAGCCATTGGACGGGACACTCCTCCACCAGATGGCAATCAGATGATGAAAAACGTTTTACCCAATCGTCTCTAATTTTATGGCTTATGGCTTATGGTTTGAATCATAACCACTGCGGATCAAACCATCGCACTTTACTCTGCAACCATATTTTTTTATATCTACGATTTTTAGATGGATATTGACATGCAACATTGCAAATAGTGTCTTGGTGTTTGCGGGCAGATGTGTCCTACCTGTATTCGCCGCTATGCTCTCTCTTAGGTAGTGGCCGCTGGACAGATATTGCAGGCCAAAGCTTTGTGCAATCCTCCTGGATATCGTTCCTTTCCCCGATCCCGGTGGACCCATGATAGCAGCTCGGAACAACTTGGCCATGGCTTCCGAAAAACAAACAAAAAACAGACGGCAAATAAAATAAAACTCTGAGATGGACCACTTTTAGTGTTTGGTAACGCTTTCCTGTTATGCGCGCGAGGGAAAGAAGTAAATAACCGCCGAATTAAATCCCCCCGATCGAATGTGCGCGTGAGCGACGCAAGTGGTCCAAAGCTCAAAGCGTCTAAATGGGTCTCTCCAACGCAAACGCCTGTGTGTCTGCGGGGGTCTGCGGCTCTCACGGCAGAGCCCACTCTGTGCGCATGTTGGGGCTTTCCTGCTCTATGACTCGGATCAAGTCAAAGCGATCCTTTTTTCCTTTTTTCTTTCTCTCTCTCTCTCTCTCTCTCTCTCTCTCTCTCTCTCTCTCTCTCTCTCTCTCTCGGTTCTCTTAAGGACACACTGCACCCACCTACGTCTTTACGGACAGAGACTTTTCTCTGCGAATGAATGAGAGAGTCTCAACAACGCCCTATTTTTTTTTTTTGCACACATCATCCAGAAAAAATGCGGATGGCTGAGTCGCACGAACTTTGCGGGGTAAACTGGTTACTGTAGTTTTCGTTTTACCAGTGACGTGAAAACAACAATATTTGACAAGCAAATGGATGCGACGCGACAACCATCCGTCCAGCTATTTAATGATGTCTATTGATGAGGAGTTGGGAGAAGGTGTATGTAAGCCAAATGTCTATACTTTCTGTACTGGTTCGTTTTTACAGTTTGTTTCAGGAGTTTGATATCCTGCAGGAAATAAGATAATCAAACCTTAAATCCACGTTGAAGCTCGACACATAACGCAGACAAGCAGCCATTCGCAACTTTTATTACATGCTAAAAGTGGCGCGCGCTCGACAGCCACTTTTATATCGCCTATTCCTTAAAGTGATATTAGCAATGTAAATAGATCATTAAAATGATCCACGAGCTTTTCTGCGTTATGCAAAAAGTTTCAATTTCCAGACAAATATGCCGCAAATAAAGTACAGTCAATAATGCCAAAAATGTCTTGGATTCCAGCACTCGCTGTCGCCGTCGTCGTTGTACGTCTCCCCCATCGGAGCTTTGCAATACTCGTAATAATGGTTCATGTGGGGGGTTTCATTTTCTACCGCTCTGTACTGCGGGCCGACTGGCGCAGGAATGCACGCGTCGCCGTCATCCCGCGCAACGTTTGCGGACGGGCGGAATCCAGCGAAGTCTACTTGTTGCGATCAGCCGCGCGGCTGCAGAAGCGTCCCGGAGCTGTCAGGCGTTGCGCGCAGCTCCCTCAGACCTCCAGTTCGCGGAGTGACCACACACTAATCCCGCAGACAAACAACTCGGGAGATTAACCTTCTTCGGCCTCGTAAAAGTAGTTTTCGTCTGCGCACCCGGAAGCCTGTTTTTCTTTTTTTTTTCTTTTTTATTTCGCGATTATTTTTGTCACATGGCTTTGGAGAATTCAATAACAACAAAAAATGGCGACACTCACGTTGCTCTGTACGGTCTTGCTGCGTCATTAAACATATTCACGTAAACGCGGCGAATCGAACGGGGGAATTGCAGGTAAGTTAGTGTAATACGTGTTATATATCGCATGTGGACTGAATGTAATCGAGAATTAATGATTAAAATTCATTGTTACAGCATGGTGTTTGTTTTCGCCCAGAAAAGGGGTGTGTATGCAATGCTGGGCGTTAACGTTTGGCTGCACAATATCCACAGAACATCGCACTTATATTTCGCCTGGCAGCTCATTAAAGAGCATGTTCATCCCAAATAAAGCAGGTATGTCATGATTATGTAACGATACCCATAGCGGCGTTGTTATTGTGTGATTTGGGTAACTTTTGTTTGCGTAGAATACAGCAACAAGCGTTTATCTCAACCATCGACGTTGCACTATTTGACCCATTTGTGTGTCTGTACCAGTGCCAGCTACCTTCCCAGTTGGTAGGTCATAAGGCGCGCCACTGTTATTTATTAATGGGTTTATGTAATATGCACGCGGTTTCCCCACAGAGTCGCTCGTTACGGTCGTTCATGGCTCCGAATGGCGCGTTCAGTCGTGACTACGTGTTTTCCCGCTGCCATATTTAGTTATTTTCCGCATGTGGGTTTGCTTTCCTGACAGCAGCGGGGTTTTTTCGGCCAGTGTCCTGAGCCGCGGGCTAATGGAGTTGTTTTCATGAAGTGAAGGAGGGCGGCCTGTCAAGGAGGCGGAGCCGCGACGTCGGCTCGTCGAGACGCCGCTACCGCCCGAAGGGGGCGGAGCCTGCGAGGAGAATCATAACAAGTCTGACGTCACTTGGCCTTGTGGTTTGTATGAATATTATACTGGTCTCTAGCAGCAAAATGGTTTGGTGGAAGAAAAAAAAAGGAATAGAAAGCGGATGTCGTTGTTAAAATGGAAATGATGAAAATGATCTATGTGGATAAAATAACTAAAACCTTATCAAATACATGAGAACAAGCTTCCTTCAATTTACAAGAACCGTAGTGTTGTTTGAATTATATATTAATAGTGTGGGTGACGTTTCACCATGTCGGCTGATGGACTAAAGTTAGTCATTTTGCACTATAGAATAAATGGTCAAGGCTAGTAATAATATGCAATAGCAAAACCCTTATTGATGTGTGCATGTCAGCTTTCTTCCTGAACTTCCATGACTCACTGCTGAGCCTATTTCTCAGAATCTGGAGTTTTCTATAAACATATCCGCCTCAAACAGCAGCATGTAGTACGAATGACACCTGGATCAGGATTTTATGAGCCTGTGTAAGGATTTGTTCATTTCTGTTCCCTTGATCCAACTACGAAAAATAGTTCACGCTCTGTTCTTTCCTTCTTGAAACTCCACTTGCATATGTTCTAATGAGATACCACCATCTATGATGCAAAAATGCAAAAAGCAGATTGTTGTATTCAAACCTGGTGGCCTGGACGGTGGACGATGACTGGAACAAAGATCTGCCAGATTTGTCAGGCTGCCCTGGTTCAGTTATCACAGTGCTGATGCTGTCCCCATCGAAGGTACAGTACTGTGATAACTGAAGGATGGCTGCCAACTTTACACAAGTGCGGTTAATCGAAGCCTAACAAAAACGTGTGAGTATGTTTACAAAAATGTATTTTTTTGTTTCTACTTTCAAAATGATTTTGACTCACTGAATCTATCACTAGATTGTGTCATGCACAGTTAAAATCTTTTAAGCTCTAATGTTTATATGAATATAAAAACAATTAACCCCTAGATAAGCATTCACTTCTTTAACTTCTGCTGCACAATACCAAATAAAGGGAACTGTTCTTTATTAAAAAAAGTATGGTCCTTTATTCATCTTTACCTTATCCAAATCTTATTTATTATTATGATCTTGTTAGATTACACTGAAGACATTGTCATAGCTATTTCAATAGCTTTACTAGCAAAGCTAATTTAGCATTAAAAAAAAAAATCATACAAACTTCAACACATACAAAAGAAAACCTACATTTAGTGTGTCCTTTATTGACCTCACCCTATAGGAACCTTACAATGCAACATAAGTCCTCACACTTAATGAATATAAAGTGTGTCTTGAGGTTTGGTCCTAATGAGACTATTAGGACTGATCTGAACTGTTCATCAATGGTCTGCAGGCTGAAAGGGAAAGTAGCTCTGAATGGTTGTTCCACACTGTTGTCAGTAGAGAGAGCTAAAGATCTATAAATTGTGTGCTTTGGAGTCTAAATAACATAACTGTTCTTCTAAACCTTGGTTTATGAATATGATGATTACAAAATTAAGTGCTAATTTGTCACTTTGTCACTTATTTCTCCAAGTTCAGTTTTGGTAGCAAAAAAATATTTTGTTTTTGCCATAATTAAGCAGGGGAGTTGAACATGATTAATTATAGCTATAGTCTCCATTTTATATATATTGTCATTGTTGCTTTCAAGAACCTTATAGGAACAGTCCAATATGTACAATTGATATGTCACAGTACAAGTGTGCGTTGTGTCTGGTGTCAGCACGTTGTAGTGAATTGTTTTTTCAGAAACTTGTTTTAGATAATACATGCACCCTTTGATTCATGTCTGATAAACCACAGGTCAAAGCACCTGTCCGTAAAATGTTTCACTGAAAGGGTGCATACTGTAGCTGCTGTGGAAATCCCCGGTCATGATACATAATTTGTTTTTGTCTCACTCTAACCTCAATATGTTCAACTCGCCTGTTTTTTTTTGACTCACTGTGTAGATTGTGGTAAAGCTTACCTTTTTGGTAATACAACTTAAAAGTAAGGTTTACATTTCTTGAACTAACTAACTAACCTGTCTAGATGTGATGGGGGGCATTTAAAACCTCTAAACTGTTGTACATTATAAACAGCAAATCTAATGGCAGTGACCTATGGGGAAAATCTGGCATACCTCTTTGAAAGTAAGACAGTACATGTTTATTTTCTAATTTTTTTTAGTACTCCCAGGCGTCAGAGAAAATGTTAGCAACTACAACATTTGGGTGAAAGAGTAAAATTATACAGAAAAAAACAAATTAAAGCCATGAAGAGGAATTAGTTTTTACATTTCAAAATATGTTATTCGTTTCTACCACTGATAACACTACATGAAAGGGCGAACCAGCCCACTGCCTTTACACAAACTTCTTAGACTTTTGTGTCCATGGTTCTTATTTATCTCTTTGTTAAAATGTTCCTCTTAAATAATACACTACGAGCGGTCATACAACAGAATATCATGACGCAGTGTGTTCCATACCTTTAACACTATTAGGATACTGCCAAATACACCATGGCACTCACACAGTCTCCAGTATGATAATCACATCAAAAGGGCAGTTATGCAAATGTACAAGTGATGTGATAATTGCAAACAATGGAAAGAAACTTGTTTTTGATGATACATGCACTGTTTGATTCATGTCTGATAAATGGCTGTGACTATCAGTTATATGTATAAAGTTGCATAGTATGGAAATAATCTTGTAAATGTCGTCTCAGCCTTGTACTTAAGCACCATACGGAAGAGCGGGTCATCCACTGGTTTGGCCAGTGGTTTGATCCCCCGCTCATTCTGTCTGTGTGACAAAGGATCCCAAAGACATTTGGGATTCATCTGTGTGCGTTTTATGTGTGTGTGTGTGTGTATATCTGTGTCTGTTCATGACTATCAAAACCGGTGATCCCTTGAATGGCAGCTTCTTTGAGTTGTCTGAAGACCACCTGGTCAGAACCATGAGTTTTTTGGACATTTTGGATCTGTACACAACAACAATGAATTTAAAATTAAAAAAAATGAAATGTGCTTAGAGTGCAGACTTTGAGCTTGAATTTGGAACTGGTTCCATTGGCAGACAAACATGTCCAAGCACTACCTCCACCGTGCTTCACTGATGAGGTGGTATGCTTTGGATTATGAGCAGTTCCTTCTCTCCTCCATACTCTTTTCCCATCATTCCGGTACAAGTCTATCTTTGTAGCATTTGTCAAGAGGATTTTTATTTATTTTTTAAATGATTTTTGACAAACTCTTGTGTTCCTGTTTTTGATGCTCAGCAACGGTTTTAATCTTGCGGGGAACTCTCTGCGGCTACTCTGGTGAATCTTCTCTTCATTGTTGACTTTGACACAAATACACCTTCTGGAGAGCGTATTTGATCTGGCCAACTGCCGTGAAGGGGTTTTCTTTATGTAAATAATTCTTTGATCATGAACCATTTTGTTTTTTCTGGTCTTCAGAGAGGTTTTCCTGAGCTCACCGTTGCTTTCTTTCTTATTAAGAACGTACCAACAGTTAATTTGGCTTTTGGATAATTTGGCTTTTTTTACGCCTAATGATGGCGTGCGTCACTTTGGACTTATTGAGACAAATTGACAGTTGACAGCAACAGGTTTCACATGGAAATCCCACACTCAAAACGAACTCTGGACCTTTATGTGCTCTGATGTAATAAAATAATGAGGGAATAACACGCCATGGATCAGCTGACCAGCCATTTTCCTAAATATTATTTTCCCCTTCAAAAGGGGAGGCACCATGTATAAAATGTATTATGATTCATATACAGTCCCCTAATTGGGAGGTAAATACCCTCACATTCTGCTGACACACTCGCACTGTATCTCATGGAGCATGTTGGCGGTTCGAGCCCCGGCTGCTTCTCCTTCTTCAGGTTTTTGGGGGGCGACGTAGAGACGGTGCGCCGGTGACCGCAGGGTGGGCGGTTCGAGCCCCGGCTGCTCCATCTCCCACGTCGAAGTGTCCCCGAGCAAGACACCTCACCTTTAACTGCTCCCCGGGCGCCTTTCCGGTAGCCCTCTGCTCCCAGTGCGTGGAATGGAAGTGCAGAGAACAATTTCCTGTATGTGTAATATAATACTTGGCAATAAAAATGGCTTCTTCTTCTGAGTCTGCTCCTCAAAGCACATCTTCATTGTCATTTCAAACCAAATGTGTACTGTCGAAATGCTGATAATTTGGTCAATCTCCAGTAAATATGTCGAGTTAACATTTAGCGAGTAAGTAAAATCACTCTGGCTGCTACAATAGAAACACACACCGGCATCAAAGAGTTAAGGTTTCATTTTGAGTGACGGGTTAAACAGCCAATCAGCAGCCGATTCCTACAGCGGTCCCTTGCGTTGCTTTCGGGAAAGAGGTTGTCACTTGTCAGGAAGGGTTAGCGAGAACGTAGGAGGATTGCGTCTTTGCTCGTACTACCAACCATTGACAAATTCCATTTAATTAATCTAATATTTCTCTACCTTTCGGGGCTGAACATTTTTTGGCTCGGCAACGTTTTGGAATCAAGAAGCCGAGAAACGATCGGCGCTACAACTCGGCCGAGGCGTCTAATGTACTGAACGAAACGGAAGTAACTTGCCAGCTGTCTGGCGAAGCTCTCGAGGTGAGTTACGTTAAATGTCAGTTAACCGCGTACAGACGGTTCTCCACCGAGAAAAATATCTCCCCTGGTTCATTCAACGTACACGCGTTTGTTTTCAGTCGTTCGTTGTTGTTGTTGTTGCCAAGTAGGGAGAATCCGCTGTGGTTTCCCGTGACTTCAGTTGATAGCTAACTAACGTTAGCTGCGTTAACGTTGCTAACACGCTTTACGTCAACGATGTCAACCGACGCTCGTGCGCTTTGGCATAAAAATGCCCGGCGGTCAGTTACGGTGAGGCTGTTTTTATTATCGGATTGGAGTATGTTGATTTTGGTTCACCTTTAAACCAAACTGTCGTTATTCGAAAAATTAATATTTGTGAAATAGTCGCATTGATTGTCTGTAAGGAGGAAAAGTGAAACCTACTGTGGGACAGGATTTCAATAACACGCCGAGGCCGAGGCTTCGTGTTGTATTGTTAATGCAAATTTAGCCAACAGGAAAAGGAAAATCGTGTGTAACTTTTGTGTCCCAGTACTGTAATTTGAGCTTTGACCATTGGTACATTTCTATTTGATTCCATAAACACACTTTTTTATATTTTATTTTCCAGACAGACCTGGCAAATATTTATATACAAATTCAATTTAATAACCTAATACTTTTTAGTATTTAGTTATGATTATTCAATAATAACCAGTGGTTATTATTTATCCAATCACAACCATTTAACACACATTTCTAATTTGATGAAACAATGAAGGGATTTAATACACCGATGTAATGTTAATTGACTGCTACACGGCTGTTATTTTATTTTACGTTTGACACCCGTTTCTTAATTTTGTTTATGCCTGAGGAGATCAATGTACATGCTTGTGTTGTGTAAGGTAATTTTTCTTCATAGACTTTGGGTATTTTGGGATTAGTCAGAGGAATTGACCTTTTAAATGCTTCATGATAATGAGATAATAATCGTGCAAAAGTATTCATAGTAGTTCTGTTTTTAAGTTTTGAGGTTTATTACAGTTTAACAAAATGGATTTGCCCATGATGCAATGTTATCAAACATGAAAGTGCATCACATTTATCACTATTTTTTAACATTTCTTGTAATTACTAAGTGCCCTCTGATGCTATTACCTACCAGCCTCATTGTCTGCCCACAATTTCCCCTTCGGGCATATTGGGGATGACACTTGAAATGTCATAAAAATTATAAACATTTGATGCTTTTGTTAGATTATGTCTTTCTAACCGGGGTAAAGCTCAAAACTAAATGAAAGTGTAAAGAGCATTGTTAACATCTTGATCCTACTTGCCCACTTTTTAATGTATTATTTGAGCGCCGCAATATGGTCACAGCACAAACGCTGCTTTAAATCAGGGGGCAGGCATTTAGACTGGTTGTTCTTATAATAACAAAGTGAATCCACAAGTGAAAGTCTTCTACAAGTTATTAAACAAACATAAAATCCTGTAACTAAATGGTCGTTAAGTACCATTTAAACACAATCATTATTACATTTGAGTGTCAGGGCTCAGGATTGTTATCTGGGATTCTCGCTCCAACTTTGGAATTTTGGCGCCATAATTGGTGGTTGTCTTTGTTCATACAAAATGCTACGCTGTTTAATGCACAGGCTTTTGTGGATTTCTTATTCACTTGTGTGGTCGAAAGCCAGAAAATAATATCTGGATGTGATTTTGAGTTCTGTTCCCTGCTCTAGTTTATCCAATGCTTAAATCAAACTGTAAGTCAACACAAATTGGCAATGTATACCTCTTCTTGATGGAGGATGTTTGTGTTAAATATTGAATGTTATACCAATTGTTCTGCTGGACCGACCTCATTTTGTTTGCAATCTAATGTAAGATCTGTGCTTCAGCCAAGTGTATGATACCTATACGGTATCATATTGGAGCACTCATTTTGCCAGCACCAAAAAACAATAAAAAGAAACTTTGGTAAATACTCAGCCAGGGTTTGTGATTGTCACAAAAGTCATACATCCTGGCTGAGTTTTGGCTGGAGAAAGATTTTACTGTGAAAAGTATCTTTAGGAAGTTCTGAATTAATGAAAGACTAAGGTTTTAATAGGGAAAAATGAGGCTAATATTCTTTCAGCTCCACATTTGACTTGTCTGTAATTTACTCACCAAGTGTTACACAGATGACTCATCGGAAATCTTTTCTCAAGAAATGCAGCTGTACTAAATGAGAAAAAACAGTGATGACCGTAACAGCCCACTGGCCTCGGTGACTACATCCCCAATGATTCTGTAAAATGAAGCTAATGGAATTGACAACAAGCAAAAAACGCCATAGATAAAACCGATGAACCAATGCTCATCTTAGTTAAAATTCTTATGTGTGTGATTTCGTAGTCATGCTGCAGTGTTTCGCTGTGGCTGCTGTCAACACAAGGAGTGTGCACCGCAACACAGCGCGTGACGTGCTGCTTCTGTTACACAGCCGGCGTAGAGGCTCTTTGCTGAGGTCTGCACTGCTCGCTGTCCCTTCCATCCGTCCTTCGCGTGATGTCATCGGCTCGGTTCAGAGGCTGACGTCATCGCTGTGTTCTGTGGCTTTGACACTCTTTAGACATGAGTCATTGAACTCTGCTGATGTTTGCTGAGCTCACAATCACTTTAACCTCTCAGGCACTAGTTTGGGTATCTTAACTACATAGGGATCACCCTTAGGGAGAATATTATAACAAGGCAGGGACGCTCATGATTGTTTTAAAGCCATCGGTTAAAAACAGTTTTAAGGCTGTCAGCTAATAATGATAGTCGTATGACTTAGTAGAACATTGGTTGTCTCAAATTCAAGGCAAAGCTTTGGTGCACACGTTATATAATCCCCAAAATGTAAACCCACATCCCCCCCCAACTCTAAAATGTTTTTTTTTAACCTCACCGGCCAGTGTCTGAATGCCAACTCCGTGGGTGATGGAGCTGAGCAGGCAACTCTGTGGGAAGATGAGGAAGTCCAGTAAAAGGGCCCAACTTTCCTCCTCTCCTACTTCCATTCGGGGCCTGGAGATCCACTTTTACACACCAGATGTGCGCCAGCTGCTGTACTTGAAGGGCTGCTACACTGCGTTGAACCTCTGCGTGGATGCTGCCAAGAAATGCTGTGAGTGACCGACGAGTCGGCTACTTATTGTCTACCCGTGTTGTGAACAGCAGGGGGTCAAGTTCATTCTATTTAGGAGTATTGTCATTTTTGGTTGACAATAATTATATTTCTTAAAATGAAATTTTGATATCATGGATGTTAGTAATTTACATGGTACTATAGTGTAAATTATTCGGTGCCTCTTAGAGTACCCATGACCCCCCTATTATTAATTCCCAACGCATATAGTTGCAGTTTGACTAATTTGCCAAAAAAAATCAACTACACACACAATACAAAAAGGTAAAAGGGATTGATTGCATTTAGTTTTTATATTATTATCTTTATTTATATATTGTTTGGCAAAATCCTCCTGATTACAACATATTTGTTTGGTTTGTTATTTAGCAATACAGAATACCCTGGGTATGTTGCAATTCCTACAGCGACAACATAGTGATAACATCCTGTTCTTTACTGTTTTAACAAGAATTGCTAAATGTGCCAGATCGTTTTTTAGAACCTATATAACACTGATATTCACAGAGGCCTGCAAATCAACTGTGCGCTCAATCAATCCCTGGTCTGAATATGAATCTCTTTTTGTTCTTTTCTTCTCCCCTTCACAGCAATCTCTCCCTTGTGCCATAATCTGTTTGCCCTGTATGATGAGGCTACTGGCATGTGGTATCCTCCCAACTATGAAATCAATATCACGGACGAAACCAGTTTCAAGTTGCACTATCGCATGAGGTAAGACTGCATTGGAGTTCCAATTTTCCAAAATGCAAGCAAAGGCCAAAGTCAGATATTGTCATAATACCAAAACTTTACAGTAGTCCCTATCAAGTGGGTGCTAGTTGCTACCTGAAGTGATGGATTTCAAGTATATCAACTAGGTACCACTGGCCTGAAGGCAAAACCTTTTATTTACCATTTGATCTCGATTCCAACCGCCATCTTTGGTTCAGGAGCACTGGGTATTTGACCAAAGGATGAATTCTGCGTTTCTAGTGGTTAAAAAATGTGTTTGCCCATCCTCGTTAAAAGGGTCAATTTTGGAACAATAATAGAATACATATTGTTTTGGCTAGAAAACAATTTTTACCTTTTGAAGATATTTAAATGTGTTACAAGCAGAATCAATTACACTTTAACACCTTTAAAATATTGATAACAATTGAAGCTATCATTGGTAATGTTGTTGATGTGGGTTATATGTGAGGTGGACGTAAGCTCTGGGCATTTACGATCATAACATAACAAAGGGCACTGGATGACTACGTTCTTCAAGCACTCACAGGGTTATTAGAGCTCAATTCTCGAAACTTGAAGAATAAGGCGTGTAGCTCTTTAAGAAGGTATTTTGGAAATGGATTAAACCATTATGTAATCTCAGTAAAGTCATGGAATGCAATTGGAAAGGGAAGACTGACAACTTTCTCATTTACAAGCATTTCAAAGAGTTAAACTCAACTGTTGATTAGGAGCTAAGCTTGTCATTACACCCTGATTTTGAGGGTAAAAATGTACTTTATAGGGTTAGTGTCAAGCAACGTTAGTGTCAAGCAACGTCACATTTGTTACTAAGTGGATGCATTTTCACAGAATCAAATCTTCAGAGATCCGATTCAACCCGTTATGCAGCATTTCATGTGAAGGGAGGAGGGCATGACTGGTGTCAAGGCCACTTCCTCTTTCTCTCTGCTCTGCTTTGTCAGTTGCTAGTGGAGAGAAACGCGAGTGTGCATTAAGCCTAACTGACGTGGACCCAGTGTCGAGGTTTTTGCATTTCTAAACACTGCATATAAAAAAGGAGACAATAGACAACTTCATGTTGAATTGTTGCACGCAGACAAAGTTCATGTATAAAGCGCGTTGTTTCAATTTTTCTTTTGCTAGAGGCCAAAATCTTATCATGGCAAACTGCATTGATGAGAAATGCAAAAGTTTACTTTTTTATGGCTAGAACCTTCTTCATCCCTTCAATAAAGAATTTCCAAATCCAGTAGCAGTGGATTCCTTGTTTCTTGTAAGGCCATTGTGTACACGCCTTTCAAAGACATTCATACCGTTGCTATTTTGCTAACTGTTTTTTGTTCTCTCCATAATTAGGTTTTATTTCAGAAACTGGCATGGCACCACTGAAGGAGAGTCTCCAGTTTGGAGACACTGCCTCAGTAAACTCCGAGGCGGACTCAGCCCACAGAAAACACCAGAAGGAACTCCCCTACTGGATGCTGCCTCTCTCGACTATCTGTTTGCCCAGGTGAAAGAAATATGAATTACTAATGACCAATCAAGTATAAGAATATAGGAAGCTTAAATTGTCAATTGACCAAAATATAAGACATCCCTCTTCAATTGTTTAAAATAAATGTATGTTATATATGCTGTGTGTGTATGTGTGTGTGTCACACACACAACTGTTCAAAAGTTTGTGGTCACTTAAAAATAGATCATCTTAAATAAATCAGAAATACACTCGATACATTGTTAATGTGGTAAATGACTATTTTAGGTGTTAACGTCTGGTTTTTAATAAAATATCTACATAGGCGTATAGAGGCCAATTCCCATCAACTATGCCTCCAGTGTTGTACTGGTATACATTGTGTTTTATAATCGCCTTAGAAGACTAATGGATGATTAGAAAACCCTTGTGCAATTAAGTTAGCACAGCCGAAAACAATTATGCTTAAGAAGCTATAAGACTGGCCTTCCTTTGGCCTGGTGGAGTATCTGGAGCATCTGTGGCTTTGATTAAACTCTCAAAATGGCCAGAAAAAGAGAACTTTCATGTGAAACTCGCCAGTCTATTCTTGTTCTTAGAAATGAAGGCTATTCCATGGGATAAATGCGAAGAAGCTGAAAATGTCCTGCAGCGATGTGAACTCGTCCCCAGAGAACAGCACGAACAGGCTAGAGTAGAAAGAGAAGGGTGAGGCCCCGGCGCACAACTCAGCCAGAAGACAAGAATGTTAGAAAGTCTCACAGGTCCTCAACCGACAGCGTCTTTAAATGGGACTGACAAAACGCCAGTGTCAACGTCTACATCGAAGAGGCGACTCCGGGATGCTGGCCTTCTAGGCAGAGTGGCAAAGAAAAAGCCAGATCTGAGACAATAAATATCAATAAATATTGATATGAGCAGAGGAAGATTGGAAAAAAGTGTTCTGGACAGACGAATCCAAGTTTGAGGTTTTCGAATCACACAGAAGAAGAAGAACAAGTGAAAAGATGCTGGAAAAGACATCTGCCAAACACGGTGGAGGTGATGTGGGGCCTCTTTGGTGCTGGTAAAGTGGGAGATTTGTAAAAGGGATTTTAAACAAGGAAGGCTATCATTCCATTTTGCAAGTACCGCCAAGTCAAATTCCTTGTATGTTTGACATATAATGGCAATAAATGTTTCCTGATCCCTGTGGACAGCGCTTCAGCCAATTTACTCCTACAACAGGACTTTTTATTATTAAACTATTTGGGGAAGAAGCATGCAGCCAGTATGCTGTATGGAGAGGCCACAAAGTCTTGACTGTGGGGTACGCAAGAAGTGCCCACCAAGCCAATCCAACTTGTGGGAGGTGCTTCAGGAAGCGTGCAGTGACATTTCTACAGATTATCTCAACAAATTAACAGCTAGAATGCAAAAGGTCTGCAATGCTGTAATTACTGCAAATGGAGCATTCTTTGACGAAAGCATAAGTTTGAAGAACAAAATTAATATTTCAAATAAAAATGATTATTTCTATGAAAAAAAACACAAAATTGTCTGGGTGACCCAAAACTTTTAAAAGGTAGTGTGCATATAAATGATATAATGTGTGTATGTTTGTTCTGCAGGGGCAGCATGATTTTCAGACTGGCCTGGTCCCACTGAGGGCGTCTTCCTCAGAAGCAGAGCAACACGAGATAGAAAATGAGTGTTTGGGCATGGCGGTGCTTGCTATCACTCACTATACCACAAACATGGATATGACCCTTACAACTGCGGCAAATGAAAGCAGGTAATGCATCAGATTTTCCAACAAAGCTGGGATGGTGCTACTTCAGCAGCCTTTTGATTGGGATGTTAAAATAGCCACATTTAAGAAGCATAGTGGCCAGACCTTTCCAATGTCATCCGCCAAATGTATATGACATGTACTTGCTGGTTCTGTGTGTCGCATATCAGATTGGTGCTCAGCCCACATGCTGAAATTCTGATTCTTTTTTTTATTTTGCCTTCAAAACACTTAGAAACGCATAGAAAGTAAAACCAGAGGAATTATTAATACATTCCCTTCTATTATCTTTATCCCACCAGTTACAAACGCTTCATCCCAGAGTCACTGAACCGCAACATCAAACAGCGCAACTTCTTGACACGCATCCGCATCAACAACGTCTTCAAGAAATTCCTCAGTGAATTCAACCGCCGCACAATAAAGGACAGCAAAATTACCCCGTACGACCTGAAGATCAAGTACCTGGCCACTCTGGAGGGCCTGACCAGCGGCCTGGGCAGTGAGCTGTTTGAGCCCGTCTCGCTGGTTTTAACGCAGGAGGGCGATCTCTGCAATGGAAGTTATGGCTACGGTAATAATTCATCAACATTATGGAGGGATAGTTATGATTTAGTTTGGAGGCAGTGAGCCAGATTCGTGGCGTGCAACGGCTCAGTCTTTTTTTTTTTTGTTGGAGTCAATTACAGAAGATTATGATGACAAAGAAATATCTTTTATTATTTTACCAGGATAATTCTTGTCAGATTTGATGTAAAAGCAGTAGAGGAAAAAACTTGCTGAATTGACAATTTTAGATAAAAGATATTGTTGCCACCATTTATGACTTATTTGCAATATATTCAGTTGTATGGTGGTTGTGTGGTTACTTTAGTGTGTTTCTAAAAAAACCACATAACTTTGTTGACATCCAAAGATACTTAAAACATGGAGGGTGTTTGTGCAGATGGTGAAAACCAAAAGTGAAAGGAACAAGACATGATGCATTCACCCATGTATCACGTATCACAGGCCACACCCTGGATGACTCCAACCAATGTGTGATGTCTTCAAGCGCACACACACACACACACACACACACACACAGAGCTGGGGGTCAAGATAAACCTACAGTTGCCAATAAGACGTGAAATTTCCAATGATCCATTTGCCTATAGTCCTTGTGTCCTGAAGCAGCTGCATTGATATATTTGGGCTGTATTTGTAACTGTAGATGTTTGCGTGCTGTTTCTAGGTTACAGTAACCAGGGCCAGGAAGAGATCCAAAAGCCGAACATGAAGACCAGCCATGACATGCACGTCCTGGTTACTGGCACCAACGGCATTTCCTGGAGGAAGAAGCCTGCGACAGTGAGTCAAACTGAACAAGACGGTGTTTGAAATAACCTGCAGTTACAACAACTGTCAAACGTTGTATAAGAGAAAATACCATATTACTTTTTTTGCAATTCTTCATTCCTATCTGTGTGCTATGGATATGACAAATGGTATCATTATTTTTCTGTTGAAAAACAATGGAACTCTGTTTGAATTAAATATAGTATATGAAAAATAAATAACTCGTTGAGTAGCCATAAAATACAAGTTGTTTCCTTTATGAACATTTCTGTTCATATAGTTTAGGAGAGGTACAAACGTAAAGTATGTTAAACTAAGTACAAAGTCACTGAATTGAATCAGAAGTCCTTATACCGGTTTAATATTGCTATATACAGAAAAGACAGTGAAGTGAGTGATGGTCAGAATTAGTATTTTATGATAACATTTGACATTATTGGGAGAACTTTTCCTAAATTGTGTGTGTACATGTTTGTATATCTTTTAAACTAGTCAACGGGGATCAGCAAAGAAAAGGGCAAGTTGAAGAAGGTCAAGTTGGATGGAAAACAGAAAAATGGCAAAAGCATGGAAGCGAATGAAGACTGGGTGGTGTTCTGTGACTTCCATGAGATCACACACACTGTCATCAAAGAGACAATGGTCACTGTCTATAGACAGGACAACAAGAGAATGGTAAGGCACACGCATCAAAAACACTGTTTAATGTCAAATCTGTTTGGAAAACCTTTTTTGAGCATTGTCTGTTTTATGATTTCAGAAAGCTAAACTACAAAAACAATCCCATCAGCTAAAAAATGTAAAAAGCCATGGGTTAAAGCAGCCTTTGCTCGACACTATATTTATTTCATGCCATATTCCTCTTGAATAATGGTCAATCAATAAGATGTATTTTTTATTTAATAACACATGGCAGCTGCTTTAGACTGCCCTTCTGGAATAGTGTGGCTTAATAAGAGCTCCTATAGTCATTGTTACCGCTTTCCTCCCTTCTTCTGCTCCCCCCGTCTCATCTCTATTCAGGAGCTGCATATGGCTTCTAGGGGTGAGGCTCTCTCCTTCGCAGCCCTCGTGGACGGGTACTTCAGGCTGACTGTGGATGCTCACCACTTCCTGTGCAAGGAGGTGGCCCCATCTTCAGTGGTGTTCAACATAAACAACGGCTGTCACGGACCCATCTGGTTTGTACAGTTTTATGTGTTTTCATGCATGTCTCAAAAACACAGTTGTTTATTGTCACGAATGTAGGTTCTCGGGGCGCAGAGACAGCACGACACGGCAGGGTTGGTTGCAATACAATATGTCTTTATTGCAGTTTTCACACACACACGGAGCAGTGAGGTCCCCGCGTCTTCCTCGTCTCTCTCTTGACGCCGCTCTCACTGCTCTTAAAAAGACACGAACACAAAGTTAGATTGGCATCAGCTGTGCAGATGCCAATTGCTCCCACCTGGCACCGTTCCCTGAGCCACTCCCCCCTCTCTCCCGCTGCAGACGAGCCAAAACCACGCCCGCCACCACCTTTATATTCGACCGAGACACCACGGATGTTGCGCGAGCTACGAGTACAAATGTGTTGTTGCAGTATTATCCAATATCCAGGAGGGCATAAAAACTAAATGTAGTACTAGCAAGAAGGCAACCAGTGATACTTGCAAAATGTCATAAACCAACCTCCTCAATGCAGAGGAGCAGGTGCGATTAGACGGGGAGTCATAATAAAAATGATACATTTTTTATTTTGTGTGAACCTTGAGAGGTCCCTGGTAATCCCAGCTAATTATGCATCTGTAAACGGCAGAATGAGAAGTTAGCTGTGGACGGACACAAAGGTGCACACTCGCTCACCCACGCACACAGACAGGCGAGGAATGGCATTGCCACTGCCCTCATTCGTCACGCTTTCTCCTCCACAGCACGGAGTATGCCACCCACAAACTGCGCCAGGAAGGCCACGAGGAGGGCACCTACATACTGCGCTGGAGCTGCACTGATTACGAGTACATTATCATCACCGTGGTCTGCAATGAGGTAGTGTACACTTCTTCATCAGTTTTTAGGAATCTGCATTCTGTCCGTGCACGGTAATGGCTAGGAAGCCAGTGATGTACTGGAAAAGTTTTCTGTCGATTATTGGCCAGTCAGAGGTCATGACACACGCACACAGAAGAAGCACCAAACCAAATATTGGAGGCTTATTTGTATTGGCTGGTTGGATTATGACAGGTTGTATGTTTCATGTGTCTGTATGAGAGGAAACATACACACATGCAGAAGGCTAACCCACTACGTAATCTTAAGCCTGATTTATGCTTCTGCGTTTTCAGAGCGACGCAGACGCATGCCCCCCTTGCGTGTCCCTTGCGTCGCTATTCACACCTCCTTGCGTCCTTGCGTGTGTTGAGCCATTTTTCTAAGCTTGCGTCGAAAGCGATGCAAGCAACGCAAGCCTCCCGCAGCGCACCAGGCTGCGATTGGTCCGCTAACTACGTCCTTTACGGAGTCTCACATTTCCGCTTTCATGGCCCGATACCGCCATTATTAAAACGAAGAATGTTTACGAGAGAACGGATCAGATTGAAGAACTTTTGTCGGAAGAAATGCGCAAATATGACCGCTTATACAAGCCGTCACTGGCGGGTTGTAGAAGCGGGTTGGATTCACGGAGGGAGATCGCCGCAAACGCCGGTTTGCCGGTCGAGAGGTGCGCAAAGTTGTGGAGGAAAATACGGGCGTGTGTCCGCGATGAAAAGCAGCAGTGGCAATGCACGGGGCAATAAAGTCTATAATAAATAAATAAATAGACGTGACTCTCTAGGTCGTCTTCAACAAAAACACGTTACTCCGCCTGTTGTTCTGGCGGTGAATTACAACACACGCAGAACCATGAATTGAAACGAGTGCGTCGACGCAACGGCGCAGACTCAAGAAGAAGCATGCGCCGGCCTTTAGCCACTGTTTATGTTACAGTTTACTGTATGAATGAATACAAGTTAGTGTAATACAGGAGTGACGCAATGTTTTTAGACGAAGAAAACTGTATAGATATGATTTTGGAAACCAAACACCTAACCTCTGTCTTTTGTTTCTAAGATGTTTCCTTCCACTGCTGCTATCTGTTCCTACCTGCTCTTCCCCATTTAATAATCCCAATTCAATCTTTTTCCCTCTTCTTATGTGAAAATAACTTCTTTCCTTCTCTAGGTCATTTGATCTCTCCTTCAGTATAATTTCCCTCTATATTTGATTATTATCATGTTCCAGTTAGAAAACTCTCTCTCTCTACATCCAGATCGACCTGAATGAGTCTCGCCCTGTGCGTCAGTATAAGAACTTCCAGATTGAGGTGGCTTCCAATGGGTTCCGCCTTTACGGCACTGAGACGTTTCGGGCCACTCTCACTGAACTGCTGGAGCACCTTAAGGGCCAAAGCCTTCGCACCGACAACCTCCAGTTCCGGTTGCTGCACTGCTGCCCTCCCCAGCCGAGAGGTAAACTCAAATCTTGCTTAAGTACTACAAATTCACTTGGCGAGAAAAGGCACGGCACGGGGGGAGAGGGAGAGGGGGAGGGAGACGGAGACTGAGACTGTTTTCCTGGCTACCATAGGGTAACTGAAACTGACATAAACAGTGAAATTGTGTCAGTGTAGAAGAAAGTTGTAAATGTGGGTTTCCGGAGCTAAACTAGCACTCTTGTATTTACTTCACTCAGGAAAAGGTGGAGCCGTGTGCGCATGTGTACCCGTATGTGTTAAGCTGTTTATGTTCTTTGAGGCTGTGTGGTTTTTATTATTATCATAAGGCTTGACTATGAGACTGGCATGCTGTGTTGTTTTCTCAGAAGATGTTCATGTTGAGTTACGCAACCTTCTTGCTAGAATAGTGTAACACTGGTATTCCAACATCCTGAGAATAGTGCACAAACCATTTACATTTAGTTTACTTTAGAGTCCATGCAGGATCTTTAACTGTTGTGAAAATACAACGCAAGTATTTGATGGCAGATGGGGGAGAGAAGGCGCCATGGTTTGGGTTTTTTTTTTCACCACAAGTCTCCTGCAGCGCTGTGATTGGTCTGCTAACTACGTCCTTTACGGAGTCTCACATTTTGGTTTTCATAGCACAATACAGCCATTATTAAAACGAAGAATGTTTTACGAGATAATTAATCAGATTGAAGAGCTTTCGGAAGAAATGCGTAAATATGACCGCTAATTGCTCTGCAACACGCGCACGCCTTTTAGAACCATGAATTGAAACGAGTGCGTCGACACAGCGGTGCGTACGCAGAAGCATGCGCCAACCTTAAGACTATGATACGCTCCAGGGGTTAAGGAGTGGGTGCAGTGTAGTACGTGGGAGCAGGATGTTTATGTTTCATCATAAAAACTCAGATTGCATTTTACAAACGGGGAATGTAGGGTGAGCTGATTGAGTGAAGATACTCTCTCTCTCCCCCAAAAACCACACGCTGCTGGTTTTGTCACAACATTAAACACCCAGACCCATGCGTACACGCATGCATAGTACGGCAACGGGCACAAAGAAACATTTTTGCTTCATCCTCCCACACAAAGCTCTGTGTGTATATACAAGAATACGCTGAATCAGTTTAGCAGCCCGACCTGGATGGCTGTGCACATCATTGCCACATAAACGTGGTAATTCACTTCATCTTTTTTTTTACCACATGTGAAAAAGTTGCCTTTTCCTGGAGTGAATGCAGTGCAGACTATTCTTATCCATCTTAACTTTTGACAGTGTTACAATAATATGACCTAGAACACGACAGTAGCAAGCGCAACATTCTTGTTAAGAGACTATCCAGCACTCACAACCTTCAAGTCTCTGCAGTTTGACTTTAACAAAGAAGAATCTGAAAAGGTCATGCTTTTTAGTTTGCACAAATTCATACAAAACCCCTGGTGTGGCTCTTTTTAAATGTATGTTTTTGCGTTGCAGAGGTTTCCAACCTGCTGGTGGTCACTAAAGATCGAGCACCGGCCACTCAGACACCCATGCAGGAGAGTCAGCTTAGCTTCCATCGCATTCTCAAGGAAGAGATTGAACAGGTACACCCTCTCGCATCTCCATGTCCTGCAATGGTAATGCTTAGAATGGATGTAAAGATGAAGGATACAAAACTCTCTCGAATAAATGAGTTAAATGTAATTCAAAGTTATTATAAATTATTTAGCATGCAATTTAGGGGTAACGTGTGCAACACGTTATGTATGTAAACTATTAGAGATAATTTTATTGTGGCCCTCAATAAAAAAAAGTCCATAAAAGAATTAGGAAACGATACAATAAAGTACAGAAAACATACCAAGGATGAGCCAACACACAAACCCTCTTTGTGTGGCGCTATCGCTGTCTTGGTGTCAAGCCCAGGCCCAGAAGGTATGGCCCCCCCTTCATTTGCATGAATCCACACTTAATCTTTTCTCTTTTTTTAAATAAAAGGAATCCCTTAAATTTGCATCACTTGTGTAATATATTTTGTATGCCATGAGAACGTCTACCTACCTCTTCATTTTTAATAAGTTTATCCTCCTGGATAATTCCATGTGTCCCATGAAATCACCTAACTTTGAGACTTCTTCTCTGGAAAATATATTTAATAAAGGTTTTGTCCTATTCTTGGATAAATTCTGTAACCCCCCCACCCCACCGTTGTGTTAACCAGGAGGAGCACCTTGGACCAGGCACAAGAACCAACATCTTTTCAGGCACACTGAGGGTGAAGAGTGAGGAGGAGGAGGATGCAGGTTACTCATCCTTCCAGGAGGTGAAGGTGGTCCTGAAGGTGCTGGGCTCTGGACACAGGGACATCTCCCTGGTGAGACACAATCAAATATCTTGCACATCCTGTTCTAATGAGGACTACACCCCTCCTGTAACATCTAACTATACTGAAACTCATTAGGTATTCGCAGCAAGCTGGTTCCAAATCTTACCGGGCCCCAAACGTTTGTGTAATGTGCTTTGCACTCAGTCATCTTCGTCTTCTGTTGACAGGCGTTCTTTGAAACAGCCAGCATGATGCGACAAGTGTCTCATAAACACATAGTGCTGCTGTATGGAGTGTGTGTTCGTCACCAGGAAAGTAAGTGCATTTTAAGAAGTGCGTGCATGTTTATGCGAGTGTTGGGCCGTTTCATACACCTTTTTGCTTCTTTGTGTGGATCAGACATCATGGTAGAAGAGTTTGTCCAGCCAGGACCACTGGACTTATTTATGAAGAGACAGCAGAGCCCACTGGACACACTGTGGAAGTTCCAGGTGGCCAAGCAGCTGGCCTCAGCTCTCAGCTACTTGGTGAGACGGGAAAACACACACACACAATCTATAGAAATGTAATTGTGTGTTTCATGGCTCTTTGGGATTACATGCAACATGTTGAAACCATTTTTATCAACTAATTCTTTGGATTGGCCCTCTTGTGTTCGGAATAATAGATATGTTTTTCTGTGTGTGTGTGACGTTTGTAGGAGGACAAAAAGCTGGTTCATGGGTTTGTGTGTGCCAAAAACATCCCTGCTTGCCAGAGACGGCCTGGACGCCGATATGGGAGGGCCCTTCATCAAGCTCAGTGACCCAGGAATACCAATCACTGTACTCACTAGAGAGGGTGAGTGCAAAGTCTTGGCCTCTTTCACATTCTCCCTGGGCTCCTTTCTCTCACTCTCTCTCTCTCTGGGTTACTAAAAGTGAAACTTAAATGTGGAAAAGTGAAACTAGTCCCAGTCAGCTTCAAATGATTTCTGTAAAACCAAATTGCTGACTGATAAATTGGATGCAAAAACCTACAGACTTGTTGACACTTGTCAACCTGAGTCTGATGATGATGATGATTGAGCTTCTTCTTCGGACTGTCCTGTCTGAGTTGAATTTCCGATCAAGCTTCTAACAAAGCTGACGTTATCAGCAGAAGGACTGAAATTTGTCACATAATCAATACACATTGCATTGGGGCAGATTTCCTCCCTGACTAACTTATTTTGTAAAAGCTAAATCAGGGTTGAGGAAAAATGGCACAATAATAAGGACATTTCTCAGATTGCACAGTTCCCCTCTAATGGCCGCCTCATGTTTCTGTCTACTAGAGCTGCGAGTTGTGCGATCTAAAATAGTGTGGTTGTGCAGATGGATCTGCAAACCACAGGACAAACTGGAAGTGTTCACGGCTCCAACCTCCTGGGAATCCTCCTCCCTCTTTTATTCGTTCCCAGAAATCTTAACATTCTTCTCACTTGGCTGATGGACAGAACTTCCAGTTACGCCTCAATGTCCTTATAGATTTGATTGAACAAAAAGTGGGTTACGTGCTGAGAAATCTGCTGGGAGTGTTCTTCCCTTTTCCCGGCAGTCTCTGATTGCTGTCATACCCATTTATTACCGTTTTTCCTTTTTGTCTTTTTCTTGCTCTCAATTATCCCCCTCCAAGCTGCTATTTTGTCTCCATCTTCCCCCTTCACTCCACTCAGCCCGTCCACTGCTTCTTTTCTGCTTTACTACTCCTCCTCCTCCTCCTCCTCCTAACCATGTGTTCCAATGTGAGTTTGAATGCACTCTCTAACATACACAGCTCAGTTGATGTTAAGAATTTGTGGCGCCAAGAAGCCATTGTGGAGGTCAGCCAATCAGTTAGCCTGTCTTCCAGTCAGGCTATATTTCAGCCGTCTGAAGCAGAGGCTTTTTAGAATAGTGGATGCAGTCAGTCAATGTTTTTAAGCCTAACAGCCCGTCAGGGCTGTACTAAATATTTGGTTCTTGGCTGAGAGTATTTTGGATCAGATGCATGAGGTTAGCATATATGTTTTTTAAGCATTTGTTCAAAATAAACTCATGTAGAGTCTAAATAATACATTACTCAATATTCTGAGACCAATGATCGTGATAAATCAAAGTTGTGAAAAAACTAACATTTTTTGTGTGCTGAAGAACATCATAAGAGTCGACGGTGGCGCATGGGGTAGAGAGGGTGAGCTGGGAACCGCAAGGTTGGTGGCTTGAGCCCCGGCTGCTCCATGTCCCATGTCGAAGTGTCTCTGAGCAAATGTAAAAGCCATAGGTTAAAAATGCAATGTAAGTCGCTTTGGATAAAAGCGTCAGCTAAACGACCTGTAATGTAATAAGAAGGATTCCTTTTGTAGGACAGCAAGACATTCAATTGCTGCAATATACAAAGAGAAATAACAATATCGCATAACAGAATTGATTGGTACATCATGATCAGGATAAATAAGTCTGTTATTATATTTCATTACATTACATGTCATTTAGCTGACGCTTTTATCCAAAGCGACGTACAATAAGTGCATTCAACCATAGGGTACAAACTCAGGAGAACAAGAAACAAGAAAGTGCAATTTCCTCAAATAAGCCAATTTACAATTTGCTATAGATGAGTGACGTTACAAGTACAGTTTAAGTGCTACAATTTGTTAGTCTTTAGTCGAGGTAGAGTCTGAAGAGGTGTGTCTTTAGTTTGCGGCGGAAGATGTGAAGGCTCTCTGCGGTCCTGATGTCTTCAGAGAGCTCGTTCCACCATTTCGGCGCAAGGACAGCGAGGAGTCGAGACCTAGTCGAGTGTTTTGCTCTCAGTGAGGGAGGGACGAGTAGTTTTGCAGATGCAGAGCGGAGAGTGCGGGTTGGGATGTAGGGTTTGACCATGTCCTGGATGTAAGCTGGACCCGATCCATTCACAGCATGGTACGTGAGCACCAGTGTTTTGAACTGGATGCGGGCGGCCACCGGTAGCCAGTGAAGAGAGCGGAGGAGTGGAGTAGTGTGGGAGAATTTCGGAAGGTTGAAGACCAGTCGAGCTGCTGCATTCTGAATGAGCTGCAGAGGTCGAATGGCGGTGGCAGGGAGACCTGCCAGGAGGGAGTTGCAGTAGTCCAGGCGGGAGATGACAAGAGCCTGAATCAGTACCTGCGCTGCCTTCTGAGTGAGAAGGGGACGTATTCTCCTGATGTTGTAGAGCGTGTATCTACAGGATCGCGTTGTCGCAGTGATGTTGGGAGTCAGGGAGAGTTGGCTGTCGAGTGTGACGCCGAGGTTCTTAGCAGTCGAAGTGGGCGTTAGCACAGAGTTTCCAAAGTTGACTGTCAGGTCCTGGGTAAGCGAATCTTTTCCGGGAAAGAGAAGTAGTTCAGTCTTGTCGGGGTTGATTTTCAGATGGTGGGCGGACATCCACTGAGAGATGTCAGTTAGACAGGCAGAGATCCGAGCCGCCACCTGGGTGTCCGAGTGAGGGAAGGAGAGAATTAGTTGGGTGTCATCGGCATAGCTGTGGTAAGAGAAGCCATGCGAGCGAATGACAGCGCCAAGAGAGTTGGTGTAAAGCGAAAACAGGAGGGGACCCAGCACGGAACCCTGAGGAACTCCAGTAGTAAGAGGACACGGTTCCGACACAGATCCTCGCCAGGTTACCCGGTAGGTGCGGCCATCGAGGTAGGACGAGAGAAGGGAGAGAGCAGAGCCTGTGACACCAAGTTCCTGAAGGGAGGAAATAAGGATCTATTTCAGTCTGAAGGTGTTTTTGTGTGAGAAGGCCAATGAGAAAAGGTTTTCTTCACTTCACTTCACAAAGTCTGTAAATAACACACGGTGATATATGAGGACTAATACTTCCTCTGAGGACGTCATCGCTCATCTTCACATCGGTTATGTCAAACATTATTGTAATTAATGTATTTGCTTTCTGTCTTTATGAAGACACCAACCAATGTGTACGTACCAGTAATTGATCCACTGTTGCTCAAGCTGACTTTGTTTGCCTCTGCAGAGTGTGTGCGTCGTATCCCATGGATCGCTCCGGAGTGTGTGAAGAGCGCGTCTTCCCTAAGCGTTGCAGCTGACAAGTGGGGCTTTGGTACCACTCTGTGGGAGATCTGCTATGATGGAGAGGTCCCCCTCAAAGACAAGAAACTCACAGAGGTAGAAGGCACACACAGAGACTGAAGGAGGAATTATATAGTCATACATACAACCAAAAAACGTCTTTTGTATGAAATCAAATTGTAATGTATAATAATGTAAATCTAATTGTTTTTCTGGATCATAACACATCTATGTTTTTGTCTTTGTGCTGAGCAGAAGGAGATGTTTTATGTAAGCGAGTGCCAACTGGCTACCCCAGAGTGCAAAGAGCTGGCTGAACTGATGACCCACTGCATGACCTACGACCCCAAGAAGAGACCTTTCTTCAGGGCTATCGTCAGAGACATAGACATGCTAGAGGAAAAGAGTATGTATTGTGTGCACTGTACATTCTACAGTGTTGTATGATGTTATGATTTGTTTCTCAACATTTTTAATGTGTGTGTCACAGCCAGCCGCAACCCAGTAAGTGAGAAAGAGAGAGAGGGAGAGAGAGAGTTGTTTACTCAACTCCGATTATGTTCATGAGGAAGTTCACTCGGTGCGTTCTCTGCCCCTTAGCTGGGCCCCATGGCAGCAAAATAGGCTGCTCTTCCACCTGCTGGATAGAATTGCATACTGTAGTCCGTCTTACTACGGCTTATACCTTTATTACCGTGTTTTTATAAAGTCTCTATTTGTAATAATTGTTAATTACTTATTCAGAACGAGTTTAGCTTGCATAATATTATGCCAACAAAAATGAACCATTTCTGTTCAAACCAGGCAAGCACACAGTTACCTAACCGCATGCAATTCTGTTGAAAATGTTTAAGCTGTCAACCACAAAACACTTCCTATGACGCAAGTCTTCTTATGTTGCGTAAAAGACAAGTTTGACCCGGCATGTTTAATGTAACATTTTTTATTTTTCTCTCCCAGACCCCTCCATCAAACCTCAGCCTACACCAGACGTGGACCCAACTTTGTTTGAAAAGAGATTCCTTAAGAAGATCAGAGAACTGGGAGAGGTAAACCATTCATGATCAATTCATGTTTTTGTTTTTTTATCTGTGTTAGTATTTTACAATGTATGAGAATGATCAAACTGACAATGCTCAGTTAACATGCATTGGTAGATAATTTGAATTGCCATTAAATCAATAGTAGTTTGGTATCTATGGGCTTTTTTTAGGGCTATTAAAAAGTATAATCATCCTTGTGATCCTTCATAACCTAAAATGAGCTGTAGGTTTACGTAAAAGAAATATGTCTATCTATGGCAGTGGTTCCCCAACCTTTCCTGTCACGCCTCTATATGATGATATAGGAACATAAAATTCACATGAATTGCATGTGAAGCCCAGGGACTGATATGCCTTGTTATATATTTCTACCTTAACCTTCCTACAGCAGTCAAAAATGTGTCCATCATTGCACATCACGTCCTTATCTCTCTTTCTTGCCCTTTCCTCTCGCCCCCGCTCTGGGGGCGTGGTTGCAACACAATGCATGTCACGTCGGTTCTGCTTAATTTCCTTTTTTTGCAACCATATAATATAGTGCCCTATCTTTACAACTTGTTTGCAATTGGATTTTTTTTATATGTGTATTTCATATAGTTTTACCTGTGTGTTTGCCTGCGTGTGACCAGCGCTTGTTCATTAACATCCAAATAACTTCAACACACACTAACACTTCTTGCATGTTCCTCACGGGCAGGGCCACTTTGGAAAGGTGGAGCTGTGTCGCTATGATCCTCGTGGAGATAAAACCGGTGAGCTGGTGGCAGTGAAATCCCTAAAGTCGGAGAACCGTGAGGAGCAGAGCAACAACCTCTCGCGGGAGATCGACATCCTGAAAGCACTCTACCACGAAAACATTGTCAAATACAAAGGCATCTGCCAAGAGGAAGGTAAGATGGAAGGAGTGCACGCACAAAAATGACATTTTATTTTGTTTAGTTGAAGGCAAATGGAAACCCATTTACAGGTTCACTTCAGTCACTCACCACTGCTTCGGTATTGTCACACAACTAACCATTTGTACTTGTATTCTAAACCAAAAATTATGCTTTGGTGGATTGATTTTCAAATCAATAGGGTAAAACTGCAGGAAAGAACAAATCTCTAAATTGGAGTAGCAAACCCTAATTAGCACCTAAAGTAAACATATTTTATTCTGTACCCCTTTCATTTGTTTGTTCATTCTAGAGATCATGCACAGCTCTAATAATGGTACGAGAAACAATAAACCACCCTTAAAAAAAGCAGTAAGGCCGAGATCCTCCTTGTGGCAGTGGCAAGTGGGTGGCATCAAACTTGAGAGCCCCACCCCCTACACGGAACCCGCCGGTCCAAACCTAAAATTAGCCTCTGTAATAAGAAGACGGGGGCTCACGTGTCTCAAATAAAATTAAATAAAATTAAATAAAATTAAATATTTACAGCAGCTGACCTGTCGTACAAATAACAGTTGTTTCTGGGAAAAATTGGCTCCTCCCACCCAGCGTGCCGTCGTGACGCCGACTGATTTACTGGCGATTGCCGCTGCCTGTCACAAAGTTGCCACCCACTTGCCACTGCCACAAGGAGGATCTCGCTGTCACTCAAAAAATGGTAGCAACCCTTACACAGCAGCAACTTTCGTTAAACGGCCTCTTAATATTTTTATATAATACCATTATTTATGTAATAGCTCTGTGACTTCAGCGTCAGGGTCATTAAGGTATCGTATAGTCATACTACATAATGAAAAAAAAACATGTGAGACACGTGCTAAGAGTGCTGTATATGATATCGATCATGTGAGTGAGCATTCAGGTGGCTACTTTTTTATCAGATGCCGCGGCGTGCACTAAAGTCCTAAACGTTTTGGTGGTATCTTGGCCTGCTAATTATGTATATTTATTGATGCGCGCAGAAGATGTAAATTTGATGTATAAATTGAGCTATATTAATAAAGTTTGAATGATTGAATGTGTACTGAGGGTCCCCCTAATAGCAATACAGAAGAGGCTCAAACTGTGGTTGGCATGCATTACACGCCACACACAACTTCTCCGTATATATTCAAGCACAATCGATGCTGATGAGTTTGTCTGCCTCTGATCTGATCATTTGTAGGTTGTCAGGCCAATAAGCTGATCATGGAGTACCTTCCACTGGGCAGTTTGAAGGATTATCTACCCAGGAACAAAAACAAGACCAGCCTGAAGACCTTACTCAGCTACTCTGTCCAGATATGCGAGGTACCACAGTTTGTTTCCTCTGACCACCATACAGTTAAATAAAATGGTGAACCCCTTCCTGTTTGGATCATCGTTGCACAGGGCCTTTTCAAAACTCTGGTCGGATGTGAACAGATCAATTTCATCTGGAACTTTCCAATGGTTATTGTTAATGGTTGTTGTTGTTTTTTTCAGGGAATGGATTATTTGGGATCGCGAAATTACATTCACAGAGACCTGGCTGCCCGAAATGTTTTGGTTGAAAGCGAGAGGACGGTGAAGATCGGAGATTTTGGCCTCACCAAAAGTATCAAAGACAACGAGGGTTATTACACCGTCAAAGATGAGAATGAGAGCCCGGTTTTCTGGTGAGTCAGCGAGGGGATGAATGTTAGAAAACGCTAAATTCTATCTAACTGAGAACTTATTGTTAAGAGAGACTTTGTGAAGCACTGAGAGAATAAAAAGGGGAGGAGCCAGTAAATTGAATGCGTGAATGAGGACACAGACGCTGTGCAGGAGAAATATAGAAAACATTGCGAACCATTCAAGCTACTGGTAATGAGATTGTATTCCTTTTCATCGTCACAACATAGAAAAGAGTTGAATAGTTTGCCTTTTCTTCTTCAGCCACAAAGAGTTTTTCTCATTGGCTTTGAAAGCAAACGTACACTACTGCTGCTACTCAGTGTTTCCCCTACCATCAGTACGTTTACAGTTCTCACCCATTATAATACCCCCACCCCAGTCGGTCCATCCATACGTAGCGCCCCCCCCCACCCACCTAACTCCCCACCCGCCGGTCTGTCTGCCCACAACCCCACATTGTTTTTATGACGTATTATGACTCACTTTAAGTACTACGCTTTTATAAAATACTGTGGGCCTATTAGGACTTCTTATAGATGTTTTATAACATACACTAATATCACTTTTATTTTTTTTTTTTTTAATGACCCATTCAAACATGGCTTTTGTGACATATTATATTTCTTATTTTTTTTAAGGTATGCGCCCGAGTGTCTGACCCACTGCAAGTTCTACCTTGCCTCAGACGTTTGGTCCTTTGGTGTGACGATGTATGAACTCATCACCTACTGCGATACGTCCAAGAGCCCAATGCAGGTCCTTATTTTTATAGATACTCCCGCACTGATGTTCAACCGATGCTTCTAATGAGTAGTATGTATTTTAGGAAGCTTAATACGTGGTCTTGCGGTGATAAATTCATTCATCTATCAAAGCATTAGACATACGCACACAAAAGGATTTGTATGGAGCATATTGTCGGTCCTTGACGTTGACAGATCAACATACGCTGAGAGCTTAGTTCATAATTAGTAATTAAAGTCAATGTTAAAAAGGAGACCAGTTAAAATAAGCTAAAAGGTATTACATTTTAACCCCAGTAACTGCATGACTTTGTATATGAGTTTTTTTCTGGATTTTATTGTTGTGTTCAGGAATAGTAAAGCCAGTATATATTATTGGATATTGTTAATCTTGAACCCTTCCTTGTTTTACCCACGCAGCTCTTCCATGGTATGATTGGTCGATCTCAGGGCCAGATGACTATCATCAGATTGGTAAAGGCGTTGGCAGAAGGAAAAAGGTTGCCCCGTCCGCTGGAGGGCTGCCCCGAGCCTGTAAGTCGCTTCCCTGAAGGATCTGGAATATTGCTAGTAATACTGGCAATCCTACAGTATTAGGTTTTGCATTCTATGAGTAGATTATTCATTTAGGCTTATAGTATTTGTTGAACCTGCCACATTAGTTTTATTAGTCATAAAATCAGCTACATTCCTGTCGGGCCGCTGACCAAATGTTTAGCTACAACGATCTAGTCAAATACTTCTACCTGTTGTCTAACACAATTCCCGGCCCACAGGTGTACGAGCTGATGCGCAAGTGCTGGGAGAACGCACCCGAAAATAGAATCTCCTTCAAGAACCTGGTGGACGAGCTGACCAGGATGCAGCAACGCCTCCAACCACAAAACAGCCTTTAAACTCCCTGCTTTGTTCACTGGGAATGACATTGGCTTGCAGACTCTGGACCAAATGTGAATGGCAAAACTGAGAACTTCAGATCAGTATCTGCTTGTGAAGCATGATTGTACTGTGGGATCAAAGCTCCACACCAAGCATTGCTCCCGCAAACTCGCATACACCTTCCACAACCACGGCAAGACTTTCCGTCATGTTTGTATTTCTCCGTTTTGTTTTTAACTAGTCTTATATTTCCTGATTTCAGTTGAGTATTTTGTCCTATTGAATCTCGTTGCCTTTGCCCATGTTAAATGGGATCATCTGGTTGTACTGTGTCCAGGGGATTTAACTGCAGGGCCAGACATGTCCCACTCACACTGACGGCCACTATTATCATTTGCTCCAAAGGCCTTTCAGATGGTGTGAGGTTGATTCGGCTCTCACTGATGGACCTTTTGAAGGCGGGAGAGCAGAGAAAGAACGGTTTAATGCCTGCTCAAACAGTTAAGGCGCTGTTTGCCACAGAGTGGCCCATGTGATGGATCGTATTTGATAAGATCTTGGATGGATGGATACAAAGGGAGTCTTTTTACTTTCTAATTTTCTTTAGCCCAATTTTCTGTTGATGTATCTAGAGATGCTGTCAGCCAGCGAGCAGTAGGAAACGTTCCCTTTCACTGTTATTTGATCGAGCTGAAAGGCCAAACATTCTTTTATTATAGCTTCCACATTTTGAGATACTTCTGCTGGACGAGCAATTTCTAGACATTGCATTTTAGATCTGGCACAGGTAGGTTTCAACAGAAAGTAATACAGATTAAGAACAGATTACTAGGCGTTGCGAAGTGAGACTCCAATGAGAATACGGACTGCGTAAAATAACAGAAAATCTGCTTTCTTTTCTGTCAGTTTTTTCTAATCATGAGATTTCTCCTAGTCAAATGTCCTGGGATCATCTCTGCACTTTTAGAGTCCTCTCATAGTTTGAGGTGATTTTAGTTTATAAACTCTAATCGAGTACGGTTCTTTAAATGTACCGAATATTTTATGGAGAACTAAATGCAACAAATTAGTCTTCTATATCAAATATACAGCACTTAATAACTTGTTAGTTGAGGGAAGAATTAAGATGTACCACTGAGATCCACCTGGGGGCAGTAAGGAGTCACTTTTGTTCTCTTAACGCTTAATGCTATGCTAAATATAAAAATTGCCATTATTGCTTATTGTGAATGGAATAACAAATATGATACACAGGCTTTGAAGTAAGATGCTGATGGCTTTTTACCTTGTTTTTTCAGTGACTGTTGCTATTGTGTGTGTGCATTTTATTTGTAACGTTTTTTTAATTTCAATATGCCAGAACATTTATGAAAGTTATCTGTGAGTATGCTAAATGGTTTGAGCAGAGGGTTTTTTCTTTTTGAATTCAGTACATGTGAGTCACATTTTTGTTGTTCATGTAAACATAACTTTTTTGCATTATAATTGGATGTAAAAGACAATTCCTTCTGCTCAACAAAATATATATTTTTCAAAAAACAAGATAAAATTTGACTTATGGAAGGTAAGTATCCTTAAATACATCATGAAAAATAAATAAAAATCAGTGTATGTTGTGTTCCTTCTGTCAGTCACTCGGTCCAAATGCAAATCCATCCATCTTCAACCGCTTATCCGGGGTCGGGCCGCGGGGGCAACAGCTCCAGCAGGGGACCCCAAACTTCCCTTTCCTGGGCCACATCTACCAGCTCTGACTGGGGGATCCCAAGGCGTTCCCAGGCCAGTGCAGAGATATAATCTCTCCACCTAGTCCTGGGTCTTCCCCGGGGCCTCTTCCCAGCTGGCCGTGCCTGAAACACCTCCCTAGGGAGGCGCCCAGGGGGCATCCTCACCAGATGCCCAAACCACCTCAACTGGCTCCTTTCAACGCAAAGGAGCAGCGGCTCTACTCCGAGCTCCTCGCGAACTTAATTTTACTATACAACTTTTAGGACTTTTTATAATATACCATCACGATTCTTTCCTACATTCTACGAAATAAGTTTTATCCTATGACTACGTACTATACCTTTTTACTTTTAAAATATATAAACATCTGCAATACTGACTTTGATTACTTTTGAATCCCCTTTTATAAAAATGCACACACTTGAAAACTACATTTTTAAAATAACACATTTGACGATAGTATGACTTTTTACTTTTTAAACGTTACGATTCTTATTTTGAATATAGTATTTTTTTCTGACATCTCCCCACATACGTTGACTTCATTTGCCTGGATGCAAAGAGCCCCGCAAAGACCTGCCAAATGAAATAAGAAAATAATGCAGCTGCAACATGTACTGTAACCATGACAACGTCAAAACAATTTGGGTTATTTTTTATATTGCTGTGATTTAAGGGTGGCGTGGTGGTTAGCACTGTCGCCTCACAGCAAGAAGGTCCTGGGTTCGATTCCGCCCAGTGGCCTTTCTGTGTGGAGTCTGCATGTTCTCCCCGTGTCTGCGTGGGTTCTCTGGCTTCCTCCCACAGTCCAAAGACATGTTAATTGGGGACTCTAAAATGCCCGTAGATGTGTGAATGGTTGTGTGTCTCTGTGTTAGCCCTGCGATTGGCTGGCGACCAATCCAGGGTGTACCCTGTTGGACTCCAGCCCCCCCGCGACCCTGTGTGCGGGATAAGCGGTTTGACGATGGTTGCTGTGATTTAAACATCCTTCAGGATCTTTCCTCACAAGATTCGGTCATTTAAAATAAGCTATATTGATTATATTCAGCACCATTTATGTACATTTTATTTGTAATGTCTTTCTGGTAATCTGGGTAATATGTTATTGTGTGAAATCATTTGAGCACAGGCTTTTTAGATCAGTCAATACGAGTTGTAAAATGACTCATGAATATCACATAACTGGATGGTTTTACTCCGAGTGTTAGCGGAGGAAAAGAGTAGTGTAAAGACGACAAAGCTGCGCTGCAGTGCACTTTTTATTTAGGAATGTAAAAGACAATTCCTTCTGCTCAAAACAAGAAAATAAATATATATTTTTCAAAAATAAGACATAACTATGAATTATGAAGAGTCAAAGTATCCATGGATACACAATGAAAGAAAATAAGCAAATCGATGTTCATATTTCATCTTTGTCAGTCCAAAATGCCTTATATTACCAACTAATGAAAGCAGTTTTACATGTTACAGTTGTAAATACGCATGCTAGAATTTCCCTAGAAATACCTTATTCACAGTAAAACAATAGCAATGTCATTGTGTATAAACTTTTTTGCAAAATCTACAGTATATTTCAGGTCAGAAACAAAATGCACATACTCTTTGAAAGGAAGAAGCTTGACTAATTTAGAAATATCTAGAGCCATTAATATGTGTCAAAATCAGATACTTCAGTATTGCAATGCCTTGTGATCAGTGCGCACCCCCCTCACACACACACACACAATTTTCTCGTCCGTTAGTGAACGCTCAAAAAATAAAAACTATTATGTCGAAATATTTCCATCAACGACTAAATACCAACAAAAAATAAGCTAATGTTGAATTCAAACGCTGACTGGTAAAGATTATCAGCGTAAAAACAGATTTAACAACCGCCCCCCCCCGCTAGTATTTTTATACTATCACACTGAGAATGTTGGTGGCAGTTTAGAGATAGTGTTGCAACTGTGCAAAATTGTCTAATAAGTGAATACTAAGTCCTTTGTTTAAAATACACACATTGGAGACTTGAGTCAGACATGTAAATGATCCTTTGGGACTTGAAGCACGAGTACAAAATGTCAATCAACTAAAGAGTAGTATTTAAAAGAAAAGGTTACCTATATGAACACTTCTGTTCCGTTACACAATACAAACAAAACCACCTATAGGGACCATGTAGACCTTTGTCTACATGCCACTTTCTGTGCACACAACATGTCCAGGTTTCTGACAAGAAGGAAACTTTAGTATTTATATCCTGCACTGGTTTGACCTTCTACATTCTCCAAATTCAGATTATAAAAAAGATGCAATTCATCTTATCAGTGTGAAGCTCTCTTGATCCATTGCTCCTACAATCCATTTTCAACAAACAAATCCCAAATCAATGAAGGGATAATACTGATGAGTCTCTATCAAACGCTTGATTTACATTCTTCAGTGTTACAGATCTTCATTGTTGTACAATATATAAAACACATGAGCCGTACTGTGATCGATATCCACTGGAGCACCAAATGTGTTTTAATCCACATCGGTAAACTGTCCAATACAAATCTGTTAAGGAAGTACCGTAACAAGCTTTATATCTGAGACCGGATGAATGTCGTCAGTAGAACAAATGGGGTTTGGGCTGAAAACAGTCAGAAAGAAAAGAACACACATTTCTTGGCAGGTGTTGACAAATCACATTAAAAGAACAAAGTATCGTCCTTATACTTCCACTGGGGTTTGTGTGTGGAAGCTCTACAGGTACTTGCAACATGCAGGAGTCTGGCAGACCTGACCGATATACCGAATACCGATAGCAGACATAAGAGGGGAATGACGCAAAGAAGAAGAATAAAAAAGTCCATACAGGCTGAGAGCCGCTGGAGTTGTTTTCCCGCCTTCCTCTCTTTACACCCAGTACCTGCCAAGAGCAGATTTTGAAAGGTGCTGCACCGACAGAAACACACAAACAATTAGTAGCTCGCACACAAACAAATCACCAGTTGAACAACAGGTTCAACCCAACGAGAAAGCAAAGGAAAACTATTGCAGGAAGACAAGGAAGTGTGAGTGAGGACAAAAACTACAATTTCTGACTGTCAATTACTGACATTGTTGTGTGAGCAGTTCTCGCTGAAATTCAGTCCAGCAAAACAATATTTGTTTTCTTATTCACTTCAAATATGTGGCGGTTTTCTTCGAAAAATCTGAAAAATGAGTTTGTCATTTTAGGAACTAAACTTGGCCCCAACACGTCCAACGGTAAAATACAGGCTGGATTCTACATCTGGACATTCTTCTGTCAGAGACACAAAGACAAATGGCAGCAGCTAATGGGCGGCTTTCTAACCCATTTCACACCTGTTGAGTTACAGGTTTTACATGGGCAGCACATGAACAGGATTCGGGGTTGAGACAAACTGGATTGATTCTTCAAGGAGGTCCTAAAGCATCCGCTACATTACTGGTTCCCGTGTTTAGGTATGTGCTCCTTTGTATTCTTAAATATATATGACACACACACACACACACACACACACACACACACACACACACACACACACACACACACACACACACCCCTTCCAATCCAACGGAGGCTTCAGACATTCAACCAGTCGAGGGGAAAGCGTCTCATGAAACGTGACTGTGGTTAACTTGGATTCGGGGGGTATTTTCAATATAAAAGTTAAATGGCCTCTTCAGCACAGAAGACAACTTGAAGAGTCTCTTCCTCCTCCTTTTTAACCAAACTGAGAAATGAACTGCTTCGCTAATCTTTCCCAAAAACGGGAATAATTTACTGATTCAGGAAAGAATAATCAACCAACCGACAGGTGCGGTGTTGGTGCGACACCGCAAAGACGATTTGAAAGAATTAGAGAACTAATAAGAACTACAACTCAAACCAAAATATGGTTTGATGCTGCATTAAATCAAATGCATGTTGAGTGTGCTTATATATTATATGTTGTCTTTTATTTGACTGACAATGTGATCAGGATAAATTGGCAACATGTTCCAGGATATGAATTCAATTTATAAATGTGATTTTACTGAACTGGTTGGAGGAATTTAAAGTGCATTTTCAAATAGGAATTCAGTTGCAACAACAAATGTAAAAAAAAAAAAGTTAAAAAAAAAGAAAATTGGAATAGATATTTGCAATATTTTTAGGTGGGAATTTGGAGTAACTTATAGAAATATATCAATTTACACATTTAAACAGATGTGTTGTTTGTTTTGATGTGTAAACATAGATTTTTATAACATTTTGAGGGTCTAAAGGAGAAAAAAAACTCTCCAAAATAGCAACATTTTGAAATAACACCACAAGTCCCAGTCAGAATCAATACAGGAAACATTCAGACCAGTTAGTGAGAAGTGAGAAGAACAAATTAAATTTAAAAACTAAAACAACATGTAAGCTCATGATATATGAAAGAAAAGCAGGGATGTAGAAGTAAAAACAACAGTTATAAGCTAAAGATTAATATATTTTGTGATTTGTATAAAATAAAAGGTTCTAGGATCAGTGGGATAAAAGAACAAAAAGGGGGGGAAAAGCATTATGATTATTATCTACATGGTGCACAAATAAACTTTGATCAGCAGCAACCTGATTCTTTCACTGCTTGTATTTTCTCTTTGTATTCTCATCGTCACCCGGACGTGTAATTGGATCAAGAGCCAACGGCAAAAAGAGTCAAAGAGGAACAAAGAGTAGAGGGATGTTAGGTATTGCCCTTAAGTTTTACATTTAGCATTATATTAGTACTTCATATGTGTATATACGTACTTCATAGCACCTGCACACTACATCGGCAGACGCTCAACTCTTCTCACTGTGTCTGCACACGTAAACATCACGCACGTCCTGCTCCCACTGAGAAACTCACGCCACACATTTGGACTAAACCAGTTCACAGCATTGTCTGATCTCACCTGCGTTTCACAGTGTGTGAGTGCGGTTGCCATGGTGATGCAAGAAATATACCTGCTCTGTGATGTATAATCGTACCAATATGAGCAGAATATAGACACACACACACACACACACAAACAGGAAAAAAGGTTTCACCAAGCGCATGAGTCGTTACGTAGGAGTCTGTATGTGTAAATAAATCAACATTCACTATAACTACCGTATTAGGAACCTTAGTTATTGCCGGTTTGTGCACATAGAAAAACCGATGACCATGCGGTTATACTGTATGAAAATACAAGTTCATTTGCTTCCTTTTGTAAATGACGTGTAATTAAGTCCGGAGCCTTTGCTCTAATAAAAGAAAACAAAACCTCAAAAGATGTCCATTTTCACAAGGAATATAAAATCAAGGTGCAGTAATTCTACGGTGTTCATCACACATTCAACGGTAGCATCACACAGTGGCTTTTTATAGTAGCAAGGGATGAGCAAGAAACAGCATTGCACAAGTTTTTGATGTTAAAGATCCTATAAATAAATAATTAAATAATATTGCGTCCCTATCGGATACTACAAACCAACAGTGTACAGTAAAGACAAATCTCAATATAGTGCCAGTATACAAATGCATACGTTACCGTTTTATAGTAACAGGAAGTGGTGTCTTACGTGGGCCAAACAAATCCATTGGGTTTCACAAAGAGAAAGCCTGATGCTTGTTCTGAAATGGGATGTTTTGTTGTTCGTTTCTGGACCCAGTTCACCAACCGTCGGTTACAAGCTCCTCCACCTCAGGCAGAGTAAGAATTTGAGTGTATTCATCTACTGTTAGTCAGTATGTAGTATGGATTTGGGACATCTTAGTTAAAATTATTATATTTGTACACATACATGTAAATGGAAGTAAAGCTGTCCTAACACGTCTTTTTAAGGGTTCTTAAAATACCCTCATGTGTTACAACGGCAGAAGAGAGTCGAGGACAGAATGGACATAGCCCTAATATTTAAATGGCTTAAATGTTAAAAACTAAACCACCCAACTACATTTAAGTCAACAGTTTGATTCAATATTCATTAATTGCCTTAGATTATAATTATATTAGGTTACAAATATATAACGGTATAGAATAACAGATACAAATCGGACAATAAAAGATTTTTGTGTCATATTAGAGCTGGAGAAGGTCCGTCCAATGAGATATTGTCTGTTACGCATGGCTTAATATATTGTGTATGACACACTGTGTTTACACCAGCCTTTTTATTTCCCATCCGCTCTTTATAAAGAGGAGTCCATTCACAGAGGGAAGCTATTGTAAAGTCACCACAATTAAGGGATTTGATTGGTTCAGGCCCTTTTTCGTACCTGATATGCTCCCAAACCTTGGGATTGAAATGGCTGACACTTCCTACAGAAACAAAACATCAAGACGCATAAACATAAACACACACACACACACACACACACACACACACACACTACCTCACTAAAGAAGAAACCTGGACAATGCCAGGAAAGGAGAAAAGACACTGAAGCGGGACACAAACCGATGTCAGTTTGACTGACTAATCAAAGCGTTAGAAAGGAGACAGAGAGCAAGACACCTGACCAGGTCCCCCGGCTGCAGATACAAATGCAGCTTATACATACACATACAGTATAATTTAGTTTATATTAGATTAGAAAACATTTATAAGATAATATTAGTTGATTACAGTTGACATATTGACTGAGAAACGACAGTTTAAGTTAAAGAGTTAAGGCTTGAATGGGACAAAAGCAACGCTGTCTTTGTGCGCGTGTGTGTGTGTGTAAATAGGTGCACTATGGCTTGCTTTCATTTGAGCCATATGCAACCCCAAATGATATTAAACTCCACACTAAACTGAGTAGGGAAGCCATAGAAAGGCCACTAGAGGGAGCTGTGACATCCAGTGGATGCTGTGTGTGCGCCTGCCTCCACGAGCTGTAGGCTTTCAGGTGTTTTGGTTCATACTAGAGCCTCTTCCTCTTAAAGTAGTCAGCGTACTGCCCTCCAAGGCCCTGGGAGTGCTGCCCGATGTAGGCGCCATCTGATGATGTCACTTCCTGCACTGCCAGCTGAGGGTACTCCCTCTTGTGGCCCCTCGTCTGGTTCTGACGAGACAGAGGAGAGAAGAGAGGGATCAGTTAAAGGTGAAGAAACAGCTGAAACTGAAAATTTCATACAACATCTTGGACCAAATTATATTCACCACTCAGTGTTTGTACCTCAAACCGGTTTCTACCTTAAACCTTTCAAATAAAATGTAGGGAAGTAAGTAATTGACAAATAGGTATTAAGCAAAGTAAAAGATGTACCCGAGTAGTTGAACTTACCACGGAGGTATTTGCATTACAGCGTGTATTTGCCCTACTTACATAGTAGTAGGTGTTCCAGTCCGTGGCGGCAGTGGGTGTGTGCGTGACGGCGCTCGCCGTGGCCGCCGCCGGGTGCGGCGCCCCGAGGAAGCCGGGCATCAACGGCAGGGCGCCGTAGGCCGGCAGCACAGCGGCAGCCGGCAGGACGGCCGGAGGGGCGGAGCCGTTGCTGACCGCGTGCAGAGAGACGCCGAGAGGCTTACACGCCTCTGCTTCCTGAAAGACACACACACACACTTACATTGAAGTACACAATAAAGAAAAAACATTACCCAAAACCCTTATTTTAAAGTAAATGTATTTGACAAATTCAAACCCACATTCTTTTATTCATTCACATCTTCTCTCTGGGCCTCGTACACGGGTATTATGACACATACTGTCTACGGGTTCAGTCCCTCTCCTGCTGTCCTCAGTATGTGTTTCTTGAGGACAAACAGCCAACACTAAATCCTACAGTCGGAAGTCAGAAAGCCATTGTGTCCTTTTCTCCACCAACACTGAGCCAAGTCGACCAGAATGCAATGCGGCCGCATCTTGAAGCCCTTCTCACACACACGCACACACAGGCTGCAGGAGGTGATAAGCCCGGTGCTGGTTGCTCAGGCTGTGTGGACACGTCTGCTTTGTCTAGTGATGCATTCCCTCTAAACGTCCTCAGTGTCTCCAGTGGGACAAAGTGCATCTCAGGTCACGTAAACTCTCTGCAGGACACAATGTTTTACTTGTTTTACGGAGCTTTTGGTTTTTGTATGGATTAAGTGTGATGAGTGAAATTCTCTGCTTATTGTTTGAAAAACGTCCTTTGTTAATTCCAAACAACTTCATTAATTAGAGTGACAAATGATCAATTTCCATCCACTTTCCGACCCTCCTGGCACACGCTGGGCTTCAATGTCGTCATCATACACAAATGCAGATGCTCATCACTTGACATGTTGGCATGTGAGATCTGTTTGAAGGTTAAGACTTCAGGGGGTTCAGGTTCTAATGGTGTCCTGGTTGTGTTTTGGCTTGTGTGTGTGTGTGTGTGTGTGTGTGTGGGTGTGTGTACCTTGCTGGCGTAGGCTTGGTTTGCTGGTGCAGGCTGGGAGTAGTACTGAGCGACCGCCTGCATGTAGGAACTGTAATCGGCGTAGGTCGACACGGGAGGAGCCTAAAACACAACGAGGTGAATTAATTAATTCTGTGGCAAATTAAGTCTTCTGTAGTAGTAGGAAAACCGTATATTTCTATCTAAAGATCCAATAATTTGTTTATATGTATTACACATTAAAAATATAAAGTTTGTGAAAATAAATATAGTAAATTTCTCCTCATTTATACATTCACTAATATTTAGAAGACATTCTAAGCTGTCTTTCCCATCTGAGGATCTACACAGAAAAGTTGACCAAACTGCTACTTTTTGGTAAAAAAAAAACACCAAAAGTAGCTTTTCACTTAGAGATGAGTGCGAGCGTTACCTGCGCGTGCTCCTTGGCGTAGTCTGTGGCAGCGCTGTCCTGTGAAGCAGCAGTGGCGTAGGTGTGGGCTTGTGCTTGATAGTGCTGGTACCACTGCTGCATGGCCTCCTACGAGACACAAATCAGATGCACGCAGATGGATGTTTGCTCGACAATATTCTTGTCATTGCAGATTTTTATTTGTCTTGCTTTGGAATGAAATAACTTTTCTTCTTGCCAACGCCTCATTGCTGTTCTCTTTGTCTCGTCCTCCCAGACAAAATTAAACACACTTTTTTTTATAGTGATTTAATTGGGATTCATTTGTTTGCATGAGTAGATTGTAATTAACATTTGAAATTGGGTTTGCATCCCGCTGCAAATATCAGATGTGTCACTGACTGCTGGAGGAGGCTGCAGCTACAGCCGAGGAGAAATGCAGACCAACAGCCAGTAGGGAGGCTTTACGACTCCTTCACAGTGGAGTGTTTAGAGAGACGAGGGAACCGGGACAGACGGAAAGACACAGTGCCAAGTTCTCTCTCATACCGTCTGTCCAAATATACATACTAATTCTCATCTCTTCCACCACCCTGCCTCCCATAGCTACAGCTCACTGCATCTCTCCTCCACCCGTCTCCATCTATCCACTCGTTATCTGCTGGGCTATAACTGGACTGCTTCACTGGGATCGCTGTTTATCGTGTCTGTGTGAGCGTTGGTACCTGTGAGTAGGCCTGGTTGTACTGGCTGTAGTCAGTGCAGGTGTCGGCGCTGTACTGGGCGGTGGTTGTAGCCGCCGTGCTGTGGGAGAAGGAGCCGGAGCCCTGGGAGACGACGGGAGCAACCGAGCTGCCGTACATCCCGGAGGGAGGATGCCCTCCCTGCACTTTACTCCCCACTGACCCTGAGCAAACAGCGCACAGCGAGTCGGAGGGGGTCAAATCACACTAACGAACACATCGACGTGGTAAAATATCTCAAAGATGCTCACCTTGCAGCACCACCCCCGGCATCACACTGGCCAGGTTCAGATAAGGATTGGAGGGCAGTCTGACTTCTTTAGGAGGGTCGCCCAGCAGGGAGCCCTGACCGCCGCTTACCTGTCCAAAGACAAACACATTCCAATGGTATTATTCAAGTTTTAACGGCCAAAGAAACAAAAAAACACTGCTGTGTTTGTGTAAGTTTCACAAAAGTTGAATTACTGGACGGTCAACCTCTTAATCCCTCCTATCTTCACTCTGAATTTGTGTTAAGATTTCAGCTGGCTTTGCAAAAATGACAAAACCTTAGGCTATGCAACTGAAAAAAGTAAATTTTCCCAACCACACAAACATTGACGTGCGGATTTTAATGTTAATATTCGCATGAACTGCAGAGGAGGCTGTGCAACCCCGAGAGTATTGCACTGTTTAATTACACTTTCCCTCCATTAAAGACACTTAAAAGAAGACAGCGCCGGGACTGATATCAGTTCCCTCTAGAACTTTAGCCCTGTGATTATCTTTGTACAATTAGTTATAACGGATTATGATGTTAGCTTAGCAACTTTATATTTAAAACAGGCTGTGAAGGAGCAGAAAGGCAGACTGTCAGTCGGTGTGTGGAGAAAGGTGGTGAGGAGGTGAGGTAGACAACTCATACTGTGGGACAGAAGTGCATTATGGGAAATGCCCAAAGGCAGAGCAGTTGAGGGACGGAGGCTGTGTTATGAGGCTAAATCAGGAATAAATAATTGTTCACAAGAGACAGACGGGTAGAAAGATCTGTTGACATTATTGTGTTTCCTAGAAAATTGCAAAAGATGTTTATGTTTACACAACATTTGTTGGTGCACACAACCCATTAAGAGGAAATAGAAATACATATTTAAAAAAAGTCATTAACATGAATATGTCCACTAAAACTTCACTTTAATTATTGGACAAACTATTCTAGCAATACAATAAATACTCATGAAAGAACATAAACAAACAAAAACAAAACTGGTGCGGCTGCTAACCTCTTTGCATGTAGCTTTAACCTCACTGTTTAAGTAGCCATCATGAGTCTATTCAAGCCTACAATTGGTAAATAGACTGTACTTGTATAGTGCATTAACTCTTCACGTCATCATTCACACACTGATGACGCACGCACGCACGCACGCACGCACACACACACACACACACACACACACACACACACACACACACACACACACACACACACACACACACACACACACACACACACACACACACACACACACACACACCAGCAGTAACCTGCGTTCACGCGCAGTAGTCACAGCTACAGGAGCAACGTCGGGGGTTAAGCAGGACCTAGAATGCAACCTTCAATCGTCTGATTGGAGGACGCACGCGCTCTCCGCTCACCCCACAGTTGCCCGCACAAGACCAAAAAAAACAGTGGTGTCAGCAAGAGACGCCATTTTCATGAAACTAAAAAAAAACATAATCATCAAATGTGCAACCTTGTGGACAGCTTTCCATAAACAGGAGAGTTCTATTAGTCACAAGTGTGTGTGTGTGTGTGTGTGTGTGTGTGTGTGTGTGGAGCTCACCATGCTAGCCAGGGGGCATCCATCGCTGCTGTTATGATGGCCCAGTGACGTATAAATTCCTCCGGGGGGTTTAGGTGGAGGCGGCCCGAGGCCTGAATTACTGATACCCAGGGAGTAGCCCTGTCCCTGCGGATGGGAGCTCATTAAGGTGCCTGGAGGAGCCGGCTGCCTGTCACAGGAGGCAGAGGAGGAGGCCGAATGGTTTGTGGAGAGAGAGTGGGTGCTGTTTGGTTCTCCGGCTCCACCTCGACCGTGGAGGTACGGCACCACACCTGCCGCAGATACCACTGCTGTGGCATTGTGGGTAGAGGGCTGGGGCACCGCCTCGTGTCCCAACTCTGTAAGAGGAGGGAAAAGGGAATGAAATCAGTAGACAGGGACTGAAGAGAAAGACAACAGGAAGGGAAGCTACAGGATAAAAACAAGACGCGCCGAGGCTAGGGAAACAAAACTAAAGAGAAAATATGAAAAATATAGAAAGAAGAAAAAGCAGCACAAAATATGGCAGCAAAAAGGAAAAATCAAATGAAGGGAAACAAAAGCAAGGAGAAGAGACAAAACCTGCAAATTGTGACCATCATTAGCTTGACTGAAGACCGAAATCACTCGCGCTCAGCCCGACCGTCTCTCAAGAGCCAGTTACAATGTTTGAAAATGGTGTAGTTACTCGTACGGCGTCACTTATTATGTTTACTTATACGTTGCTTCACACTTCCATTACTTCACTCACTCCAGGCTTTAATAAACAAATATCTACACTCACATAAGCAAAAAATACAGATAAATACATAAAAACACAATTTAAAGAGGCAGACACAGTTAAAGGTGTACACACAATCACATTTAATATATATCCAATAATGCTGTGACAAATGGCCTCAACAGCACAATAAGATCAGCTCTAACAAGCCTGAAGCGAACAATACCAGTAGACACATCAGCAGTAAAAACCCAACACACACACACACACACACACACACACACACACACACACAATCAAAGAGGCAGACAAACACTTCAGCACACTTATTCACACTGCTAGAGTCTGCGATATATCATTCCCAATTTAAACAACACAGCCTCTTTCAGACGGAGATTTGAATTGTAAATATACTTCATATTTCAGACCAACGCAGAGGTGCACGCTGAATCTACACGTGCACGCACTGGTGCAACCGATTGCATGATCCTCCAAGCTGAGATAAACGTTAGTAAAGCATCAATGTGAAGCGTCTTTATTGACATAACTGTATGTGCCACCTGTCCCCATAAAGAGAGGAACGTGCTGCTTTGTCTTACAGCATAAAATACAAACAAGGTGCAGTTATCAGAACCGATTGGGTTCTATTACAACGACTAAAGAACGGGAGGTGAACTAAGGTGAACGCATCATTACAAATACCACACTGTGCTCTGATTAATTTGCATTAAGGACATTTGACGACGCTCAGCCCGGCTCACCGGGAGGCGAATCTCCCAGGAGGCCTTTGCCGAGCTGCATCAGGCCCGGATGCCGCAGAGACAAAGCTTTCTGCATCAGCAGCCTGGACGGGTCCCCGAGCAGACTGGAGACCTGTGGAGGAGAGAAAGAGATACGTAATATGGAGGTTACGCAAAGACAAAAGGAGGAAAAAAAGGAAAAGGTTCAAGTATCGTGCAAATTGTAATTACGTTAAATGTTAACAATATACATCATGTTTTCTGCTTCTATAATCATTCTCCTCTGCATTACAACACATTTTATTTGGAGAGACATTAAAATTGATCAGGTAAACAATGAAAATGAAAAGTGGGGGATGATGGAGGGCAAAAACAACTATCTTACACTGCTGATGCGTTTGTCTTTGATGTGAAGAAGCTGCTGCTGTGCGAGCTGCATATGCAAGAGGTTCTGGAGGACTAGTCCATTACCCAGCATAGCATTCTGCAAGGTAAAGACGAAGACATCATTGTAACAAACACATCAACACACACACACACACACGCGCACACGCGCACACACGCACACACGCACACACGCGTGTCAGGACCTGGTGCACTTTTCCCAGCGTGAGCAGCGCTGTGGTGAGAGACGGTCTGAGGAACGGCAGGCTGGTGTGACGCCCGTACTTCCCTAAACACACAAACAACAAATGAAAACATCCACCAGTGCTTCTCTCCCTCTCTGATATTCATTTAGTATTTCATATTTCAAATCGTCTTCTCAACCAGCTTAAGGATTATGCGAGCGATGGTGGCGCATGGAGTAGAGAGGGTCCGCTAGGAACCACGGGGTTGGCGGTTCGAACCCCGGCTGCTCCATGTCCCTGAGCAAGACACTTGACCTCTAACTGCTCCCTGGGCCCAATGTAAACACCATGGGTAAAATGCAACGTAAGTCGCTTTGGATAAAAGCGTCAGCTATATGACCTGTAATGTAATTATGCAGACAACCAAACAATCGGTTAATTAAAGCGCACTTCAAAACATTAATTCTGTCTGATAAAAAGGAAAAGTAAAGCAATATCGGGGTATTATGTTGGTACAAAGCAAACTTTCTCCCCTCATAACTTTCTCCAAGTTTAAACCTAATTTTGAAGTTGAAGACACGGTTGGAAAGAGGCTCACGCAAACAAAAAGACGGCAGAAAAATAAAACAAACTGTCTGTCTTTATTAAAGTGTACCGACAGTTTCCTGAAACATAAAAAAAAAGAGACTCAAGCTTCAGCCTCTAACTGCTTGTAGGAGCGGTCAGTAAATCAACGCTCCTTTTACTGCACAACAGCAATAGGAACTCATGAAATGAAACTCAAAACTCGCTTTAGCCGTAGCCCAAACACACACCCGGCTGTACCGAGGACACGTCTAAATGTAGGTAACGCCCCCTGACGTCATTTCAGCAACGCAATATCAACAGAATTGCATTACGATCAGCATAATTTAATGCGTAGGCGGTAGCATGATTAGGATTAAGTCACTTGGATAGGGTATAATACCGGTTTAAGATATAATCTGAAACATTAATTTAATAGAAAAAAGCGTGAATAGATTTTGTTTGATAGACGGATATATTTGTGCACATTTAACACGTTGTAATAAGCTGTTTTTGTGATTCTACCCTACATCGATGCACAAAGAGTCCACACACACACACACACACACACACACACACACACACACACACACACACACACACACACACACACACACACACACACACACACTTTTGGCTTTTGGATCAGTGTGCGTTTCCAGGGGGCTGCTTGTAATAGATGTGGAAGCCAATACTAATGGTAGCTTCTTCCAGACTAGGTAGAGAAAGTTTAACATTTAATCAAGGACCTAATTTTAGACTTTAATATTGTGGGCTTTGCTCCTCCTCCCCATCTTCTCCCCTTCCTGTTCTCATTTGGTCCACTAACATCAAATGATTTCATTTTAATACCTGATTAGCCATTTATCAAATAATGAAGCCGTTGACGAGGTGATTACAGTACGTAGGAGAGACAGGCTTTCACACTGCCTTTTTTTATTATTATCTGAGACTACTTAAAGGACAAGTTGATATATAATGTGCAGTACAGGTTATTTTGATATAATATAACAATGTCAACGTGAAAGTTCAAGTTGCATGTTACTAATGGAGCTTCACCAGCTGCAAATACAATTTATTATCAATTACCTCCCAAAAAAAACACAATTTACACTTTATTTACACTAACTTTCCTTCTGCGCTTTCAAGTTAAATTTCACAGCCATCTTCTGCAGATATTACATAAGAGCCATCACACGGTTTCTCCCCCTGCTGCTATTTTAATGTACAGGTGCTTATTGCTTTTTTTTAAACCAGACCTTTATCTTTAAAGACTGACTTCTGCTATGGCAGTCTGATCTCTGTCAACCCTCCTCTCCATTGCACACTTCATTCGGCTCGAGGTGAAGTTGGTCAGGGCGGGCTTGCATTTGAAAAGTCAGCAGAACCTGCAGGCATAAAATGCTGGCCCGGCTGCTTCTGGCTTCTTCAAGAACCTTCACACCGGAGAGATTCGATTCTGCTTCCAGTTGGCTTCCAGTTGGCTACCTGCTCGCGTTGACTCCAAGGGAGGGAAGTTTGAGGGAAGACATGCTTTGTACTCATACCTCCTCTTTTCCCCGTGTGGTACGGCCTCATAAGGATCTGCAGGGCAGCAGGGTTGGTCATACTGGTCAGCAGCTGGGCCAGGTTGGGTTCCGGTAGCAGACCTTTCCTGTTACTCAGAATCTAGAGAACCAAAAATAGAAGCGCGTTCAGGAGTTAGAGACGGAAAGAGGAGACTGTGCGTGTGTTTTTGAGTGTGAACAGGGTGTAAAGTTTTGATCTCGTCGTCCCTGATGGTCGTACTAATCCTTGCACTAGTTTACATCAGCAGGAGATGCCTGCAATGTCCACAGAGGGACATCTATCTGGGAGACAAAAGGGGGGGAAAAAGCACCGAAACATAATAAATCTCATGGAAAGACGTACTACAGGGCACATCCCCAAATAATGAAATCACTCATTAAGCTCCGAAATATAATTGAAGGGACTCAAACTAAATCCTGCTGAATTAGACCGCGTCAAATCAAATCAGCAAATCGGCGATGGCAGCGCAGCGGCCGCGCTCGCTGTCTGGCCCGAAGACACGGCTATTTAAAACGACACGAGCAGGGTGGTGATATTTCCTCCCGGTCCGCCCCCGAGCTTCAGCGCCACTTCGGCTCGAGTCAACCTTGTTTCCTGCCTGTCACATCCTGGAGGGAGAGTATCACTGGCGACGACGGAGAGGGTCCGACTCCAGCCTGTCAGCCGTCAGGAGGAGGGTTTGCTGCACAAATACAGCGTGTGCATTTGTGTGTTGTAGCAGGGGAAACTGGTGTGTGTGTGTGTGTGTGTGTGTGTGTGTGCATGCAAGCATGTGTGAATGGGCTGGTTTTAAGTAAGGCCAGTCGTAGCTGACAGCGTCTTTCAAGAGGAAGAGTGGGGAGGTGGTGGAGGAGGAGGAGGAGAGCTGTGTTGTTTCTTTTCTTTCTGCCGGAGAAAAACGTCAGCATGCATCAGTATGTTCTGCTACTGACACACATTCCCGCCACACACCCACACATTTACGCACGCCGGGGAGGTAAGGGGAGCTGAGAAGAAGGAAAGGCAAGAAGAGAAGGCGAGAAATGTCGCGGAAGGAGAGGGATGGAGGGAAGAGGAAGGAGGAGGAGGCCCGTCTGGTTTCATATTAAATGAAAAACAGCCTGAGAGAAGAACAGTAGCCAGGAGGTCCTGATCTCCTTCTGAAGGTCCCATGTTTCCTACGTTTCCTTTTTCCCACTGCAGAAATGCACTGCAATAATCGTAAAAATAGCCTCGGGGTTGTATCGTAAATGTTTTCTGTCCCCTCCATCCCATTTGTGTCCCTTGCTGAACCAACTCCCCCCCCCTTTTAGTTTATGTACTCCTTCCTCCTCAGGTCTGCCACGTCTTCCTCAGCTCATTTATTGAGACACACATTTTTCTCTCAATGCCTTTTCATCCTCTTCGAAACCAGATCAGACTCTGTGGCCGTCACGGCTCTCCTTTTTTCAACCTGTACATTTTCATCACAAGGCCAAGACCTCTATTAGTGCAGCTAATATTTCTTGTTCTGCAACAGCCGGGAAGGAAACCTCACATTCAGAATAAACTGACAATTGGTTGGATGCATGATTTCATTTTCTGAATGAGTAAATTAAAGTACATCTGTCAGAATCAGTGTTGCAGTTTGGGTCTACAAACTACAAACTCTTCAAGCCGTCGCCTCCCACAACCTCAATTAGCCTAATCTGAAATAGTGATCACGTAATGAGAATAAAGCTCTCCTATAAGAAACTCATAATGAACCATAAACTTGCAGTTGATGTATAAGAAAAGTCAAAGCTTTCTGTGTGACAGCAGTAATATTGTATTATAAGTTGTTTCTAGTCTGTTAAATGTCCTAAACAAAGCTGTGTGCCATTGTGTGTCATTATTAACACTGGGTTAATACACTGTACTCAATGTAAAGCCCTATTAAAGCAAACACATATACATTTTAAAATAATCTCAGTAGAAGAAGATTGAAAATTGAGTTCATGTAAATACTATGCCAAGCAGTTTGTTAAAAGAATGAATAAAACCTTTAACAAGAGAGCATTTACCAGTCTATTTGTCCACTGACAACCATTATCAACAGTCTGATCAGCTGGTGAAAATACTGTACATTTAGTCAAGCACCAGTTTCTCTCTGAACAACCACTACTCTGCAGAGACTATGAGGCAGAAGAGTGCGAATGCATCCAGCCATTTAGCTTTTGGTGCTCTAATGTAAGACAGCCACGTGTTTAAATGAAATTAGAAACTAGCATGTTTCTCAGGCTTCGGTCAGTCTCACTCCTTTGCTTAAACAAGAACAGACAAGCGCATCACTACTCAATCCATTGGGTTTGCATGTGAGTGGCGTACTGCGCTGTGTGGTTGGTTTATTTTAGGCAGTTGGAGCCTCATCAGTCTACAGAACTGTAATTATCATGCAAGTGTCTCTCTCTGCTGCCACGGTGCAGTGTGGGAGGGATAACACAGCTTCAAAGACCATTTCAGCCATAGGATATATGGATATGGATATTTGAACTGAAGATGTGCAATAACCGGGTGCCACTGCTTGTTTGGTTCTTTATGTGTTACTTAGACGTACGATGTTTTGCTGCTCCTCGTTATGGACCTCAAGCTTTGAGGACTTTGTTTCTACAGAGAAATGTCATGTTGTCAATGCTCATTGCTTGGTACTCACCATACCCTGGGCGGCGATGAGTGCAGCCAGGGTGCTTCTCCCAGAGGTGCCGGGCGTACAGAGTGACAGACGGATCTCCTGTCCTCCCACCAGCGTTCGGTCCATCTCGATCAGCGACGCCTCCGCCTGCTCCGCGCTCTCATACTCCACCACACCGAAACCTCGGACCGGGCTGCCCTCATCCTGAGCCAGCTGCAACACAACGGCGTTAAGATGGCGCTGCAAGTGAGTTCTGACAGTCAGAAATCGGAGAAACGTAAACGTTTTATTTAACCAACGCGATTATTCATGTTTCTGCAGCAGCTCTGTGATTGAATAAAACTTTATTCAAACGTCCAGTTTTATTTTCTTTACTTCTGCAAGTTGTTTCATTTTACTCAGATGTTTTTCCTGCTCTATCGTTTAGTAGAATAACTACGACTGTCTCGGACCAGTTGGAGGTTTGGACTGCGAACCAGTTCTGTATTCACGTTTTCTAGAACCAGGGCTTTTGGTTTTCCAACATAGTCCAGGGAAGATGTGGGTTAAGTGATCTGAATAAAAGTGACTGTGAATGTGTGTGTCAGTCAAGTGATAAACTGTCCCCTGCAACCCAGAGCAGAAGACGTAGTTACAGATATGCAGATAATGAGAACTGCCTCGCTGGAGATGCTCATATTAGGGAGCAAGCAGGGAAAATGAAAACGCAGAATAATCTGTTGGTGCCAGCAGTTCAAAAACAAGAACTGTGCCAAATGCAAAACATCACATGGACTGTTTGGAAGGAAATGGATATCTTTGTCTCATCAAAGATGGATTTCATTTTTCCTTTCATAAGTCCTTACTTATGACACTAAACCCCAACATCTATTGCCCATTTCTACTTTCAGACCTCCCGTTATCTGCAGGAACAAAAAAAAAGTTAAGAGCTTTTTGAACGTCGTGAGGGCTTTCTCTTTAACATGCAACAAGACACTTATAATTCTTATGATTTAATATAAGATGCATGTTGCTTATGCTTGTTTTTCCCCTCACAACAATGAATGAAATGCCTGGAAATATTACTCTCATTTTTAAATTGTCAGAAGAAACAAATCAGGTCCCTGCAAACCGCTGCGACTACAATGATTATACCATTTATCTGGAAAGTTAACTGGTGCCCTGGTGTGTTATATATGGATTAGCAGAGAGCAGAGCAGAGAGCGTGTGTGTGTTTGAGCGTGTGTGTGTGTGTGGGGGGGGGGGGTTTGTGTGTGTTTCAGACAGTAACGTGCTTATTGTGGAGCTCGTCTTAGTCTTAAAACGATATCATTCCTCTTGCTCTTCACTGCTTCAGTGTGTAGCACACACACACACCACAAATTTACTATTGTGTGTAAAAGTAACCAAAATATGGACTGGAGTAATCCAAATAATGTAATCCTGATATCAATTTGGAGACCATATCCAGTAAACATTATGGAAAGCTGATGATTTTGAAGGTAAATGGTCAATAAAATGGATTTTCCCCGGTCAGACAAACTGCTGACCAGCAACAATAATTCAGAAACGGAAAACACTTTTCTGTCAAGGAGGTTCAGTCATTCCAGTGTGTGAGGAGCTAAATAATGCAGGCAGGCTAATAGCTAATGGCTGATGTTGGATAATCACAGTGGCTAGAAGCTAATGGCGTACGTACTATTTCACCGAGTGCTGCTAGTGACTGACAAGAAATACTGCAAAAATACACAAGCAGTGCCTGATTTAGCTAAACTTTCAACGGATACGAGCACTTTTTGGAACTGTAATCTGGTGCTCAGATTTAGGCAACCTGAGCAAATGTATTTAAATTCAATTGATGTTTAATGGCTTGATAAATGCAATTGAAGGATTTGGTTGTAAACAATGTAAGATACACTGAGCATTTAGAGTAAAGCTAGATGCACAAATTGTCCCAAATCATTCCACAGCTAATGATAGATTATTGCAGATAAAACAGCCATTTTGATCATGGACAACAGATAAAAACCTCAGAACAGAAACATCGAAGATATGTTGATGGAAATTATAATCATTTTTACCCAAGAACTAATAAATGCTGCACTTATTATGATCAGTGTAATTCATTTTTAGTCTGTTTGGAAGTCAGATTCTTCAATATATTGAAAGCGGATCCTTCATAAGGATGCTAGAAATACAATTAATTACAATTTCATGATAGATTAATTTACTAATTACTTTTAAAATGTATTTGGTCTACAGAATATTGGAAAATAACTAATCTGCAAATGTACATGTTTTGTTCAATCAGCCTACAATCCAAATATATTCTACGTAATTATCGTAAGTAGGCTACCACAGGACTTTTTATACTTTGCCATAATGACGGTTGATTAGTTTTAGATTGCAATTAAACATGATAAAACTTAATTAATCACATATGCAGCAAAATCATCAGAAACTTTCATTGTAAAAAAAGGACAGATTACGAATCAGTGGGAGACAAATGTATTTGGACTTTCTCAGCCTGAGAGCGGATGCGCGCTTTCCATCAGTGCTCAGTCGAGTTCCACTTTCTCCCTCCACCCCTCCTTCACCCGTCTGCCGTTCCCTCTGGTCTGAACAGAGGACGGACGGATGGAGGGAAGGAGGAAGAAAAATGGATCAACGTGCTGAGGAGCAGGTCGATAGGCCATTATCATCAGCATACATTAAGCAAACTGTATGGGATCTGAACCACTTTCGACGGATGGAAGAAGAGGAGAGTGTGAGATTGAGGAGACGATAGTGAGAAAGATGGAGAGAAAGGAAGGAGAAAAACATCAGTGATTGATGAAGGGAGAGAAGATATGAGCAGGGAAAACAAAGAAAAACATGCTAATCATTTGTTGTGTAAGTGGTCTGGATTGGAAGTGGGTACACTGTAAAAATAAATGATATATCAAATTGGATTGTGCGCGAATGACATTCAGGATACCATAAACTATGAGTGTTTACGTTAATGCGCGAGTAATAATGTGAAGACTGAGCGAGAAAATCGCTTCAGAAATCTTTATAAGAAACAGCTCTGTAAATTTAAAATAGGCCTGCGTGCAGCGTATAGGAGCCTTGCGTATATGACAGCCGTGATTTGGGTTCATGTGTATCTGAAAGACAAAGTAAAGTAGCTTTGACACCATTAACACAAATAAGACAGCTGCAAAGAGAAGTGTCGTGCACATTCTCAGTCAGCTCTGAAGAGCTGCTAATGAGTGTTTCTTCATCTTCTCACAGCACTGTCTGAAATTGCATGAGGTTGCATGAAAATAACAATGTTACAATGAAAAATGTTTCAACCCCTTTTGGAATGTTGACTTTTTTTATGTCTTGCCATAATGCCTGACGGGTGCTTTGCCTTGTCCTCAAGGTATGATTTAGAAAACATTAAGAGTAATTAACCTAAATTGTAACGGCCCATTATCAGTCCAATAAACAGAATGAAATTTGTCCTGTTTTGGCAAACAGGTTGGCAAAATTGGAATAAACAATTAAACTAATCCACCGCAAATTAAGGTTGACGTCATAGTGAGTAAATCACAGCAGCTTTTTGTGTCATTATGCAATTTGTCCAAAGTGAGTAGCGTATGCTATGTATAAATATGACAAATAAGTACGTCATTACTGTGATTTTGACATTTTCTAAAGAGCTGTTATCAGGCTTCCACTGTGTGGAAATGTCACGTTAAAAGTAACATCAGAATCATTTTTTCCATCATGATAAACTTCGCAAAAGATCAAAAGCTCACATATAATCAAACCTCTAAAATCCTGGTACGTTAAGTTGGAAAGTTTTACATTCAGATGTAAAAGCTCCCCCGAGCTCATCGTCATTTGATTTGCCTGTCTCAAGTCACCTCACGTCATCCAAATAATTCCATTTCCTGACATCAGCAAGTACAACTGGTTATACAGAAGAAATAAGAAATAGAACGTTTTCCCCCTCAATGTATTTTGTACAGTAAACTCTGTATCTATGCATATGTGTGTGTGTGTGTGTGGTGTGTGTGAGCCAAAAAGAAACCAAAGATGCTAAGCTAGTTATCAGGGTTCTTGACAGCTCTTGACCTCGAGTCGTGGTCCCCGGCTAAGAGATGCTGACCGATGCCCCGGCAGGGTTGGTGTGGGTGTCTTTAAGGGTCTGAACAGCCACATCAACTGTCTGAACTGAGTGACGAGGTCACGAGAGCACCGTCACGGCCTACTGTGGAGAAAGGTACGTGACCCATCGCAAATAACCCGTTAAATGTTGTGTCTTGTTTGTACATGCAAACAAAAAAACGGTACAGGCCCTTATTTCGTTCATGAGAAATCCAGAAATGCAGCCTGATGAAACAAAATGTTACGTGAACGCACCGTATCTCCTTATGTTTCTCTTAGAACTTCATCCAAGTGCTGTAACAGAGACACAACGGATGCGTAATGCTATCCACGGAGACCCTGTCCTATTTGGGGACAGTCATGAGGGTAGCTTATGTGCTGCTTTCAGGAACGGTCCGTAGTGTGTGGATGAGGGAGACAGAGAGAGAAAATACACTCACCGCATCCAGCAGTGACGGGGATTAATAATGGTAGTAAATTTACAGTGCAGTGTTTTGTTCCTCTTGCTCTCATCGGCACATGGAACGCCGTGATCAGTAACCAGGTAACCAGTGTTTATCATTATATATACACACACACACACACACACTTCTCCGTGCTCATGTAAACCTCATATTCACAATATGATGCTAACAGGTATAATCCTCATGAATGGCTTGTTGTCCATGAACACAGTGAGGGACCCGTTTAATTGCACAGATATTTGTGAAGAGCCCCAAAGGATGCGCGCGTGTGTGTGTGTGTGTGTGTGTGTGTGAGAGAGGTAAAAACTGAGTTGGTGAAAGTGTGATTATATAGAAAGAACTATGGGGGATAAAACAATCAACCATTAGTCTTGAGATTATAAACATTAATGTTCTGTTGCTTCTGAAATAAACAATTCAACTGCATTGTCAAAAAGTGTGGTAGTTTATCAATTTCTAGTCAGTGTTTCATAATCCTGCAGTATTTTTTCAAAGTAACAAGAAATATCGATGATTCCTCCCTAATTCTGTTCCACTAGCTTCTGAGAGAAACATTGTATTGCTCAGCCAAAGTGATGCCTTTTGACTGTGCTTGTCATTTAAAACATGTTGCCATCAGCTGGACATTACTGCCCTGCTGTTTTTATTAATGGCTGCTTCACATTATTAAATGGAATAATTATTTATGTTTGGTGCATCATGGTATATATATATTAGCATGTATCTTGTTAGGGTTATGTTATAAGCTGCTATAAACTGTTGCATATACCGGTAGTTGTTGATACAGAACATATTTGAAACAACAAAACCAATAAATGTGGGTTTTCTTACACTGTGAGAGTCATTGTGCGAACACATGACATGAACAAGCTATTTAGCCGTAAGAGTAACTGGCTGTTGACTAAAAGTTGATGGTTGCATTCATAAATCTGTCTCTATACCTTTAACATCCATCACACTCCTCTAAATCCTTTTGCAGATACAGATAATTAGTGACCAAATGTGTTCTTAGTTTTCTGCTTGTCAGCAGTTATCATTAAATCACCCAATATGCAAACAATCTCTTAACGCGACTGATGAGTCTCCCTCCCTCCCCCGTTCCCCTCCAGCTCTCCACCCCCCTCCGTCTCCACCCGTCGCCCCATTAGTGGTGACACTGTCGGCCCTCTCCTCCCTCGCTCCGTCTTCTCTCAAATAGGTCTGACATTCTCAGCACTGTCCTCTCCTTCCCATCCCTCCATACTGTCTCCCATCCGGCTGTCCCTCTATTATGGTTGACATTCTATCCCCTTTCCTCGCTCCATCCCTCCTTGAGGACCTAAACTAAAGTGCTGCCTGGAGGGTCCTTACGTGGGTAGCAGAATTATAGCGCCCGGGGCCAAGGACACAGGTTAAATGCACTCCGCACAGAACAAAAAGTAACAAGACGGCTGAGGTCCGTGTGCACAGAGGAGGAATGGCTCTTCTGTATGACAAACTGCATTTGACGCCAGCAAGGTACGAGACAATAATAGAAGAAGAAAAAATGTATTTGCAGCAAACAAAGGAGCAAGAGTTCTACCATGCAAAAGGGTCTGCATGGTTTTCATCAAACCGGGGATGTTGCACCTTGATCTCTGGATGCACAGATATATCAAACAGATTAAAGCGGCATAAGCAGAGTGCGCCCCTTATAACAGAGCTGGCCCAACAGGAGTGTCCCACCGAGTATCAGAGCAGAGCAGCTGAGAGACGTGCACGTAGAGTGTGTCCAATGAATACAAAACAGCAGTTATGATTAAAATGGCAGCGCAGCCCTCTCCCACACAGGCGTGGTTAAATAATACCCCGGTGACTCATTTAAGGCTACCGTGGATGTTTTTATATCCCTGTATATGTTGTTTTAGAGAACATCCTTTTCATTGATGGGTTTCAGAAGCCGTGTGCAGAAACACACACGCACATATTTGCAAGCACATAGCGTACAAAAAACAACGCTGAACCATAGGTCAAAGCCTGCTGGCTCTGCAACAGTGAAGCAACATGAGCTAAACACCCACAAAGCATCATGGGACCAGGATGATGTGGGTGTATTGATTTCTATGTGGGAGGGGAGGGGGGGGGGGGGCCAAGAGTGGAGCTAAAACTGGAAATGCAGCAGATGACAAATACTCATTGAGTGATGTCTAAATAGAAAGGTGGGGGTGCTGTGGACGTAATGGGGCAGGGCGGTCTATAACTCAGCTGACCTGAAACCCAGCAGAGTGCACGGAGGGAGCTGAAGGGTGGAGCTGGCGTCATGACTCACCATGGAAACCGTTGCTTGGCGATACTGTGAGATTGGCCAATGGAGACCCTGAATTTCATACCGGCGCATCTCACCTGGAGGCCTGGTTGGTTCGTGTGTGTGGAATTTCTAAGCGGCATAGCGGTTTTAAGCACTTTGGGGGAATTAGTCAGACCTGATCAATGAATATAAGTTTCTTTTAGAGTGTCTGCCACAACATGGGGCTCTAAGAAAGACAGAACCTGTACCTTAAACTTTGGTTTCACAGCGCAGACATTTCAATGAGCGCGGACCTCTCTGATCGATCCGTTTGCGCAACTAATCTTATGAGGAGTGAAAAGGAAAAGCCCCAGTGTCATTTTGTCGAGACCGTTATTATGATCACACATACACACACCTGGCAGAAGACCGGTTTGTAGGTTTCCGAGAAGAGCTGGGTGAGTTCTTCAGAGTCGCAGAGATCCAGCGGCAGCCGGTTTATGCACAGACACTTTGAGTGCAGGTTCTCCTCTTGGCTCAGCTGATTGACGTCCATCCACTGCACCATCAACGAGCGATCGTCCTGCACAACCACAGCAGGGGGTCGGATTCTCAACACCCAGAACTCGCTTTCCACTCAGACATGTATAAGTACCCATTAGGTTCCTCATTTATTTTGAGAAAATGACAGTGAATGTAACTTGTGATGATACATTCCCCCTCTTGGCTGGAAAGTGTTTATTTTGAAAGCTCATCAGCCCTTAAAGCTGCACACTTCCCTCTACAGTTTTGCTTTAATGATTGAGCCAATCTAAAAGGCAAGGTCAGACTATCTTTGGTAAATACAAGTAAAGTATGCTGCACTAAAATTAGACGAGATGTTTGTTGTTCAGCGTTTCCACCTTCAGATCATTTTATGTTCATATTTTGTACCAAACAAAAGTCATCTGGCAGAACCAGTATTTATTTTGATTATCTGATCTCTTTATGGTTTCGCTTACAAGTTCATGCCTGGTTTTGTGTAAATAAGTAACTAAAAGTGAGTATGTGACTAAAAACAGCTTTGTTTGTTTTGTGAACTGGTCTGTGTTGGCCAGTAGTGTAATCCAAAAAATCAAATCCTTTGTTACAATAAATTACCGTAAAAGAATGTGGGGTAATAATTGAGATCACGTATACTGTGGTCAAATCGCGCCAATTGAAGTCAATTCAATTAAAGTTTAGTCCTGATGCAACTTTGCGCTTTGACAGATCCTTTTCCCCAAAGATATTTCAGTCTTACAGATAGAAATTAAGCAATTACATGAAATAATCAAACAGGACAAGATAATCCTAATAACCGCCCCGACATACCAGAGGTCGGCCCAGCAGCTCAGAACGGGCCCGTGAGGCAGAATCCTTCTTCATGTATTCAACAAACCCGTATCCTTTGGAGTGGCCCGTCAGCTCGCTGTACACCAGGAAGGAGCGCTCGATATTCCCGTAGGCGCGCACCAGCTCCTCAAACTGCTGCGCGGTGAAGGTGTGGGGGAGGTTGGTGAGGCAGAGCAGGGAGTCGGTGGGCTGCAGCGTGACGTTGATCAGGCGTCCCCGGACAGAGCTATGGTGGAGGGAGCGGATGGCATCCTGAGCCTGGTCCCCGTTCAGCAAAGTCACAAAAGCTGGAGGAGGGGACATTATGGAGACGGCGACGAGGAGAAAAGACGCACAAGAGACGAGAACGGACCCAAAGAAAGAGACGCACGGACATAACGGACGTGTGAAAGGCGAGCAGACACAGACAAACGTGAACATACATTTAAAAAAAACAGTATGTGGAGATGCAGGATGGAGACAAAATGCATGCAACAAAAAAAAAAAAAAACTCACGTGAAAAGTGAGGAAAATAAATGACAGGCCGAATGTGAGTGACAAAAAAAATAGGGGGATCAAAGTTTGGGGACAAAGAAACCAAATTGACAGACGGACAGTAATAAAGACAGACAGACACACAGAGAGAAAGACAACACATTAGCTAGAAAGCCAATAGGGAGCCACTGTGTGGGGGAATCCACTGACACACACATAAACACCTCGTCTAGTTGGAAAAAGGATATATGTATCAGGGAAACAATAATACTAAATATACAGGCAATTAGAACAAAATACCATTCCTATGTCAGTTATAATATTTATTGATATCACAGGCGTAAAATCTCTCTCTCATCCAATCACTGAGTCTCATGTTTGTTTTCTCTTTCCAGAATATCAACCTCTCTTCCTTTCCTGAAACAGTCCACTATGTTTTAAAGAATATTCATTTTGGTCCAACTAATCAAATAAAATGTATAAAATTACTGCCCACAAAAATTTGAGTATGGACAAGGCTTTGATATTTATTAGTAAGTTTGTCGTGAAAAACCCTCAATCTTAAACAGCCTTCAGGATTCATGGACTGTGAAATGAGGTGTTAATAATGTATGTGCAGCGTGTAGCTACAACCTAATGTGTGTAACAAAAAAAGGTCCGTTAAGGTTTGTGTTGCAAATCTTGCATATTGAAAAGCAAGAAAACTACTAAATTTGTTTAAATGATATAAAAAAAACATGATCACAGAATCATTGATTTCAATAACAGTTGGGAAAATACAAGTAAAACGGAAAGGTGAAGGAGACTTCACACTGAGCGAAGTACAACGTTTCTGCTGCCCCACTGGAACTGCTCAAGAGGCTTTCTAACACAATTAATTTGCATTGTAAACATGGGCATAAGTTCAGTTAAAACACACGCGCATATACATAAAAATGACAACCTCAGATGTCCAGTGTAACCACAGTGATGAAGTTAAAATGCTTCGTGATGAGCAACTTCTTTCAAAACCGACTGAATTACAAAACATCTCGGAATAAAGATTAGGAGATGAGAATAAATATTCATAGTACAGGGGAAATATACCAGGCGAATTTCCACGCTGACCAAACAACTCTTTAATTTCAATGTTTGCTCTGTGAGCCTCGGACGCGACTGTTTATCGAAGATCCAAACTCACCTGCTGCTATTCTGAACCTCAAGTCCTGCACGTGGTACATTAGGATGTAACCATTGTTCCCACCAGCTCCCATCATCACGTGTGTGTTTTAGAAACAACTAACACAAAGATTATACATGTTGTTGCCTTTTATGAAGCCAATGATTATCCAAGTCTACCACTTTAAACCCAAACTATAAGCCAATGTCATTCTATAGGCAAATGAATGTACGTTCAAGCGTTTGTGTCTGCTGCGTTCAGGTGCACACGCTCCGCGGGCGAAATGGAAAAGACCCCCAGAAACCACCAGACCCGAAATAACGATTGAGGTACGACTTGATTTATAAACGTTGGCTCCTGTTCCTGCGCACACACTCTTTGAAAACAGACTTAAGAGCCGTTTGTGAGATTTCCTCACTCGGGTGCATATGAGGAGCAGACAGGAGATCTGGCAGTGGCTTAAAAACATCTAACACAGTACGACGCCAATGACCTGCACGAACATCCCCTCTTCCATTTCACTTCAAAGCTACAATCTGTATCTAGAAAAACAAACAATTCCTCAACAGAGATGTTTGAAATGATTTTGTCTGGAAAGTAGTAACACATTATAAAATATATGCAGGCAACGATGACTCATAAGCGCTGGAGCGTTGGATGGAAAATATTAGAAATCTCTCCTGACCTCCCTGTACCTTTGCTTGCGTTTACTGCATCTGCATCGATCTCTCCATTTTTTGCCCTCTCTTCTCAGCTTCCTGCTCTCTCACTCCGGTATTTCTTCCCATCTACTGGCTTAGTTGTCCGTCATTCCTTTGCGCTCTCTCACTACTTCACCAGTTTCCCCTTCTCCATTTCTATGTTCTTCTATCCGTGTTCAGATGCCGCCTCCACCCAAATCAATGACTTCTAACCCGCTGACACACACTCTGTAATGGCTCTCCTACACTAACATGAGAGCCTAATCTGGTTTAACCCACTGAGTACGACGCCTAACAGATAGAATCACATTCTGCCCATTCTCTCTCTCTCTCTCTCTCTCTCAACAAAGTGCTGCCTGCGAGCGGGAGGAGGGTGACGACAAATCCAGCTCAATACTTTCTCAAGCAGTGAAAAGGCAAAGTCCATGATGCTAAAACATCTTACAAAACCATATAATAATAATTCACAGCTTGGCCATCATTAACTGGGTTTCCATTTAGAAAAGCGCGTACGTCTTAATTATGGGTTTGAACATGCCGATTGCATGTTCCTGTGAGGAGCAGAGGCAAAGAGAAGACAAATCATTTAGTTGAAATCACCTCGAAGGCTGCAATTCTGCTGCCACGTTCCCTGTTGAAAGAGCTAATTAAAAACAGGGCAGTTCCGGGCGCAGCGCTGTGTGGAAAGTGATCCCGCTGCTTCATCTCGGCCCCGAGGAGAGCAGAGGTGCCAAAAGTATTCACATTTATTACTCAAGTAGAAGTACAGATACTAGGGTTTAAAAAGACTCCTGTAGAAGTTGAAGTACCAACTAAAGCTTTTTACTTAAGTAAAAGTATAAAAGTACTGGTTTCAAAACTACTTAAAGTATAAAAGTAATGTAAGGACAAACTCTTAATGCGTAACCTCGCTCGCACAACACGTCAGTCCGTTACAATGTGATCAGAAGGTGCCTACAGATCACGTGACCTGCCGTTGGGATGAAACAACAACAACAAATGTATCAGACTTAAACAGATAAAACCACAACCCAGCGGTCGGTTATCAGTATTTTCAGGCTTCATGAACAAATACAGAATCCCTTTGTGTTCATTTCCAAAGCCGCATTAAGACGCACATCACTTTATTTAATACGCCACTTGCAAGTCGCTGTGTTGTGCCAGACTCTCAATAAAACATTTAGGACAAACCCACGGTCACAAAGTCACTCATTTAACGTTACATGGACTCTGCGTGAGGAAGAGGAGGAAGAGGAGGAGGGTCCATGTCGCTAAATACCAACTTTCCACCGACCACTTTTCCCACCCGGTGTCGCTCCGATCTGCCGGCGCATCGCGGAGAAAACCAATCGGGTGTCTGGATGCTAAATGTTTATACTTCTCATCCAACCACAATCAAAGTCACTGTCCGGATGGCGCCGTTCATCTAGATGGGTTCTTTTTGTGTTTGTGTTTGTGAACTGCGACAAGCCGGAAGTAACAAGACTGTTTTTAAAATGTAAGGAGTAGAAAGTACAGATATTTGCGTTAAAATGTAAGGAGTAGAAGTAAAAAGTTGTCTGAAAAATAAATACTCCAGTATAGATACCCCAAATGTCTACTTACAGTAACGAAGTATTTGTACTTTACTTGTATCGTTACTTGACACCTCTGGAGGAGAGTCACAGGAATAAAAAGCTCAGTGGACTAACAGGAATCAGAATATTCAGATAATCCATAGGTAATTGCTTTCTTGGTAACTCTTTTATCTCTACTTAGGTTTAAAAATGTTATTTTGTCACGTTAAGATGGACCCCGTTTTTAGGGATGTGAAATGTAGGAGGGTCTACACCTCCACCAAAATGATTAGAACTGAAATCTATACGAGGGATTCAAGGATGCCCTTTTTACTGGGTTATTTCTTCATCAATGCCAGCGATACTTAATAGTAATGAACAGATGGGGCCGGTTAACAAGGTGGTGTCAGACTGACGTTTTATCGCAGTTATTAGTTTACAACTTAAATAAATGTTAATTAATATTGTTCCCAACATAACTTATAATACATAACTTAACACTGGCGTCAGACTAATTTAGAACATTTATGGTAATTAAACCCACAAATAATGAATGTAATGTCATAGTTCAGTATTTTAAATCTATAAAAGACAATCTCAGTCATCATGAAACCTTCTTGAGTTGTCGGTTCTCTCAATTCTTAACCTATTTGTTACCTATTCCAACTACATCCGTTATAACCTAAAAGCGTTAAAAGCGTCAGCTAAATGACATGTAATGTAATATCAACAGGGTAAACATCTAATCTTTGGCACATTTCTTATGATATTCAATAAATTAGGTCGACCCTGGAGAGAGAATTTTCAGAGCTAATTTAGATTTTTTTTTTTATGAGACCTTGACAAGTAAAATTCTAAATTATAATCCAAGAGCAACATTACAAAAAAAAAAGAAATTGAAAAAATGATGCCATCCATTTCAGCCTTCCTCTGTGCGAAAGGTCAGAAGTTGCTTGAGCAATGATGTCGACGATTTCAGTTTACTCAAGAGATGAAAGGAAGATCGTAGCAAACCAAGCAGCCGAGGACAGTTTAGAAATTCCATCATCATCGCAGTTTCAACCGAAACTAAAAGGGAATAATATCTGTGTGTTTGAGCAAAGGCTGACAGGCCGTGAAGGATGAGCTCTCCATAGCTGCTCTTTCCTCATCTCTAAGACTACGCAGACATGTAGATGGTCTGACAAGCAAAAAGATTTCACAAATAATGTACAGGTAAAAACCCAAACAGCAAATATAAACACGCGGCGCAAATGAGCTTTGAGGCAGCCGCCATTGTGCCTCTTGTTTCTGTGGCACCAACAGGCCCTCGTCCTCGTTGGCGTCTCTGTGGCTTTATATTCCTCCCGGCCGCTCTGCTACAGCATCTACATGAGTAAACACTTCCGACGAGCTGC